TTGTTACGCCTTTAATTACTTATTAGGATCTTATAAGTCAGGCCGCTATAATAACCTATTAGTAAGGTTTTAGGTACTCTTCTTATATTTAATCTTAAAGTTAAAGACAGAAAGTTCCTTTAGCTATCTAGCTTACTACTATAACAACTTTAGCTTTATAAAGAGGTAATAGTAGTTTAGGTAATCTATTAAAACTAATACTAAACTTTATATATATACTAAGTACGGCCTCTATAACCTAAAAGCCTTAACAATAGCTATTAACTTAGCGTTAAGAGTATTATAGTATAGCTCTAGCCCTTTTAGCTTTTTAGAAATAAATGTAACAGGGTACTAGCGGCCTTCTTATAGCTATAAAAGGACAGTACTAATAGTATAGGCAGATGTATCTATTTCTATACGCGTAAGTAGTTTAGAGTTATAGTAATATAGGAAAAAGGCCTTTGTAAAGACTAGTCGTAGCTTGTAAAAGGCTTTTAGGGCTTTAGAACTTAGTATAACAGTACTAGCGACGTCGCCTTAAAGGAGATTTATTAGTAGTATAGTAATCTTTAAATAATTCTTAATAAAGCGCTTATAAAACCTAGTAAACCTTAGAAAGATATAAATATCTTTTATAGTTATAAGAATAAGCTATTCTTAGATTATAGAGACACGCTTAGGTTTAATACAAACTCTCTATAAGTTAATAACGTATCTTAGAAAACCTACTTACTTTATATTAAACTCGTACTTTAAGAGGTTAACGTAAAGGTTATATTATTAGAGACGTTTAAAGACGTAGTAAATATACTACATATACTCTTCTTTATTCGTAGAGTAGATAAGGATATTATTAAGATATATAATACAAATATTATTAATAAGATTCTCTAGTACTTTATTAATAAAGGACTAGAAGGTCACTAGTACGTTTACTAGCTTAAAGGGTATAACATAGTATTTAAAGTAGCTATATTAGTACTAGAAAGCCGTTTTCTACTTATTACCGGCCTTAATACAAACTTAATAGTACGCTTTACGTAGGTTAAGCTTAGTATAGACGCGGGCTTACGACAGCTAATTAAGGATCTCCTTAATTAATAGAATAAGGGCTTAGTTCTTTCTAGTCACACTATTTAACGCCTAGTAGTTAACGTAAAGTCGTAGCTTTTCTCCTTTCTTTAGAACAAATAGTATTAGAGTACTAGTAAGGCTCTTACTTAGACAGATCTATCCTTTTACTAAGGCGTCGTCTAAATATTTACGTAAGACACTTAGCTTAACCTTTATAAGTAAGTAGATTCGGCTATATAGTAGTACTACGTCTTCTTTAAGGTCTATTACATAAGTAGGGCTATTAATTATAGGTAGTAATCTAGCCCTTTCTTTAGAGAAGACGTCTACAAATTATTAGTACTTATTAGGTAAGGTCGCTATAGCCTTACTATCTTCTTATAGTTCCTCTTATAGTCCTTTCTTACCTAAGGATTCCGGGTCGACTATAATTAGTTATACTATTACTACGATTACGAATTAAGCTTTTTTTATTACTTTCTTAATTTCTTTCTTTATTATATATAGCCTAACTATTAAAGACAACGTAAGGTATACGAACGTCTAGGTCTTTTATAAAACGATTAGGTCTATAGCCTCTAGCTATAGAAATCTAAGTATAACATCTAAGTCTCTAATATTAGTAACGACAAATCTGCCTTAATGTTGCCTTACTATTAAGTAGTTATCTTAGGCCTTAACAAACAGATTACATAACCTAAAGCTTGTTATTGTTTTCTAGAATAGTAAGGATACTATAATATAATTATTAAGTTACTATAGTGCCTCTTGTCTTAATAGTCGTAAGTAAATAAGGTTGACTTCTACTCTTAAGTCTAGTAAGGCTAGTATAGCTACCTAGCTACCCCTAATATATATCTTTACCTAAATACTTATTAAAGGTCGCCTCTCTTCTTATTATTTAGGCGTAACGTAGTAGGCTACTAGCGTAGTATTAGCGCCTAAAGTACTAGCCTTATTAAGGTACTAAGCGTAAGTATACCTAGATTAACTATATATAAAGTATTTGTATAGTAAGTACGAATTTGCCTAATAACCAGGCTACTAGTATTAGTAGTAGTTACCTTATACCTTACTTACTAAAGGGGTTTTTGTAACACTAGAAGAGTCCCTTTACGTGTTTAAAGTTTAGCTACTAGATGTCCCTTACGTGTTTACTAGTATAGATAAGGTCTTTAGATTATAAGAAGAGCCTCTTCTAGTATAGTACAGTATTAAAGAGGCTCTATAAGAGCCTTCTTATTACCTTGTCTAAATAAGAGTTTCCTTTCTTAACACTACTACCTTAACTACCTTAAAGGTATTTAGGACCTTACTACTTACTATATAGGCCCTTAACTTAGGCTTTAAACAATTAATAAGAAAGTAGATACAGAACATCTTTAAGAAGGCGTAGCTAAGTTTAATAACTAAGGAGTTATACTATTAAAGGAAATTCCTAAAGGTCTTATTTTAGTTTTAAGTTAACATTTAGAGTTTTAATACTACTTTAAGAGAGTAGGTACCCTTATCTATAATACTATAAAGGAGCTACGCCTTTATTTTTCCTTAAGTTACATTAAGAACTAATCCGCCTTTTTCTAAGAAAATAAAAGACTTCTAGCGCTCTTTAATGTAATCCTTTAGTACTACTACTATAGCGCCGACACGTTTAGTATCTGTTAGATAACTCTTTAGGTAAGTATTAAACTCTGTTTCTTAGTTAAATAAGAAGGTCGTAATACTAGTATATGTCTTGTTTTTTAGTAGAATAAAAAGGGTATTACAATAGCTCTTCCTTATTTCTTTAACATAGGTTTACTAGAAAGGCTGTTCTACTTTAAGAGAGTTATTAAATTTGTATAGGTTTATTAAGGGAGCCTCTCTTCTCTTAAGCGCTATAAGGTAGTCTTGCTTTTACTTAAGGCGCTACTCTACTCTTACTTAGGCAATCCTCTTGTTTAACTTAGTCTTACTTAAGGAAAGGATTTCTATTAACATTTAGGGTGTCGTACTAGGTTTACTACTATCTACTTATAAAGAGGTATTCTAAAGAGTTACTTAAGAAGAGGCTTACGTCTTGTTAAGGTTTATTTGTTATGTCTACGTTATTACTTCTTACTCTAACAGTCTATAACCTTTTAGTAAAGGAGAGAGATTAGAATGTTAGGTATATTTTTATAGAGTAAAAGAGGTAAGAGTTAATAGATAGTCGTAGTATATTTAAAGGTATATTACTACTTTAACTATAGACTAATCTCTAAACCCCCTTTCTTTTCCCTCTCTACCCTTTATTCTTATACTCTTTAATACCTACTATTACCTTAGTCGTAGCACGTAGTTACCTTATACTTGATTTCTAAGCTATTATAGTCTTACGTGTTAGCGTACCTAACACCTAGTTACTAAGCTTAAGTATGTAGATATCTATTAATACTAGCTATACTAAGAAGTAACTAAAGAAAGACTTAGTTTATAGTAGCTGTTAACCTATAACATACTAGCAAATAGGTTAACTAAGGCCTTACTACGCTAGAAACACATTAAATTTATTAAATTACTTAATCTAGTAGATATTAAGACCCTAAACCTAAACGATAGCTAGCCTATAGATTAGGGTAGTTAAACACTCTTTATTTAGGTAAGAAACCCTTTTGTTTAACTACTAAATACCTAGAACTAGCTTTTACGCTAGTCTAAAAGTAATTCTTACTTAAACGATTAAGTAAGAGTTCTAGGATCTAGTTCTTATCTTAAGCTTAATTTCTTATTTAGAAAGTCTACTTTTTACGCTATATTTCTTATTTAGAAAGTCTACTCCTTTTTCTTAGAGATTTAACTGTTTCTATAGTTATATTCTTTAGTTCTATTTATTTCTACTACTTGCTCGACCTTATTACTTAACATGTCTTACTACTTAGAGTACTAGGAGTCCTTAAGGTTCTTCCTTAAGGAGCTTTAGGACTTAAACGTTAAGCCCCTTTTAATTAAGTACCTACTATTACGTACTTTCCTTAATTCTTTAACCTTTTACTTAAGGAGAGAGCTGTACTAGTAAGTACTAGTATACCTTTAGGTATAGGAATAGCTTTATTATTACCTGATTAGGGAGAGAGCTAAGGAGAGAGCTGTACTAGTACTTAGCTCTCTAGTTAAGTCTAGAATTAGCTTAATCCTTAGAGGGGTATGTTAAATAGTAGGGTTAATTACTACTAGATACAGAACCTGTTCCCCTAATTACTAACTAACCCTTAATTAATATATAGGGATCGATCCCTTATACCTTGTTTAATAGTTTATAGTGTTGTTAGGATTTAGGTACTTAGGTACTTATATACCTTGTTTATAGCGGATACGGCGCCTATACATGTAAATAACAACCCCTTTTTTAAGTATATAGAACAGGAGACTACTCTCTATTCTATTTAATTTAGTTTAATTTAATCTACTTTTAACTAACTTGAATTCGCCTGTTATTACTACTTCTTTATAGTGATATATAACCTCTTTTATCTGACACGTTCCCTCTAACCAGCCTTTGCGAATAATCGTCCGTTGCAACAGAGTGTGCATGTTAGCGTCACCAAGCTCCCCGAGGGTCTCTTGGATCTGGTTGTTGAATTGAATTACATCTCCTGTTTCGCAGGCTGTCCAGCATTTCTCCAGCGCAGCTTTGCGCGATTTCTGTAGCCGCTCCCATTCTTGGGCCCATCTCTCCCATTCTTGGGCGGGGCTCTGAATCTCTGGTTCCATGTTGTTTTGATTGAATTGGGGAACGAGGGACGGTAAAAAGACGGAGGGCAGCCGGCTATAGACCGCCTGGTGAATTGTTGCTGGTCAAAGTACGACGACCAAGCGCGGACCGTGGATCCCCCTTGAGCGGGCCCAGGACCGAGGTCACATTAAGGTTTACTTCCCCGCATTTTCCGAACGCCAACGCGGCTCCCATGCCACTTGAGGAGAATGCGGGCCAGACTAACATTATCATAAATATCGTCTTCCGTCTTCAGCCAGCTTTCAACAGAGAAGCAGAGAGACGAAAGAATCAACCAACGCATACGTACACTATTGTGATATCCATCTTTTTTTCAATATGGGTAGCGTAGAAGATCCCCCCAAGTGGATTGGTCCCTCCTCTGTCTACGAGGTCAAAAATATCACCCTCCATGATCCGGGCAACCGCAAACTTCGCGTTATCACCATTGGTGGCGGAGTGAGTGGCATCATGATGGCCTACAAGATCCAGCAGGAATGCGAGAATGTAGAGCACGTTGTGTACGAACGAAACAGTGGCATTGGGGGAACGTGAGTTCTTGCAACTCGAAATGAGATGCTTTACAAATTACTGATATACAAATAGGTGGTTTGAGAATCGCTATCCCGGCTGCGCGTATGTCTCATCTATTTGGACTTCTTCTTTCTCATGCTAATGGATTTCGATTTCAAGTTGCGACGTACCTTCCCACGCTTACACTTACCCCTGGGCGCCCAACCCTGACTGGCGTGCTTTCCTGGCATCCTCAAAGGATATCCTCACCTACCTCCAGAAGGTTGTTGAGCGCCTTGACTTAGCCAAGTATCTGCACGTTAACCACCAGGTAGCCGGGGCTCGGTGGAATGAAGAGAAAGGTAAATGGGAGGTGAAAATACAGGTCGTTGAGCCAAAAGCTGATTGGTCATCGCCCGAGCCCCTGAAAGTTTTGAGAGAGTTCGACGACGAAGCAGATATTTTGCTACATGCGACAGGAATCTTGAACCGCTGGGATTATCCTGATATTCCTGGACTGAAAGATTTCAAAGGACGCGTAAGTCTTATATGGCTATTCCTTAATGCATTCCAGATGTCGAACTGACTTGGCCGGGGTAGATTGTACATACAGCTGGCTGGCCTGATGACTATGGTCAGGAACAGTGGAAAGGTCAAAATGTTGTTGTGATTGGCAGTGGTGCAAGCTCTGTCCAAACTGTTCCTACGATGCAGGTTTGTCGCCTGAATCCTGAAGCTGTTCTAGTAATACCTAAAAACTGACCTTAACAACAGCCTCATGTCAAACGTACGTGTTACTCATGAACCCAGGAAACTTTATTGACGCACATATTATAGACATGGACATCTTTGTCCGAACTCCCGTCTGGTTTGTCCAGATTGTCGATAACTTCGGTAACAACTACGAGTGTTAGTATATAGCCTGCTAAATCCTATACCCCAAGTTAACTTTTCAAAGATTCCGAAGAGGAACGCACTTTCTACCGCCGCAACCCAGACAAACTGGTGGCCCATATCAAGGAGTTAGAGGACGCTTTCAACATTCGATTTGACCACAACATACTTGGCAGTCCGGAGCAGGTGGCCCTCGCTAAGCAGGTTGAGGCTCGTATGCGTGAGATGATCAAGAACGAGACAATTTTGGAAGGTGCGTGATCAACTCCTCCCTGTTTCTTAAATGCTAACATGCCGAGGAATCCTTCCGAGCTTCCCTGTGAACTGCAGGAGAATGACTCCAGGTGATCCATACATGAACGCTATCCAACAGCCGAATGTATCGGTACACTTTACTGCAGTAACAAATATCACCCCCGATGGTGTCATCGGAGCGGATGGCACAGAGGTGAAATGCGACACTATTGTAACCGCTACTGGTAAGTGGTGTCTTGATACATGTCTCTATGTCACATTAACAACCCCTCCAGGCTTCGACGTGAGCTTCAAGCCACGCTTTCCTGTCATTGGGAGGAATGGGGTAAGCCCCCTACTCATAAAAACATTTCGTAGGTTGTTAGTTGATTTTCCCTAGGTCGACCTACGTGAGAAGTGGAAATACGCAGCAGAAGCTTACTTCGGGCTTGCCTGTGCTGACATGCCAAATTGGATTACCTTCCTCGGTCCCAATTGGTGCGTATTATCCTTTCAGCCAAAAGGTTCATCATTGCTAATTCTTGCATGTAGGCCTGTCGCAGCTGGGTCAATGTAAGTAGATATCGACCATTCTTAATGGCCCTCAACACCTCCGTTCAAAATCATTCGCCCCCATAGTAACAAAACCACAGTATCGGTGCCCTTGACGCCAACGGCGACTACGCCATCCAATGCATTCAAAAACTACAAAAAGAACTCATCAAGAGTTTCTGTCCCAAACAAGAAGCTTCCGACGCCTACAACGAACATACCCAAACCTGGGCCCAGAAAGTAGTCTGGGGTCAAGGATGTCGAACATGGTAGGTCTTCCTTCTCCTCTTCTTTTATCTCCCTCTTCTCTCCCCGTGCCCCCAATCAATGCTAATAACAGAGTAACAGGTACAAAGACAACGAAACCGGTCGTCTGCGCGCCGTCTACGCCGGCTCCTCCCGCCACTACCGCGACATGATCTCTACCGTACGCTGGGAAGATATGGACATTGAGTACCTGGACAAGCACAACAAGTACGCGTTCATGGGCATCGGGCGACACATGTGCCAGAGCGCGGTGGGCAAGAGCAAGGGCGTGAACCCTTCGCCGTATTGCGATCCTAAGAGAGTAGATGCGCGATTTTTGGCTGATGATTGATGAAGAAATGCTTATTATGGGCTGGGGCCGCTTGGGGAGGAGGGGTATGTTTGATGCAGTCACTCGTTACGATTACAGTCCTAGTTGGTTTGTGAATAGCCTGGATTCCTATATTTGGTGATGCAACTTTTTGGAAATTTGAAATGTGACTGATCTTTGGTCGTTGTAATTTATAAGGTATTGACTCAAGGAATCGATCCCAAAACCCCTAGCTTTTAACCCCAGTGGAATATTGTAGTACCCCCTCAGCTGATATATAGAAAAAGAACAACTAGGCGCAAGGCTCTCGCACAAGTCCTCTTTCATGTAAATTGATTTTATATATACTGCAATATAAACTTATCTAGTCCTCCAACTCTTTCTCCATCAAGAGATTTCTATTAAAACATATCATCTATCTAATCAACAGCACATAAAATCGCCCCTTCAGCAACAGACTCCCCCTCTTTAGCCACCATCCTAAAGGTCCCCTGGACCTCTGCCAATACCTTGATCTCCATCTTCATGCTCTCAATGACGCACAGCACATCCCCGACCTCCACGGCATCCGCGTCTTTCTTCAGTACATCCAGAACCTTGCATGGCATCGGCGCTTTGTGGATGCGCTGGGATGTGGTGGCGCTGGCGTTGTCGTTGGAGAAAGCGGCGCTTAGGGATAGACCAAATGTTAGTGGCGTGAAGTAGTTGAATGCGAGTGCTGTCCCTATTGAATTGGCGTGCACGAAGACGGATGAAGAGGTATCGGTTGCGAGGTGCAATGTGAGTTTTCCAGGGGAGGGTTGAACGTCGATGGTGAGATCGCTTACAAGCCATTCTGATACTTGCTGGGAGCTGGTGATGTCGGCTGGAAGCTTGTGGGTTTGTACATTGGATTTGAGAATCGTGATCGTGTAGGGTTGACTGCGTGTATTGCTCAGCTTTGCAAGCGTCTGTGATACCGTTGCTGAATATATCTTCGCAATAGAAACATGCGATGTTGTTGAATCGGAGAGCGGACTCGTATCAATAGGTGGCAATGGTTTTAGAATGGCTTGGACAATGCTAGAGTCTGTATTACCTCTGGTATAAGGCCATTTGACAACAATGTTGGATCCAGAACTCCGCTCCTGGATAATATCAACGGGAACATTACTGCTGTCTGAAACCTGGTTCCGGAAGCCCCTCAGAGATGCAAAAGTTCGAGTGGTGGCAGCGTCTTTGCTCTGTCTCTTCGCAATAGACCTAAAGAACAACGCAGACACGAGACCGAGGAACTTGCGGGTCTCTTCAAGATTCTCCACGTAGGGGTTTCGAAGAAGCACTTCCTTGTTGTCTGGGATAAAGCTGGTGGTGTAGTCAATTGCAGTTCTGAATCCAGGATGTGCAAGGCAGGCTTGGAGAAACAGGTGATTTGTCTGGACTCCAATGCATACCGTATTTCGCAAAACCAGACTCATCTTCTCAACCGCTGCTGCCCTCGAAGGAGCCCAGACAATGACTTTAACAATCATAGAATCAAAGTAACTCGAGATTACCGTTCCTGTACGTATACTGCTCTCAAACCTCACATTTGTAAGGTGATGGGCAGCGAGAATATCGGTCGCAGGTGTCCATCGCTGAACTGTGCCCAATGCGGGCAAGAAATCCTGTTCAGGGGACTCCGCACAGAGCCGGCATTCTATGGCGTGACCATTTGCTACGACTCCTTGAAGGTTCGGAACGTCTTTTAGGTTGCCCCCGGCTGCCACAAAAATCTGGAGCGCAACAATGTCGAACCCCGTGATTTCCTCCGAGATGCAGTGCTCAACCTGAATACGGGTGTTGACCTCAAGAAAGTAGTATTTGCGTTCTTCAATATCGACCATGAATTCGACAGTACCAGCGCCCTCATACTTCAGAAGCTTCCCGATTGTGATAGCCGTCTTGTACATTGCCTGCCGCAGCTCCTCGTCCATCCATGGACATGGGGCTTCCTCAATGACTTTTTGGTGCCTCCGCTGCACCGAACATTCTCGATCAAGCAGCGTAAACACATTACCGAAAGAATCACCCATCAACTGAACTTCAACGTGCTTTCCCCTGCTGATATACTTCTCTAGGAGGCAATCGGCAGAGCCGAATGTCCGCTTAGCCTCAGACTGTGCTCGGCTCAGCTCATCAAGCAAACTTGTCTTGTCACGCACGATACGCATTCCCCTGCCTCCTCCCCCCGCCGAGGCCTTGATCATTATGGGGTAGCCAATGCGCTCAGCCTCGTTGGACAGGGACTTCAAATCTTGTGCGCTGTCGCTGTGTCCTGGAATCAGCGGTACCTCGGGCGCGTGTGAAATCAGGAACTCCTTGGCCTGTCGTTTGTCCCCAAGTACGGAAATCGCATATGGCGAAGGCCCGATGAGCTTGATGCCCGACTCCAGGACATGTTTTGCAAAGTCCGCATTCTCACTGAGATAGCCGTAGCCGGGATGGATGGCATCGGCGCCCACCTGTAAGGCAATTGCAACAATCTTTTTCCCATTCTGATGCGGGTTCCCCTCCGGCTGGTCGATGGGACCTATGTAGACTGCCTCATCTGCTTCTTCGACATACAATGAGTGCTTGTCTCTTAAAAAGGTCAGCAGTTGATTCATTCATGATGCGGCTGATCTACGAGTCCAAGCCTCAGCCAGGGGTGCAACTCACAGGTCTGTATAGATGGCAATTGATATGATCCCAAGCCTTCTACATGTTGCGACCACCCGACTAGCAATTTCCGCTCTGTTTGCAATCAGGACTCTGCGTATTATGGGCAGACCATCAGCCCCTCGCGGAGTTGGAGTAACGATTAAACTCTTCTTAAGAGCCATATTCGAGGCGGCGGCCAGGGTATTGCACTTCTTGGAGTCGACCGGAATAGCCAAGAACAAGTTGAAAGCACTCGTACGCGAGATGATCCTTTGCCATGTTCGAAGTTTACCATGATGTCCATTGTAGAAGAGCCATGTGACATCCAGACGAATGTGGGGTAGTTGGAAGCCGGTCCGCGCGCCCGGCTCAGGGGTTCATGTGCGCTACCCGGTCCGGAGCCCGCACGGAGCGGGGCGGGAGCGGGGCGGGAACACTCAGGTAAGTCCTGGGTTTGCTGAGCCGTGTTCTGGAATGACAAGGTAATTGAAACGACTACCTCTTTAGTGGGCAAGAATTATGTGCCATATTCTAATGCAAAGGGACTGAAACGTCAATATTTCCCGTATCTTCTGCAGGACTTCGTGTTTTCTGTTCTATCGAAACCATTGCTCATACCCCATGGCTTCAGTTCGCCTTGTCGAGGTTGGGCCCCGGGATGGCTTGCAAAATACAAAATCAGTAATTTCGACGGCTACGAAGATCGAACTCATCCGCCGCCTGCGTTCATGTGGCCTGAAAACAATCGAGGCGACCTCATTCGTCTCCCCAAAATGGGTGCCGCAATTGGCAGATGGGGCTCAGGTGATGTCTGGAATCGGAGACCTAATAGACTCAAGCGACGAGTCGTACCCTGTTCTTGTGCCAAATTTGAAGGGCCTGGAAGCGGCGCTGAAAGCCGGAGCAAGGGAAGTTGCAGTCTTTGTCTCAGCCTCTGAGGGATTCAGTCGCAGAAACAATAATGCATCCGTAGATGAGGCCCTGAAAAGGGCGGGGGAGGTAGCTAGGAGGGTGAAAGGAACAAACGTCAAACTTCGAGGGTGAGTACAGACTGCCCAGGAAGCGTGCCGTGAGGGCTGCATCTAGATTAACTATTTCTTTAGATATATCTCCTCTGTGATTGCCTGTCCATTCGACGGCCCTACACATCCAAACCAAGTGCTCAAAGTCACTCAGACACTGCTGGATATGGGATGTTATGAAATCAGCCTAGGAGATACCACTGGAGTTGGAACACCAGCACAGGTTAAGCGCTTATTGGAAACAATATTGGCTTCCGTTCCAGCATCACAAATAGCTGGCCATTTTCACGACACTTATGGACAGGCTTTAGCAAATGTCCTCATAGCCTACCAAATGGGAATCCGAGTCTTCGATTGCAGCATTGCTGGCTTAGGAGGTTGCCCGTATGCGCCAGGAGCGAAGGGAAATCTGGCTACCGAAGACGTCGCATATATGTTTGAAAAGATGGGCGTCCAAACCGGCGTGAAGCTTGACATGGTTGCTGAGGTGGGGAGTTGGATCTCAGGCGAGCTAAATATCCCTTCCGCGAGCCGCGCTGGGCCTGCTCTGTTAGCAACGAGGAATCGTACAGCCCGTGACACGACCGGAAAGATACCAGCAGGAGTTCCAACTCTGAAGTGGAGCGTGGTCAAGGATCATGAGACGTATTTGGTTGAACGGGCGGGATCAAATATGCGAATAACGCTTGCCAGGCCGCGGAACGGTAACGCCCTAACCTTGGCAATGCTGAGCTCATTGACACAACTCATCCAAGCAGCTGCTGGTGATAAGGAGATACGCTGTATTATCATCACCGCCAAGGGAAAATACTTCTGCACGGGGATGGATATCAGCCCCAGTGGAGCAACTTCTGCTTCTGACCGTCAAGCCAAAGAGGATCAGTTCCATGGTCTCCGTAACCTCTTTGATGCTATCGATAATGCCCCACAAACAATAGTTGCTATGATCACAGGCCCTTGCCTGGGAGGAGGCGTTGGCTTGGCAATGGCCTGTGACGTGCGAATCGCAATCGAGACTGCCACCTTCACACTGTCAGAAACAAAACTCGGGCTTGTTCCGGCCGTCATCTCAAAGTAAGATGATATTCCAATTTGTCGAAGCTCGGGGCTCAGAGTAAAATGTCCACTAACAAATATGTTCCTTAGATATTTAATACGCGAATGGGGGATACCCCGAAGCCGAGAGGCTATGCTCACTGCGCGTCCCGTTGGGTGCCAGGAGCTGCTGGATGCCGGGGTCATTCACGGAGTAGCGCCAGATGCTGCATCGCTGATCACACTCATGGAAGATAAGATCTTCCGCATCCAACAATGTGCTCCCGGCGCATCTGCCCAAGCCAAAGACCTTGTACGAGTAGGTTGGAAACTCCCCGGTAGCACGAAACAAGATGCCACGATCTCGGATATCTATTACCACATGACACAACCCTCTCAAGAGGCTCAATATGGCTTGGCTAGCTTTCGTGCGGGGAACAGGAATGTGGATTGGTCAAAGATGACGCGGACTACCACTAAGCTCTAGGTAAAGAGGTTTCAGCTTTCCAGGTACCTATTCAGCGCTGAAAATATTCATTCTCCATCATCTCATTGTTTTCTGGTATTGTTGGGTGAACCGAAACTCGGATACACTCGCAACAATTCCTTCGACATATAAATCCTCTTATCTTACAATCCAGACCACCGTTCAATTGGAATTCTTGCCTAGCAGGAACATAGACAAAGGAGATAGGCCATATTGCTGATTCGCCGAGGAAGCAGATTGGAAATGCTGTACAAAAGATGGGGAACTGGCGCCGGGGGATCGTACTACATCAAGTATATTGCCAGGAGGCGTCGGTAATGGGAAAAGATCAAGATCACCGGGCACGAAGTCCATCCACTGCATTGGTGTCCAACCAGGCGCCGAGGCTGGAGTTGAGACATTTCCAGAGGACTTGGCGCGGAAGATTCGAGAACTTAGAAAATCATAGTCAAAGAGGTCCTCGATACCAGAGACATCCAGACTATTGACATCGAGATTGACAATTGAGTCCAAGTTTGCAAACCTGCTAGAAATGGCCTGGAAATTCGCTAATGATTCAACCTATGTCTATCTTAGCCACAACATAACCCGTTAGGAGAAAGATTGATTACCATTAGCTTCGCACTGGGCCAAGTCAACGAGAGCTCTTTCAAGATCTCTATATTGGATTCCAGCAACTGAGACGACTCCTCCTGCACGGCAGGATCGGTAGAGGACAAGTTCAAAATATGTACCGTACTCGGAACCAGGAGGCAGTAACCATGCATGCTCATTTTCGAGCAGTACCCCGCAATGCTTATCTCTTTCATAAATCTCGAAAGCCCGGCGGCATGTTCCCTTACAGATTCAAGTGCGCGGCGGAAAAAGTTCCGCGCCCCATGACCGCTGATATTGGCAATGTTTGGACGTCTTAGCAGGAGCAGGGGATGATATAAGAGACATTGAGAAAGATACCACAGAGCGTTGGCAAGAATGAGGTACTGTAAGTCTACTCTAGTAGCTCTTCCAGCGGCTTGAAATTTTTCTGCCACGGCAGCAAAGTCAAAATGACCGCCAATCTGGTAGCGTGCCTCTAAAGAATCAAGTTTGGAAGATATCGAGGCAAAGGGAGAGGTAGGGTCCCAGGGTGGAATCCGACATGCGCCGCCTTTAACAGACAGGCAGTACTTTGTAGCCTTCATCAACAAGCAAGATACTGACACCGTAAGAGCAAAGCTCCCTGGGGGAGTCGAAGGCGTCAGGCTCAGGATTTGCTCAAGGCTCTGGGTCGTCACGTCTTGTCCTCCCTCAAATTCTTCCCCCCTACAAGGAAGTTGCACCGTACAATCTTCATCCATAATTCCAGCAGGGCGGTTCTTATTGCAGGAAACGTATTTATCCAGTAAGTAACTAGATTAAGGTTAGCAAATTGAAGCAAAAGGCCCACATTGCAACACCTATGACTCACATAGACCAGAAGAGACGCCTGCGCTCCTCTTTGTCGATTGGACTCAAAGTGACGTCCGGCTCATCCATCAACCCAAGATCTTGTGAGAGACGGATGGTGAGGCCGATTTTGATCCATCCCTGGTGATGTTTACCACCTGGAATATCATAATAGTCAGGGCGGTTCAGGGATCAAGTTTGGTTTGACAATAACATACTCGTAAAATCAATCACTGAATGTAATAGCACTGCCCGAGTGAGGTCTAAGTCCGATCCCCCATCAAGTTGATTCCACTCCTTGACGACAATCTTCCATGATTGCTTCGTATACTGTTCAATTGCATCCGATTGATAGCCATGGAGAGATCCGATTGGGCAGTGTCGAAGTCCTGTAGCTAGTACGGAGAATAGCAAGTACTCGGGAACGCGACCATCACCTAGGCGTTGCCTGAATAGCGGTTCGTGAAATAGAGAGTATGGTTGCCCTTCGCAGGAGGCAAAGTATTGGTCGATAATGGCATCCTGAATATCTTTGGGAGGTAGTTTTTGGAACCTTCTATAATCCTCTCCAAGGCCTTGGCTATTTAGTACTGGTCGGGAAGCTTCATCTTGGATAGCCGGGGAAGCGTCTGGAAGCGTCTGGATAACAGTTTCGCCGTCGAGTTCATCTCGAGGAGGACTGGAAGACTGCCGGGCTGGAGTTTGAGTTCTATACAAATGAGGATATTAGTCATATAATTGATTCCCATGTCCACAAATTGGGAAGATACTTGCCTGTGAAATTCTTCTTGGAGACTTTTCAATTGCGACTCGAGAGCCTCGATCCTTGAAATCACCCCAGCGTCATTCTTCGCAGTTAGCAATTCTCTCTGCCATTCACAACAGTACTATAACCATGAGGGAGGTAATACATACAATCTGAAGATTGGCAGAGACATCAGAGTTCTGTTCCCCCTGCTGGATCGTATGTCCATCGTTATACGAGCAAGGTTGTGATAGCCGCTGGCAAAAAGAGCAGACTGGACGCTCTCCCGAACAGCGTACCTTCTTCCGCCTACCACCGCACGTCAGCCCAGCTAGGTTTTGTCTTGAAGCTTGCCTCAGCTCGCCGTGCCCTAGGATCGACTACCTGCAATTCGCACAAGCTTGGCGGATCCGCTTGATTGCCCTGTACTCGGTGTACTGCTGTCTGCTGTCTTCGCTCTCGTTGCTCGACATCCTAATGCGTATGTATATATGATCCCTCACACAGCGGCTTCTCGGCGGTTGGTCTTCGGGTTGTGGTTGAAGATTGCAGGTTGAGGGTTGACAGTCGTTCGGGCATCCGGGGGGGAGAGAAGAGAAGAGAAGAGGTGGAGGGGACGAAAGCGGTGGTGGAATCATGATGCCGTATTAGGCCTAGCCCCGGCACTAACCTCCACATCTTCCCCGCATGGGGCCTTGCTCACACGTGACGCGGAAGACTGCCGTGCACGTGACTTGCGCTCCACGGTAGTGGGTTCTCGAGGGCCTCACTGGGACGACGGACGGCAAAGAAACGTCTATGAAGCCGCAATGGACAATATCCCTGACCGGCGCTATGATAAGAGCCGCTTGCTACCCGCGGAGAGCGTGGATCCTCTCCTTTCCCTCAAATACCTTGTCTTTGCTATTCTCTCTTCTCTTTCCTGTCTCTTTGCTACGGCTCTTCTCAGCATTTCCCTCTCCGTCCTGCCGTCTTTTGCATCTTTCACAGCATTTGATTTACTAGCTATCCAGCCGGAACTCGAATATGGCCCCGACAAGCATTCCGGCCCCGTTTGCAGACCCAATCTGGTATGCTCGAGAGAGTTCTCCATACTATAATTCGTCGCATCACCGTCTCCGGGCAGAGATCCGCGCATATGTTGACGAGTTCCTTGCTCCATATGCCGACGAATGGGAGAAGCAGGGCTACGTACCCCCCGAGGTTTGAAATCTTGCTTCCATATTCGACGCTTCGGGCCAGCTAAGTTATTTGAAGGTCCTCCAAAGACACGCGGCAAAGGGCTATGCCGCTGTTTCGATCTTCCCCCTTTCTAAGGAACACGTTCCCGCCGGTTTACGTTTACCAGGTGGCATCCCACCACACGAATGGGACCATTTTCATGATTTGATCCTGATCGATGAGATTGCGAGGATTGGATACCTTGGCGTGTTGGTTACCCCTTGTTTTCTGGTTTGGGACTTCATCCCCTTTCGAGAATGGGAGCTGAATTATACGTAACTTAGGATATGGGGCCTCTCTTGCGGGAATAGCATCGGCTGCCCACCCATGATCAATTACGGCACCCCAGCGCAGAAAGCTCGTTTCCTCCCTGACGTATATACGGGCAAGACCCGGTTCTGTCTCGGCATCACCGAACCTGAGGCGGGTAGCGATGTAGCTGGGATCACCACAACTGCGGTTCGGAAAGGAGATGTTTATGTCGTAAACGGGGCGAAGAAATGGGTATGTCGCCAAACCGGAATGTAACTTTTCTAAAGTTGACATGAAAGTACTAGATCACCAACGGGATATATGCGGACTGGTGCACGGCAGCTGTCAGAACAGGCGGTCCTGGGAGAGGTGGGATCTCCGCTCTGGTTATTCCCATGAAAAGCAAAGGTGTCACATGTAGGAAGATGGAGAATTCTGGCGTAAACGCCAGTGGTTAGTATCTTCAAGCCCAGCTTACCTTCCACATGCTAAGCAAAGCTATAGGATCTACCTATATAGAGTTCGACGACGTGGAAGTCCCAGTTGAGAACCTACTGGGGAAAGAGAACCACGGCTTCGACATTGTCATGTCCAGTATGTTTTCCCCTTTTAGATATAGGCACACGCTAACCCAGGCCTCCAGATTTCAACCACGAAAGGATCTGGCTCGCATGTACCAGTCTGCGCATGGCACGTGTCTGCGCGGAGGATGCGTACAACTACGCCACGCAGCGTGAAGTCTTCGGCAAGAAGCTGATCTCCAGCCAAGTGATCCGCTCCAAATTCTCCTCCTTCGGCCGCCAGATTGACCCCGCGTATGCATACATGGAGCAGCTTATCTATTGGACCGCTCATGCGTCCCAGGACGGGAGCAGCCCGGCGGTGCAGAAGATTCGACACCAGCAGATGGGAGGCCTGATCGCGAACCTGAAAGTCATGGCAGGGCGGGTCTTGGAGAATGTTGTGCGCGAATCACAGCAGGTTATGGGCGGCGCGGGGTATAATAAGAGTGGGAGAGGAGCCAGGATCGAGCAGATAAGTCGGGATGTCAGGGTCATGGTCGTTGGTGGAGGTAGTGAAGAGATCTTGACCGATCTAGCCTTAAACCAGGAAGTCAGGGCGTTGACCATGTCGGCCAAATTGTGAAGCAGAGCTAGTCTTAGTATTGGCCTCAAAGCCGGAATCCGTCAATGACAAACGGTAGGTCCAAGTTGTAGAAACTGGAATACATATCGCACATCATGCAATCTTGAAATTTGACTACACTGTCTCTTGTGTAAGCAATGGAGCGTCATCGACAGCTAGTTATTGTTCTCTCATTGCAAATAACCTCGAAAAGGTTACATCTCGATAACAATCGGCCTGATCAGAACCTGTCAAAAAGGGCAGCCACATGACCCAGCTTAAATATGCTCTTTCAAAAACTCCATCACATCACGAATGCCCTCCTCCGCCACCTCAGTAGGCATCAGGGTAAAGCCATGGACCGCCTCCGGGACGATGACAAGCTTTGCCTCGTTCCCGGCAAGCGTCCATCTCGATGCCATGAATACCGAGTCATCCAGTAGCGGATCCGCCGTGCCCACAAGGAACAACGCCGGCGGGAGCCCCTCCAGCTGTGCATACAGCGGCGAGACGTCCCCGCTTTTCCGCTTTTCTGGCGGGAACACTGAGGGTGGGAACGCCGTATCAATGAACCTATACGTGTCCTCCTGTCCCAGTAGGGCTCGGCGCTGGTGCGCGCGCAATGATGGTAGATATGTGAGATCGAAGATACCGTAGCAGGGCGCCAGAGCTTTGATCTGCGCGCGAACGTCGACGCCGTTGTCGCGGAGCTTGATGGCGGTCAAGACGGTCAGGTACGCTCCGGCACTCTCGCCGCTCATGACAGTTAAGGGGCCACCGAGCTTTTGACGGCCTTCGTCGGAGAGAGCGTACAGGGCAGCGTCAACACAGTCTTCGACCATGCTGGGGAAGATCGACTCGGGGGCCTTTCTGTACTCGACGCTTACCACGGTAAGGCTGAGGTCTGTAGCTAGCTTACTGAGAAGGCTATCATGTGCGGCGGAAGAGCCGATTACGAATCCGCCTGTTCGAGGATCAGTTTATCTTTCAAGATGGGGTCGGGAAGTTCTGCCGAGTGATGATATACCGCCGTGGAAATGTAGATAGACGCCCTTCACAGAAGTGTTCCCTGAGGGCAATATCTTCCGCAGGGGTATACTATGCTCGCCGTGACTAGAGGGAATGGTGAAGTTGATGGCGGCGGGATTTAAAACTGGCTTGGGGAAGCCATGGCTGCCCTCCCTTCGAAAACGGCGATAGTCGGCCACACTGTCGCAGTCGTACCATTGGAGTTGAGCCTTCGTCATGTTTTCTATCATGTCCACGTCTATGCGCCGTGCACCAAGTGTTGCTTCGTCGCATGGCTTGACGCTGACGTTCAAAGTGGAAGACATGTCTTCTATATGTTTGTTCCGCTCGGAATGGAGGCTTTCTAGTGTCGGTACTATCAAGGATGATCTGAGTTGTGTTACCTGTTGCTATATCGTCTTAACAAGAGCCATCTGGAGATTCAATGCTGCATAAGTCATAAAGATAATAAATGGGCTGTTTCCCGTGTATGCGGACCGCGTTTATCAACTACGTTGACTTGTTAGCACGGCTGAGAGTTCCTGCGCCTCGATCCATCCGTCTTGTTACCCCGCTTGAGCGGAGTAACCTTGCAAAAGCGGCCGGGACGCGGGGTGAGGGGCGGAAGTCGAACTCAATGGGTGATACGGAGGTAATACGGAGTAATGATCCCGAACTATCTACATCGCGGACGAGCTCGCCAACTCAGAATTGACATCAGGCGTCAATTGATCGACTGCTGAACAAATTCTGTCCAAATGAGTAGGCATCCATGTATCATATCATAGACGATTTTGATGAATCTGTGAGTAGCCCCTCCATCTAGCCCCGTGTAAGGTATGAAAAGTTGTAGATGAGATGGCGATAATAAGTTGTCCTACTTAGGATAATGGCCACATATTCTTGCGCAACAGGCGTCGTGCGAGATGGAAAATGCAAGAATCTCTTGGTGAAGTTCTTTTTCGCGGTTAACAAGCCTATAAAGTCGGACAACAACTCCCACTGCTAGGGTCATGCTGTGAGCATTTTGTCTGTCGGCTATTTCAAGTATGGAGGGGCTGGCCTTCGTTTCGCACATTAGGAACGGGAAGTGTATCTGCCATTTGCCATGGGAGGAAATAGCATCAAAGTCGCCTATGAGAGGGTGAAGACATTTATATTGTTCGTCTGTGAACGCAGATCGGTCGAATCCTGCAGAATAATCGGGTCGTGGCCGAGGACCGTAGACAAATATAGAGAAGTTCCACGCTTGGTTGTTACTCTCGATTAGTTTCTCGGAATGTGCACCACAGACAGGCAGTTCCTGTACCTAGGTAGATGTGGACTGGCGAACGTGACCAAGACAGATATGTCAATTGAAACTGAGTTCCTGCTTGTTAAATACGCCACATACTGTGGTTGATCGTTGGCAGTTGTCAGCTGTACAGTAGATCGTCCAACAAGGTCTTGAACTTGAATTGGGGATGTTTGATCGCTATCAGCTCGAGTCCCAAGGGTCATACTGTAGAGGTCCAAACGATTGAGGCAGCCATGACTTCTTAGACTGAGAACTGTTCGATAATTATGAAACTTGGCGATTGACGCTAAAAGCTGTGACGTACGGTAGTGTCGTCTCTTGCTAACATACGTTTCCCTTCGTATAATTGAATTTGTTTCTTCATGGATAGAGTATACGGTATCTGTAGTAATTTGCTGAGGACCTCGGTACGGAGTAGAGTCTGTTCAACCTCTGGGTATGTTGGTACCGGTACCGCTTCGAAGCGTCGGCAAGGTGTCGGATTCGTGGATAGTGAACGGTGTTGTATAGGATTAGATCACGTTCCACGTTCCAAACAGCTGGATCGTGTCGAAAAGAAAGTAGCTGATCATCGGGCATATTTTTATCGAATGAGAAATAAGAATATCAACGGGAGACAAATAGAGAGGAGGAATTGATAACACCGGCCTCTAACGGACGAGGACGACAGAAACAGAGCACTACTCAGGAGCCAGGACGCCGTGCCCGGTGGACTCGAAAAGCCATGAAAGGGTAACCTGACAGAGAAAGCAACAAGACGGACTCGAATGAAATGCAAATAGAGTACACTTCACCAACTGCGTATGTCACTATCGATTGGCAGGTAGACGGAGTGATGTTTTGGCTAAGAAACGGGAGGAGAATATCAGAGACCACCTAGTGATGTCGCTAAGCCCCATCTAGACTAGCCCCTCATCACATGACCCACCCACTTTCACACCCCGCAGTACCTTACCTTAGGCGACCCAGGTAAAAGATAGATGGATAATCGAGCCCTTTGATTTGCTAAAAGAAAACTTGGATTGCGGCATTGCGGCATCGATAACAGCCTTTGCACGCGACATCGATGACGATGGAGGAACCATCGCACCTCTACCTACGAGGCTTCTACCGCCGATGAACGTGAGCAACGACTACCAGCCCCTCGGACGGCCTCACACGCCGCTATCTCGAGGCGTATCAGCACCCAGCAATGGTCTCCGGCTCGCAGCCATCGACGAGCACGATGTGGCGGCAGAAGGTGGGGTCCGACGGATAGACAGCTCGGTCTTGGAGGAGGAGAAGAAGGAGAAAGAGGCATCGGTGACTTGGATGTCCTTGCCACATAAAAGACAGTTGATCATCCTTACTCTGGCCCGGCTGTCAGAGCCAGTGGTGCAGACCTCGCTGCAGGTATGTCCCCCCACCTCTCACTTCAGGATGCCCCGGGGACCCTTATATTAATTTGCTGATGGTTGAACTTCATAGACGTACATGTTTTACCAACTCAGGTCCTTCGACGAAAGTCTTCCCGATTCCGTAATTGCAACACAGGCGGGGCTGTTGGCGAGCAGTTTTACTGGTGCACAATTCCTGACAGCAATGATGTGGGGACGAATATCGGATTCGGAGAAAGGAGGGAGAAAGTTCGTGTTGCTTGTTGGACTTCTTGGGACGAGTGAGTGTGAACCTAAGACAGTTACAGAGGCCATTGTATGGAACGAGCTGACAGATGTCTAGTGCTCTCGTGCATTGGCTTTGGATTTTCAAAAACCTTTTGGCAGGCCATGATATTTCGAACGATGGGTGGTGCTCTGAACGGGAATGTCGGGGTGATGAAGACTATGGTATCAGAGATCGTGCAAGAGAAGAAGTCCGTTCCACTATTAGATACCGACAGCAAACGGTGCTAACTGATTGAAACTAGGTTTCAATCAAGAGCGTTTCTGTTATTTCCGATGTGCTACAACGTCGGTGTAATCATCGGGCCCATCTTGGGAGGACTCCTAGCCGACCCTGCTGGATCTTATCCGAACATCTTTGGAAATGTCAAGTTTCTAAAGGAGTATCCATATGCACCACCCAATCTTCTGAATGCGTTCTTCCTGCTTAGTGCTGCGATAGGAACATTCTTTGGACTAGCTGAGGTAGGTATTTTTGAGGAATTCCCCAGATAAAATTCTCTAATAGCCGATAGACCCTCGAATCTATACGCCATAACGAGGACCTGGGAATAAAATGTGGTCGCAAGCTCATGGAGATCGTCTTCAGGTGCAAGTCCGACTCCTCTCACGCATACACTTCCATCGCCAGCGACGAACGCGCTGGATCCTCACTTGAGTCAGATGTTGAGATGTCTCCTATTACCCCAGTCAGCGAACCAATGAGGAGAAAGTCAATTCCCCGATGGCGACAGAAGTTGCCATTCCGCCGGATCTCCACTCATAACGTGATATGCACACTGGTTGCACACACCATCCTTGCTACTCATCTCGGCGCATTCAACAGCCTTTGGTTCGTTTTCCTATCAACCCCAGTGGCGAATCCCGCACATCCAAATCCACCAAACTACCAACGCCGTCTCCCCTTCATATTCACTGGTGGTCTCGGTATGCCGCCGCGAGACGTTGGGCTGGCCATGTCTGTTCTTGGAATCCTAGGGATCGTGATGCAGCTCGTAATCTACCCCATCGTGAATAACAAACTTGGCGTTGTCAGATCGTGGCGTATATTTCTATTATGCTTCCCCATCGCGTATGTTCTCGTTCCATATCTGGCGATTGTACCTTCAAAAACACCACCTCCGGCAGAGAAAGATGGGATCTTAGTATGGCTGGCCCTCTGCTTCGTTTTATTTGTCCAGGTCACAGGTCGAACGTTTGCTTTGCCCGCTACCACGATCCTCGTCAATAATGCCTCGCCACACCCATCTGTCTTAGGTACCATGCATGGGATCGGACAGAGTCTCTCTAGTGCAGGTCGCACAGTGGGCCCTAGTTTGGGGGGTGCGCTTTATGGTGTTGGCCTAAGACATGGGGTTGTGGGTGCTGTGTGGTGGGGGCTGAGTGCCTGGGCTGTTCTTAATTGCATTGCCAGCTTTTGGGTGAGGGAAGGTGATGGGCATGAGATTAAACTAGAAGGGGATGTTGAGGCAGAAGCGGAGTTTCAAGCACAGAGGCGAAGAGAAGTTTAGAAGTTGAGTTCTACGGTATAATATTATAGAGCATATAGACCGAGACTTTTTATTTTTATATACTATAGAGCAACAGTAAATGTTAATTTAAATAAATCACACCTTTTATATGATGGTTTTTATCACTTGGTTCATAAATGTCTCCTGAGGATGAAGAAAGGGCGGAGAATCTGTCCCTCAATGTTTCACCTGATAACCCTTTTCGACCCCTCCGCCGCCTATTTCTAACTTCCCTCATACAATTCATCAGTCACTACGATTCTAGATCTGGGAAGATATTACAATAAGAAGATTACCCGAACATATCAGAGAGCCCACTATCTGCAGTCTATTATTCTCCAAATGATTTCTCCTCCAACCCCCCCCCCCCGGCGGCGGACGCCCCCAACACCAAAATGCCTGCCTCACGAAGAGCGGAAGAGCCAGGCACCTACCCCGCCATTAGCGTTCCAGCCTCAGGCAAATAAGGCAACGATCTCGAATTTTAGCGTCAAATCCATCGAACCTTAACCCCTCAGATTTCAATAAAATGTAGAGATATCGTGGTCCCAAATCTGAACAGTAGAACGTGCTGTTTAAATTTCCAATTGGAAGGTTGTGGCGTGAGATACTGCAGGTTGAAGGGGGACTTAACCGTTTTGTTGCACTTCGCAAACCTCGAATTCGTAGCAACTGGTTTAGCGTCAATAGTAGCGTCATGTCCTCAGGCATGGTTAGGCCAACCCGTACCGGGCATTCACGTGGCAGTGTGGGGAATACATCATCACGTGGAGTCAGTTCTGCGCCATTACCTCGGGCTCTTCCCCAGATGTCAACACAGCACAACATACAATGCCGGCCTCACAACCACCGGACGATCTCGTCCACTTCCGGGCCATTCCATGGTGCGCAGAGCTGCTCTCGTCGCCAGAATATGTCCTAACTAGCACTTTCTCCCGGCATCCCAAGCCGCGCAACGAAGACTCGCTCTTCGCGCACACGCTCAACTCCGCGCACACCATCCCGCATATCCAATCTTTATACCGACGGCCCACACCGCCCGAGACCTTTGTCTCCGAGCTACTGACGCTGGTCACGCTCTCGACGGGGCTGAATGGCGGTCCGGACGCGCTGCACGGCGGCATCATCGCGACGCTGATGGACGACGTCAAGGGTTTGCTGCTGACGGTGAATACGACAGATGCGGGCGAGCCGCTGAGCGCGAGTGCCGTGACGGCGCGCATGGAGGTGCGTTTTGAGAGGAGGGTGCCCACGCCCGGCACGTATGTGGTGGGCGCTAGGTGTACGCGGCGGGAGGGCAGGAAGATCTGGTTAGAGGGCTGGATTATGGATGGGGAGGGGAGGAGGTGTGCATCGTCAGAGAGTTTGTGGGTTTTTGTGAAGGCCAGATTGTAGGGGGGAATGGGCAGGGCAGGGTGGTTGAAAGCTACCTTAGCTAACGTTAACCAATTATAGATTAAATGCTGTTTCCACACTACCTTTTGCTGCTTCTATGTAAGCCAAAGAATCCCTATTCAAGAACTTTGAGAGACTGTCAAATGCTGTACATGTCTGACAGTGTAAATTGTGAGAGTTTATAAAGAGTCTAGATCCTGAATAGCGCCAGGGTTATTTATATAAAACCGGATTAACGTTACTCCGGAATTGAGGCTCAAAGTGCGGCTCGGCCGGCACAGGCGCGCGCCCGCGCTGAGTAACACGTAGCTCACGTGACCTCGGACCTCTTCTGTACCTTATCTACGTATCTATTAATCTGTTAGAAACTTTCTCCTCTCTCTTTCTTTCCTCCTTAGCTTAAGGTCGATTCTTGTATTTAGAACCAATCCGTTGTTCGCTTCCACCATCGACTATCAAGTTTTGGATTACGATACCGTCTTGCAATCTGTCCGAATCCTGACTAGCGAAAGCTTGACTCCTCGGATATACTTCATAAATTTCGTTCGCGATCTGACTACTGGCATTTTATAACCATCAGTCAGCATTGGAATTCTTCTCCAATATCCGGAATAAATCATAGACTAACAGTGGAAGATAAATAATCTTCACCGTTTCTCCATTTACCTCCCGCATTCAACTTCGTGAGTTTTCTGTGCCCCGCCAACCCCGCAAACGAACCCTCGTCGTGTTCCAGTACAGCATTATTTCTGGGTCGATCTCTCAACAAAGCCCACGATGCCGAACTACATGACCCTTGCGACGTGCAACCTCAATCAGTGGGCTCTTGATTGGGAGCGAAATGTCGAGCGTATCATCTCATCGATCAAAATCGCAAAAGCCAAAGGAGGTAACATAAACATGCCTGTTATCAGGATACAACACCCGGAGCTGACTTGTATATAGCCACTCTTCGAGTGGGACCCGAGCTCGAGATCACAGGATACGGCTGCTACGATCATTTCCTGTATGTATATTCTCAAAGCATTGATAGCCTATTCTGCATGAATTCGCGAGTTGTGAGATATATTTTTCTCTTTGGACAGTGTCTCAAGAGCAAGATATTCCTCATACCTCACAAATCTGGCTCTGAGGTCACATTGTTTCTTGGTCAAACATCACTGACTGTGGATATCATCTAGCGAATCTGACACTTTCTTGCACTCTTGGGAAATGCTCGCTCGTATTCTCAAAGATCCCACATGCCGAGACATCCTTCTTGATATCGGCATGCCCGTCATGGTAAGTCCTAACAATCAAATGCATACAGTCAATTCGATATGCTGAAAAAATATTACAGCATCGAAACATCCGTTATAATTGCCGTGTGATTTGCTTTAATGGGCAAATTCTCCTCATTCGACCAAAATTATACTTGGCCGAAAGCGGCAATTATCGTGAGATGAGATAGTGAGTTCCGAGACACGTCTTTTACTCTTGGAGCAATTTAGGAGTACAGCCCGTACTCGTGACTTCTGCTTTATTGCTCTGGCTTCCTTGATCTTTAGATTGCTGACTCCGAAACCTTCATAGTTTTACGCCTTGGGGACGACCAGGTCATACTGAAGAGTATTATCTGCCTCGAATGATCCAAGAAATTGTGAACAACACGAAGACAGTCATCGGCGATGCAGTCATTGCCTGCCGGGACACTGTTGTTGGCTGCGAGACATGTGAAGAACTTTTCACTCCCGCTGCGCCCCATTCCCAAATGTCTCTCGATGGGGTCGAAGTGTTCACAAACTCTAGTGGTTCTCATCACGAACTTCGAAAGCTGAAAACCCGCTTCGACTTGATTTCCGAAGCCACGAGAAAAGCCGGTGGTATCTATTTGTACGCGAATCAGCAAGGCTGTGATGGAGACAGATTATATTATGACGGCAGTGCAATGATTTTTCAAAACGGATCTTTGATGGCTCAGGGCTCACAGTTTAGCTTTAATGACGTCGAAGTTGTCACTGCAACCTGTGATATTGAAGAGGTTAGGTCATTCCGCTGTGAACCAAGTCGGGGCTACCAGGCAACAGCAACTGGAGCCATGAAATATCGTCGTATTGACGTAGACTTCGCGCTCTCTGTTTCGGGGTCAGTTCTGACCTCAAAAGTCAGCCCGTCAAAGCCGATAGAGCCCTTTTTCCATACGCCTGAGGAAGAGATTGCCCGTGGTCCGGCTTGTTGGCTCTGGGATTATGGTAAGTAATTAGGTTGTTGATACTCTTGAGTTATATCTCGGGAATCGATTCCAGAACCCTACTAGCTAGGCCGTAACTGACTTTCCGATTTCTATAGTCCGTCGTAGCCGACAATCTGGATTCTTTCTACCACTTTCGTATATCCCCCGCTTCCGTTCTCGTGTTCAAATCACCTGCTTACCGTCGTTCTAGTGGTGGGATCGACTCTGCAAGCTCGGCAGTGATAATCTACTCGATGTGTAGATTGGTAGTAGAAGCCGTGAAGGCTGGTAATGAACAGGTCATTGCCGACGTACGAATGATCTGTGCCGAGGATGAATGGCTTCCAGCTACACCTCAAGAGCTGTGCGGAAAGATATTCCATACATGTAAGAGATCCCTCAACTCCATACTCAAGGGTGTCAGAACCCCATTGACATGGAATTTAGGCTACATGGGCACGGAGAAGAACAGTTCCAAGGAAACCCGCAAGAGAGCCAAGGATTTGAGTTCAGGTAAGGTTTTCAAATTTTAAAAGTAGCGTCAGTACCCAGGAAACACCCTACTGACCCGCTCTTTTGTAGTGATAAATTCATACCACACCAACCTCAACATAGATACCGTTGTATCAGCAATGCTTGCCGTGTTTACCTCCGTAACTAATTTCGTACCCCGCTTCACATCTCAAGGAGGAACAGTGGCCGAGAATCTCAGTCTGCAAAATATTCAGAGTCGTCTCCGGTGAGTCTTGGTTTTCTATTGAGACATGGCCGCTAGCTGACATGACAAAGTATGGTCTTCTCATACCTTTTCGCCCAGCTGCTTCCAACTGTCAGAGGTCGTAGGGGAGGTGGGTCGTTGCTTGTGATCGGAAGCGCCAATGTCGATGAGGTATGTGCTATTGAATTTTGTTTAATTTGGGTATGAGGCTAATGATATTAGCAATTGAGAGGCTACTACACGAAATACGATTGCTCCAGTGCCGGTAAGTCATCAAATTTTCCCTTATCTAATTGCGCACCCGGATTCAGCACCTTTGGAAGACACGCAGTGGTGAATAGAAGCATTGAAAAATTTAGCCACAAGAAGCCCTGCGCTTCAGAAGGCGTCCCCAATTTAGAATATGCTTCTAAGCAATGAAACCAAGGTCGTGGACGTCCTTTAAAAAAGGGGAACGGTGCCGAACGCCAAGAAGTATACTCTCTAAAGCATACCAATGGTGCACAATCCTCAGGGACTATATTCGGGATCTGCCGCTAAATTTCACACGAACTTGCCTGTAGCTCAGGTTTTCTTTTCGCTGAAACTCAGGCTCTTGATTCCTGGGATTAGTCCCAAGGGTGCTTGACTAGTCCTTGGAATTCCGGTGATAAGTCTTCCATGTGTTCTGAAGCTAACTGCAAAATAGACCTCAACCCTATTGGAGGGATTAGCAAGACTGATGTACGTATTCTCCGATGAATCTTTCATCGGCAGGCTCATCCCAGAGTTGAGACATGCGTTGTCTCCGAAATAATCCCTCCCGCCTTCGCTTTCCTTAATTTCTAGACGAAGGAGCGCTGACCCAAAGAACACTAGCTTAAGAGATTTATCGCATATGCGAGAGATAACTTCGATATGCCCATTTTGGACGAGTTTATCCACGCTGTTCCCACAGCGGAACTTGTCCCATTCTCAGCGGTATGTCTAAGAACACACCCAAACGAAGACCTTACTGACTAGGATAGACCTACGTTCAGTCAGACGAAGAAGAAATGGGATTGAGTTATGACCGTAAGTTTCACATGATTCGGGATAATAATTAGAGCTCTGACTAACGCTGCGAAAAGAATTGAGCGTTTTTGGTCGTCTCCGGAAGGTTTCTAAGCTTGGCCCGTATGGTTGCTGGGAGTACGTGAATCCACGTTTCACACAGCCTTATATTGTTAACAAATCTTTATAGGAAACTGGTTCATGAGTGGCAAGATAAGATGACTCCTCGCGAAATATTTGAGAAAGTCAAGACTTTCTTCCACGTATGTAGTAATCCACATGGAACTCTTTGGCATTTTTGATAAGAATGTCCATGATGCCCTATGATCCTATGCTAACTCTCAATAGTTTTATGGTATCAACCGCCATAAGATGACGACTGTGACCCCGGCTTATCACGCAGAGCGTACGTTATATTCTCCCCTTGAGATTTCCTCGCAGCAAATCTTTTAGTCCATAAGCCCCAAAATCCATTTTCCTACTCCAGCAAGAAGAAAAACGCTGATTCTAAGATCATCAACAGAATACTCACCAGACGACAACCGTTTTGATCAGCGCCCATTGTGAGTTTCCCAGCTGTTATTGCTTTTGTTGCTCGCTGCTAATATCTGAATCCAAATAGCTTGTATCCGGCTCTTACCTGGCCGTATCGTAAGATTGAACAGGCTTTGAGAGAGTATGAGGAGGGAAGTGGGAAGAAGGATGAGTGAGGATATGGAATGTGTTAGGTGCTACGGAGGTACAGCACGTAAGTATGGGATCTACCTTTGTATAGGGGCCACTTTCTAACTCAATAGAACGGCGGTAGTTATAGATGGTATGATATAGAGGAGGAACGCTGGTTTGATGAACCCCTTCATAGCTGAATTTGAGCCTGCGGGGTCTGAATCGTCCCCGATATTGCCTATAAAGCAGCCCTGCTCATCTTTCTGATCTGAAGCAGAATAGGTTCAAGTTAGAATTCGGGTTTGATAACCAGATGGTGTATGTCTATTGATATTTCAGTGTTTTGGTTTTATGTCTTTCTAAGTTTTGTTATGTTTTATGTTTTAATTTTATTTCTATTTTGTTCCCGCTATTATTGTTATTTTCTCTCCTCCACTGGCGCTTTCCAAATCTATGGTTCTACATAACATTAAGAGTCAGCCGGTGAAGAACTGGGGTACGTAACTGCCTTAGGCACCAAGGCTACCACTCGTTTATCGACCTCGCTGACTCCTGAGCTTCTCTCGACTTCCTTTCTTTTTCACTCAGAGAAAGATACTCTTGGGAACCCTCATGGATTCTTTTTCTTCCCCCCTTTATCTTTCTGATTTTTGTTCCAGTTCTCGTGGCTTTCAAAAGAGACCCCTGTAACATCATCCCCCGTCCTGGCACGGCACGTGGTGAGTCATGGCCGAAGCCTACTTCCAACTCGCGTCAGACCGAAAGGATTCATATTCTAATATGGCCTGATCAAGGCCCGCTCCATTCCTATAAAAGCTCCAATATCCTACATCTGAAATATGGAAACCAGACCAAGATTGCGGGAAAATTACCTTTATGAATATCGAAAAGGTCAAAAGGTCACGCCGATTGATTGTGGACAACATACCTTTGAGGCTTTGACTGGGCATCTCCTATCCACCCCAATCAAGCCCTCGTGACTTACGATGGAGTCCACGGAGATCTACGATCTTCTAATTCTGGTCGATGCGACATCCTCGATGTACTCTTATCTTGCTGCCCTACGAACCTCCTTGCCGCAAATCATCTCAATTTCGACTCTGACGGACTGCTTCTCCCGAGTAGGCCTGCTCGCATATAGAGACTACTGCGACACGGAGCTCTTGGATTGGTCCGGGTGGTTCTCTCCATCATCGGTATCCGACGAGCCAGCAGTTGATTTGATCCTGAAAGTCGAGAAGTTGTATCCCATGAGTGGTGGCGATGGACCAGAAGCCACCAAGACGGGATTGGCGAGGGCCTATGAGCTCATGAGAAAGGAGGCAAAGACTATCATCTTGCTGTATACTGATGCTGCACCTCATACGTATGCCAATGGGTCACTGACGGATCGCTATTCCAACCTCGCTCACGAGCTCGCAGCACTCAAAGATGCCTCTTCGTATGGAGGATATGGTCCAAACTTCCGGGATTGGGTCTCGGCGACTTTGATGCTGACCGGGAACCATGGAGATAAAGAATGTCAAGCATTCAGCGTTCTGGGGCCGCACATGGGACTTGATTCCATCGGATACTATAATTACCTCTCCACCATGACTGGTGGAGCATGCCTTCAACTCCATGATTCCAAGCCAGCGACCATCTCCAAGGTGACTGTAGAGGCTTTATTGGCATGGATGGGTGTAGAAAAGACAGGTGTTTCAACGACCCTGGAGTTGCCAGCACACCTGATAAGATACACCTCAGTGGAGAACATCGAGAAGCTGGTCGATGAGAAGGATAAGGCTGCAAAGCCCTTCTTTTTGATCCCTTCTTCCTCTTACAACCCTTTCATTCCTTCTTCCCGTTACAAAATAGACGGGGATTCCAATATCACCAAGATCTGGCTTTCCCTAGATACACTCAAGAAGCATCTGCCCAAGAAAACGACCCCAGTTCAGGATTTTGCTAAGAGGTATGCCGAAGACCCCCGATACAGGATTATTGCTGTGGAACAGCTCAGGAAGATCATCTACGGCGATGTTTCTGCGATCTCTCTCAATCCAGTGTTCGGTTCTTTGTGGCGGGTGGTTTGCAATGATCGAGATAATGAGGCACGAGATGAGCTCACTACAGCCTTTGGCTCACAGATCGACCGCATTGCTGATGCCAATGAAAAGGCACGTATGAAGGTCTGGCTGGAGGAATCTTATGACTACACTGCCGAGGTTCTCGCAACGATCAACTCAGTACCATTAGATCAGCGGTTCCCATGTGTTTGCCTTGATCCAACATTGTCCTTTACTCATACGACAGAGGATGGCGACACTGAACAGACTGAAGACAAAGCCATTACCTTGTTTCGACGGGATGAACTCCTTGAAATCGGTCGTTCCTGCGATTACAAGATACTCCGCCGCCTTGGTCGCGTCTTGACACGGCTCACATACATCAATTCCGCTGATGAGGTACCAGCCCATATTGCTGCCGCCCCGGAAACAGAGATTCCGAGAATCCCTATATCGCTCGCTCGCCCTGAACACAAGCGTCGATTCTGGAGGATACTGCTGCACATTGTGGTACCGGGGACCATGCTTTCAGGCAGACCCGCAGCGCTGCTTGCAGCTCTCAGCATTCGTCTTGGGGTTCAGCCTCTTTTGCAAGCCGCTGAGCAGGAGATGCTGCTATGGCGTGAGCGATGGAATGACCCTAAGATTTCAGAGACTTGGAATGTTAGCTGTCTCTCACTTCTCATGGATGCTGATGAAGCATATCGAAAGAGACTCGAGGACCAGGATGCATCTAGGCAACATGATGTCAAGTATGCAACCTTACTGAACACCTCTGATCGCTCGGTCTTCAAACTCTTGGTCTCGTACAAAATGCTTCAGCTTAACTTGGACACCACGCTGACTGCTCGGGTCGGATGGACCCCTGTGAAGACTAAAGTGGCCTTGGGACCAACTGCGATATGCAAGTCCTGTGAATACCCACGTTCCGTCACCATAATGGGCGCCGATGGTCGATGTGGGATTTGTCTATGGAGCGAGTGGGCTACAGAAGAAGAGCGTGAAGTAGCGACCACCAAAAATGTCACTAAGGAGGACAGCGAGAGCACTCTTGCAACGTGGGTGGAGTGCAACGTGTGGTCGTGTCGAGCCCAGTATGTCGTTTACCGCCCCGAGGAGCTGAGAGTCAGACCGAAGTGCCATTACTGTCGAGTTTCCCAAGAAGCGCCGGTAGTGGAATGTCGCGAATGCCTTAATAGAATCATATGGCCTGTCACCTACCGCCCAAATGACATTCGAGACTACACTTGCCACATGTGCACGTCTGGGCATAAATCAATCATCGAAGAGGAGACCACAGCCACACAGTTGTCTCAGGAAAACACGACCTCGTGGCTCCTCCGCGACGACGAGAAACTACTCGAACTCTTCAATAACCGTTCCCTCTTCCATACAATTACGACCTGCGGTCCCGCCTTCTTTCACCAGAAGATCGAACTCTTCCCCCCCGCCGCCTTGCAGAACCTAACCCTCAAAGGCAAACCTCTTCATAACGTCCCCTCCCTCATCCTTGAGCTAGAATCCTGGGTTTCCGGCCGCCGCGCTCAAGGAGGAATCTGCACACTCTGCTTCACCTCCTACCGTAAATCCGACCTCATGCTCGCGTGTGGCCGGACCGGTTGTCTGCAAAAGATCTGCAGAGGGTGTTTGGAGGGATGGTATGGCCTGAATGGCCCGGGGCGCATCATCAATACCGCAGCGCTGGCGTGTCCATTCTGCCGCAGGGCGCCAACGGCTAAGACGCTGGCTAAGTACGGGATGGGCATCCACGCACTAGGACACCTGAGGGAGGCGGTTGAGGAACGAGGGAGCTGGATCTATGCCTGGTGCGGTGGTTGCGGGTGTGCTAAGCAGTACATGGCGCGAGTCTGCGCGGCTGGTGCTCCCGCAGAACTGAGAGATTGGATGTGTGAGCCGTGCGCGGAGAAGTCTGGGGACAAGATGAGGGAGAAGATGAAGGAGTGTCCGGGGTGTGGGACCATGACGGAGAAGATTGGTGGGTGTAATCATATTGCGTGTACAGTCCGAGAATGTGAGACGCATTGGTGTTTTCTTTGTGGAGGGAAGTTTGACCAGGAGATGATCTATGATCATATGCAGAAGGATCATGGAGGCTATTATGGGCACGGCGTTGCTGCCGAGGAGCATGAGGACGAGGAGGATGAGGATGAGGACGAGGAGGCCGGATGGTATTAAGCTTCATTGATTACCGTTTACAATTGAAGTCAAGAAGGGTGATGAAGAAATCTTCGACGGTGTTGTTGTCAGGGTCAAGTCACATATCAGCCGTCGCATTTCCCCTGAACCAAGAGGACGGCAGTCAAGATTTGAATACTAAGATTATAATTATGCCTCTGTAGATTGAGGTGTATTAATATTATGTAACTTTTCCTTCTCTTTGAATTTCTCCAACTTTTCCTTTTCAAAACTTTTCCTTTTCAAAACTTTTCCTTTCCAAACTTTTCCTTTCCAAACTTTTCCTTCCCAAACCTTTGTCCCTCTTCCAAGCCCTCAAAACGAACCAATCAAATCATAAATCATCATCACAACCCCAATCCATCAAATTATATCACGCCCCCCTCAAAACTCCCCTCCAAACCAACATCATCTTCTAAATTCCTCCCCTGAAAATTCCCAGAATCCTATCCTGCACCGCTTAGTGATAATACTTGGTACCATACACAGCATCGAACGCCGCGTTGACCTGTTGATGATGGTGTTTAGCCGCGGAAGCGATCTTGTGGGCGGCGCGCTTCAGAGCCCCGCCCTTGTGTGCTGCGGGGCGCGCGCTGTCGAGGGATGCTTTGGGACGGCTGTCGCGCCGGGGTTGTTGCTCGACTGTCATGAATGTTGAGGAGGCCATTGCGTTGGTGTTTGTTTGTTTGTCTGGTGGTGCTGCGCAATGAGAAGAAGTGCAGTGCTGGATAGATAGATAGATAGATTGCTGATGAGTGAGTGGTGTGAAAGCGCAAGTGATGACTTGAGATTGATGATCGCTTTTGTTGTTTGTGTGTGGTGTGGGAAGGAGGTGGTTATTATTGACTTGAGTGTGTATGTTGTGTAAGATAGATGAGGTATTGATATTCGTATTTGGATTTTGTTCTGCTGATTGAAGCTGAAGCTGATGATGATAGAATCGCAATAGGGGTGATCCAGCACCCTCTATTTATACTCCTCCTCCCATCTCTCTCATCCTCTAGACATAGCCGCCTCTATGCGCGCGCCGAAAACTCTGCTCTGCACACGCTCTCCGCTCCCAAGGATCATGATGTTTCGATTATTCGTAGCCATAGCCATAAGGCTGAAAATTCTCGATGGCTCCAGCAACATCCCGCGGCGCGGCGCAGCGCCGATACGACGTCGTCCAGGAACCGCTTGCCGGATCGGGAATGGTGGGCCTTCCGGGGGGGTGTCATTATGCAGGATGGGGCTGAAAATATTTTCCCCGGAAAAAAAGAGAAAGGATGAAAAAAGGAAAAAGAAGGAAAAAGGCGGGAAAACATGGGATGGGATGAAGATCTTTGGGGTCACGCTCGCGGCTCGGCTTCATTATTACATAATAAACTTGTCAGGAGAGCTGAAAATAGATGTGTGGAGGCGGACGCGGGAACTATTACGAATGGCTTCGGCGCTGTCTTCGAATGATCTTCTGCTGGCGCGGCGTTCGAGACGCCGAGATGTGAGGTTGGGGATTCTCTTAAGCCGAGATGTGGTGTTGAGGTTCCGCTGCAAGGCGAGGGCTCATGAGCACGCGTCTGGGATCGGTGGATCTATTGGTGGAGTATTGATTTTTGGAGGCTTCTAGCCAGTGTCAAACCTTTAGCTGCCCAGCTCAAGTGATGATGGATTCGAGGATCCCTGGGTCATGATGGTTTGGAGTCAAGGCTTTTGTTGTCCAGGTGACAAGTGACTCCAATATCCTGGTAGACCTTCCAATTTTTGCAGAGAAGCCTCGAGGATACGATTGTCAAGTAGACAGCGAGCTGAATTGTGATCAACGTTGTTATTCTATCATAACACAAATGGACCTTTGACTCGGGGGCACAGAAGGACAATTGAAGAAAAAAACACGAGAGCAGTCATATTCCAACACAAAGGAGACACGTACATAGCTGTCCACAGCAGAAAGCTTCACAACGTATAGCCCGGTCAGTCATTGGCCAGGGGTTAAGATCTCACCGGCGGAGTCCAGGTTTTCCAAAGCCTCATATCTCCCATCGCCTTCTGGATATCTGAGATCCCATCCGTATACTCCCTCATCTTTTGTCCATTCCTCCGCACGCTCATCACTCTCACCTTGGGTCTTCTTGGTCTCTCTGTGCCCATCTCTTTGTCTCTCTCATCTCCCTTGCCGTCTACTTCTTCCTCTTGATCTTCCTCTCCACTTATTTCTCCCTTCCACAACCTCTCAAACCACTCGTCCAAAGTATCCACGAACGTAGCCAGCTTCTGCCCTCCAAGCGGACCATCATGACCCTCCGGCTCCGGCTCTTCCATTGTGATCTCATGCTTCCCATAATACCACCTATCAGCCAGACACCTCTCTTCATCATCCGGCACCACGATGACCTCCCTCAAATGCTCCCTCTCTCTCAAACTCCACAAACTGTTCCAGAGGCCATCCCACCGCCCATCCGCGTCGCCTATCCATAGCTTCCGATCGAAGGCCAGATATCGCAGCCCTTCCAACTCCTTCCCCTCCCCCTTCGTCGCAAGGAACAACCGCAGATGCTGCGCTTTGAACTCCGGCCCCAAGTACACGATATCATTCTCCCACGATACATACACGCTCGTCGGCTCATGCGGCGCCGCAGAGGGGAGCGGAGCGGTCCATCCCCTCCACCTGCTGCGAGCCGCATTCGGATTCGCGGGATGCTCATTCCACGGCACGTATCTGCGGCCCGGGACCCGCACCGCAGCACTGACGCCGATCTCGATGCGTTTGTACAGCCGTAACGCCTCCATCCGCGACTCTTTGCAGACCCGGAAAATGACCGGCAGGTAGTGCGGGTGCGTGGTGAACTTGATGGGGCCGTAGTGGCCGGCGCCCCAGGAGCGGATCTCCAGCACGCGCTTGTGCGGTGCGGCGAGGGACCAGATGCGGATACGCAGTTCGGGCGGGAGAAGGGGGAAGAGGGGGAATGTTAGGGGAGGACGATTGGGCTTGGAGTTTGCGGAAGCCGGTGCGTACGCCATATCTGTAGACGGGGCATGGTGGACAGATTTCAAGAGACCGCTGGGTAGGGAAGATGGGTTGTAGGGACGTTGCATGGCCATGGTTCGCTCTTACGCGTGGCGCTTCGTCTGTGGTAGAAGAGGGAGATATGAAGACGCCTAGTCCCTGGATAGACGATTGAGAGAAGAACTTACAGCTCACGGGGATCGCTTCAGCCAGTTCCTATCCATGATGATCTGCTGGGTATGCGATTCGCATTGTCCCATCCGTACGACCTGTTCCTTTCTCTTATATCAACAGATCTCGCGCCTCGTTCCACCCTGCGCCGTGCTCAAAGTTGCGCTCTGATCCAACGGATTTCCCTCCCTCATGACGCCTCCCTTTGCAATGTTGGCATCCCGCATCGTGTCGAAGATATATAAATCGAAGAATGGAGTCCTCCGCTGCCGTTGAAAGAAGAGCAAGGCTGTCGCCGCCCACTATTGGCACGACGGGCGCAAGGCTGACAAGCAGGCGAGCCAATGAAAATCCCCTTCCGTCCAACCGTCCTCTCGACCGCAACAATGTCCAATCGATCCCGAGCCTCACGATTGCTTTCTCAGCTCTCCCAGATCCGTGTCTGTCGTCCGTCCCGCCTTGAGAATCATCAGGTTGTGCGTAGCAGGTTTTACTCGACCGAGAACCAGGGTCCGCGCTTCATGGACGCAACGACGAACGGCGTGCAGACGCCTCCCTCCGACGCCTCGCGAGAGGCTGCTTCTGCCTCTGGCCCGCGGAAGCTGAAGATTCTGATGCTGCATGGTAGGATTACCCTTTCTTTCCACCCCAAGTTCTTCAGCTTTTCCATCCCCCTAGTCCAGTCCAGTCTCGCTGACACACCAGACAGGATACACACAATCCGGGCCTCTCTTCCACGCCAAAACCCGCTCCCTCGAGAAGCTCCTTGCGAAAGCCTTCCCGCCCGCGCCCCCACCACCACACAAGCCCTCCGCCCTCTCCAAGATCTATCCCGGCGGTCCCCAGCTCTTCTATCCCACCGCGCCCATCCGCCTGCTCCCCGCCGACATCCCCGGCTTCTCTCCCGACGCCCCAACCGATGACTCCTCGCCCGCCCCCGACGCCTGGGGCTGGTGGAAGAAGGACGACGCAACGGGAGGCTACGCCAACCTCGAGGAGGGCCTTGACCGCATCGCCGAAGCGATCAAGGAGGCCGGTGGCATCGACGGCGTGATCGGCTTCTCGCAAGGTGCCGCGGCCGCGGCTATGGTGGCCAGTCTGCTACAGCCCGGGCGGAAAGAGGCCTTCGACAAGTACCGCGAGGCGCACCCGGACGCGTTGGCGTATCCGCGCAGCTGGGAGGGCCTGCGGGAGCTGCATCCCCAGGGGCTCAAGTTCGCGGCGGCGTATAGTGGCTTCTACGCGGGGAGCCCGTGGTATACGGCCTTCTACGAACCGAAGATCTCGTGCCCCGTTCTGCATTTCATTGGGAGCTTGGATACTGTGGTTGAAGAGAGCCGTAGCTTGGAGTTGGTTGCGGCGTGTGAGGAGGGTACGGGGAAGACGGTGTACCACCCCGGCGGCCATTTCGTGCCCGTGAGCAAGGAGTGGGGTGCGGTGCTCGTCGGCTTTATTAGGCAGTGTCTTGAGGTGAAGCAGGAAGAGAAGCTGGAAGATGTGGATATGCCTTTATGATGAGTGGAATCCTGTGTAGCATGCCGTTCCGCGTCACGAACATACATGAGAGAGAGACATGAGTTGTAGATCTCAGGCACCATTTTTTTGGGATTTGCATGAGAAAATCTAGAAAGTAGACTAGTATACAGAGCGCCGCAACATAGAATATTAGAAATACTATGTATTATCAGGCAATTTCCCGCCCTCTACTGCGCCTTCCCAGCCTCAGTCTTCGCCTTCGGCGCCTTTGCTGGCTTGGTTGGTTGGATTCTGGCCATCATTTCCTCCTTAGTGATCAAGTGATCAATCCGCTCTAGCAACCCAAGCAAACTCTTCATATTCCCGCTCCACTCGTTCAACACATCATCCGCATCTCTCGGCTTGGCAAAGTTCACAATCCGCGCTGGGCGGTCGATCTTCGCATATACTGTCTTGGCAGTTACCAGTTCGCTGATGTATTTTTCAGTCTCGTCCTCTGTCAAGTCGAGCAGTTGGGTTAGACGCGGCATCTGGATGCGAGTGTAGTATTTGGCCACGACGCGGACGTTGTGCTCAATGACACGCTTGCGAAGATCTTCCCATCGCTTGTATGCCTTGGGATCTGCAGATTGGCCGGGAGCAGCGTCGAAAACATCGGTGCTGCAGAGATGAGGGCCGAAGAGCTTGGCTACTTCAGGCCATCGCATGAGTTCGTGCACTGTAAAGAGCTTAAGTAGTTGAGCATCGAGGGGAATCTGTGAAATGCGTGCATCTCTGTGGATTCGGTGGAGGAGATCGGATTGTTCGTTGTCGTACGGAGCGAGGATGACATAGTAGATGATTCTTTGCAGACACTGGAGAGATCAGACTATGCCGATGATCGAATTGAGAGGAACTTACTGGTTGGAGCTTGGCAGGATCTTCCTCAACTAACTCGGTATCCAGGACTTGCCTATAATGCTTGCACGCGTCCAGATACTTGTCATCATGCTTCGCCAACGTGATTTGCTGCTCGTAGTATTGCAGCTTCAAATCCGTGACATCATCCTCCACTGGCTCTGGCACCTCCTCACCCTTCTCCCTCCTCTTCTCACGTGCCGCCTTTTCCTTCTCAATCTCCTCTGGTGACTTCTTTGGCTTTCGCGAAAGATACTTCGTGCTGATCTTCCTGCTCAGAATGCCAGCTTGTGTCCAGTCTTCATTCTCTATGCATAACGCGACTTGTGCCAGAATAAATTCTGTCTTTTCTCGCCTCTCCATAGATCCAAAGGTTTCAACCTGAAGTTCACACAAGATATCCATAGCCCCCTTCAGGTCGCCTTGCCCCTTCTTGATGTCCGAGAGGATCTTCGTTACACGCGCTCGCTCAACTTCGACAAATATTTTGCCTTCGGTGACGGTTCGCAGTGTTTCAATGACAGATAACTTTGTTTCCAGGTTTGGCGTCGAATCCAGGAAACCCATCACTACCTGCACCATCTTCGTGACAGCTTGTTTGAGTTGGCCATGCTTCTTGGAAAGCAGCAGGACCTGCTCATTTAGCAGGCTCCAATCGCCCGAATCCTTGCAGATTGTGACTATTGCGATGAGGATTCGAGACGTTGATGCTAGATCTGAAGCCTAAGAGAGACGTTAGTTGTGTGCGAAAGCTGGAGAGGCTAAACTGACCTGTCTGGTCTGTTTCTCTAATACAGTGAGCTTCTCAATAGCTCCTTGCACATTCGTCTGCGAGAGAATAGATATCAGCTTGCGTCCCAAAGGCGACAGGGCCATGGTACTATACCAGAGCCAGCGACTCTGCTTCAGGAAGCTGTTTGTCAACTTCCTTAGAGAAGTCCTTGTCAGGCTTGAGGACCTGGCCGTCGGACATGGTGGTGGCTGTGAAGGGGGGCGATTAGTTTAGCTTCGGAGGGTAGAGGCACGACGGCGAGTTGGAGATGGAGACCGTCGTGGTGTTGATGAGGGTGGTGACAAGGGATTGAAGATGGAGTCGTTGATCTTGAATCCCCATGTTTAGGTAGTGAGCTTTACGCGGCGAGCTCATCATGCGTGTTGGGTCGCTCCCGCTAGCCGTAGCCGCGCTTAGCCTTATTCGAGGTTAGTCTTCCTTGCAAGTTGCCAGGCGTTGTCCAGCTACCAAGCTCGTCACCCTTTCAATACGCACAACATTCTGAATTTCTGTTCTTGACAACTGTTTCTTTCGAAAAGCGTGACCATGATTTACACCATATCATTTTCTTGAACACCGTCCTAATAAAACAGTAATTGAATGTGGACCCATTCCTATCTCCACCGCATGGTCCTTGATCGTCAACCTCTCAGCTCTAGTGTTCTGAGAATCGCATCCCATTGAGCCCAAATGATCCGGGTTATATGTGTCCATCTACGGTGAAATCTATTCATTGATAAACGAGTCGATTATGTGACAGGAAGACTTATGGCAATGCTTTAACCCGTTCCATTCAGATTCTGTTTTTCTTCGCAAACATCTCTGCTGCTCTGCTCAGCTGCCCTCGAAGTAGGACTTAATGCTAAGCAATTGCTTGAGCTAGTTATCTAAACAATAGCGGCACTTGTGTATTACCAAAATGTTCAACTCCCAAAATATTCCTTCCACACTATCATTATCTTAGGTTCTTCCTCCCCACAGCCTCATCATCTTAAGGAAAGTAGTAAATTTATCGATAAATTTGGAAAATCAAAAAGACAAGGAGATCCAATATCTATTCGTGAAATCTGCTTTATTTGTTTAGTCTCAGATGTGCTTGGCTTCTTCCTAAGGTCCAAACGTCCAAAAGTACGGGTGTAAGAACTCGCTAAGTCGTAGGTAGTCACATGCCGCAAAACACACCAAAAATATCCAAAAAAAAACGAAACGCAACGCAAAAAAGATGAGCGGATCTGAGCAAGAACTCAGGGTCGTGAACTCAAGAGACGACTCTCTGACGGGGAGTCGAACCCCGATCTCCCGCGCTTTGCCAGTTGGATGACAAGCGGAAATCATGACCGTTAGACCATCAAAGATGTGATTGTTATTCTGATATCCCCATCGGTGTCTATATCCCTCTGCGCTTGACCCCAATTGATCGGTTTTATTTACTAAATAAAGCCGCCTCCACAAGATCGGGATCCTTAATCGCTCGGTACCTTGGTTATTCGGGCCTCATACATCGCTCCTTGAGATTCGTGTTGCGATATCCTCCAGTGTCTTTCTCTTTAGTGTGGGGACACTGGGGAGGTTATCTTAGGTAAGGTGCCTGGATACAATCTTTTTCAAAGGTCTATTTACGCATATCCAGATCCCCGCATCACTTTGGCCTTGAGTTGGTGAAACTCAATCCCGGAAAGCGAAATCTTTTAAGTTTGAAGTCCAGTGTGCGCTGCACGCAGCAACCATCAAATCAAATGCAGGCAGCAGCCCAGCCCGTCAATCAGCCCTTCAGTCGAGTGGTGTTCAATCGGTTACTGTGCCTCATGCTGCAGCGCAATTCAACAGTGCTTTATTCCCTTTCGTGAACGAATGGCCTTTCGGCTGAAACATGCCTTCTATTCTATGTCTCTTCTCGCCAGATTCTTAGGCCACCTCAATCCCGACACTCGACAAGCCGTGAAACTTATCAAATAACTGATTTACCGGGCGGGAGCCTCCAAATCCAATGATGATAACAAAACTCTGCAAGATTCTTTTGGGCAGCTGCCTTCGTGACTCTATCCGTTCAAGACCAGAAATAATTCCCCGATCCGGGCGATAGCGGCCACATACTGGGCGAGGTATGAAGGTTTTTCCTCATTTGCCTTCGGGCTACAAGACGTCTCGTGGCTGACATGTTACACTTAGACTATTCAACAATACCTTTCTATCCAGCAGAATTACGGAGGGCATTGGAGAATTTCGAAGCTCCTTACTCGATACAGTGTCATTGAGATACTTTACTTGCAAGAGGATTGCAGTGCCCCACTTCAACTGTCGGCGTCTAGTTATATGCAGCGGTTCCGCTTTACCTTTCTAATGCCAAACCGTACTCTCAGTTGGAATGCTCTTAGTACGTCTCAATTCGTGTAGCTTTGTCGCAGCGAACGCTCATCAAGGAATTCCAGGGCAGACATTACACAACGCTGACTATCTGCTACAGAGCGATTCAGCAAGGGCGTGAAGGATACGCTATACAAACAGTGTGACGAATAGTTCAAAAGATCTCGGAAACCGGACAAAAATAGCAGGTAGAGAACGTGAGTATACAGCTGCTCATATCTGACCATATACAGCTGATGTTGTAGGAGTTCAAGCACAGATGGGAAAGGATATTGCCGAGCGTTATGAGCAGCTGAATGGCAACTTGCATAAGCTTGAGTCTCCTATCATGCAGATGGAAGATTGAATCACTATTATGAATGATAGTCTCAAGTGTGAGCTTCTCATCTATTCTCACAATTCTCAGAAAAGGAGAGGAGAGAAGTCTTCCGGTGCATGTCGCAGAACTTGTTACCAAGATCGGACGAATGGCTCCTGAAAAGCCCCATCTTTATAGAATGGGGACAATCAAGTGTATCCTCGATATTTTGGCTCCATGGCATTGCTGAGAAACATCTTGAAGACTTTAACATTTGTTTGACGTGGTGCTGACTAGAATGTAGCTGGTCCCTGCAAGACAGGACTTGTGTAAGTTGTCCTTTAGAAGGCTTCCAAGCTTCTGAGCCACTGTAATTGTCCCTTGTATTGCTTGATGGTATTTTGACACATCACTGATAAGAGGATCCTTGCCAGGCCCAGAGTCCATTAATATTAGCACTGATACCTCTTGTATTCGCTTTACAGCGGCTGCTATCCATACAGGAGCTGATCACAGCCGTATCTACATAGGTTGTCAGCGAGCAGCAGTCTTTAATGAACTCTGATGGAAGCTCTGAGAGTGACGGGGCATTATCTTCAGATGCCGAAAGCGAGAGTCATCAGGTAGTGTCCTCCGATGATACTTTGCGACTATGCCGCAGCTTTTTGGTCCTAAGTTCAAAGACTAGATAGAGCTTTCCGTTTTGCGCACCTATCTGTAGAATATGGACTAGAAGCGAATGAGATAAAGACGACGCACTCAAGCGGGGCAGACTAGACCTTGATTCTAGGAGCCAGGATGTAGTCTGTACGAAGTACGTACAGTTGTGTTAACAGTGTTATGGAACGGGGGAGGTGAGCATAAGAGAGTTCTTGCGCCTACGTGTTTAGATTTATGCATGTGTCTGTGGAGAAGCTATTAGACCTTTTCTACATCAGGCTTTTGGGCTGAGGAGCAGTCAAGGCATGATAAACGTGCATAAAGGAAGGAAAAAATGATAGACATTTCAAGTATCCTCCGCACTTTGAACCGCTTCCGGATCCCGTTAGTAGACAGAAAGATGCATGACACTGCTAGACCCATCTTTTATCACAGCCACAGCAGTTTAAGTCTGAAAGCCGGGCTACTTGGACAGGTGTGTAAAAATTCAATGATGAGTCTCTAGCCCCAGACCCCCAGTTTGCTGATCTTGATCTTCTTCATCGCTTTTGGGGTTTACGTATGAGGAATGAGAAGGCCCTCGCATTTGCATTTCTTCGAAGTCTGAATCCTGGCTTTTAGCATCTCAATAGGCTTTCAGTATTGAGGAATACTGAGGATATCTTGAATATCCACAGCAAGATTGTTATCCTTGATATTTTGCCGGAAAGGAGGTGGAGCTCAACTTTGAAAAGTTCCATTGAGAAGAAAGGACAAAGGGAAACGCCTTGGCTTATGTACATCAAAACATGAGACGCGCTTTAAAAGCAGTAGTGAAGAGAATTTATATAGAAAGTTGGGATGGAGTTCTTTTGAATTGGAATTTCCGGTTTGCCTTCATGAATAATCAAATCCAGATAAGAAACTATCATCTTTTTCACATAGAAGACGATCTGAGGGTTTTGATCTTGAAATTAGGTCTGAACATTCTGCCAGTCTCTGAGGATACACAAAAGTTTAGCTACTCAAGGTACTTTAGGTAAGGTAAGGTAAATAACAACTTGATATCTTGTTCTCGGTAAAACTCAGGGGCTAGTCACGTGCCAATTCCTAAAGCGGATATCTTTTGTAAACACCATTAACCGTTCGTGAATCCTACATACGGGAACCGTCAATTAGACTCGTCTCTTGTATGAGGCAGAACTGATTACAGTGCAGAATGAAGCAGCGTATATAAGTACCTACCTAGGTGTCTACCTAGTAAGTCAAGGGGAGCCCCTTGACCTAGTACTAATTAGGCAGGTCCACCTGTCTTACGTGTATTATGTCCACGTGATGTCCCACCTCTCGTCGAGTATGCTCCATCTACCTAGGGACCTTCACCTCAATCTCCATCTCTCAACTTTAGGAATCATGACGTTGAAGACTCCCTTTGGCCGCGCTATGCGCGAGACTCATTTCAACTTCTCGCCTTCGTACACTCCTCTAAATCACGGCTCTTACGGTGCTTATCCACGCTCTGTCCAAGCCCAACAAGATGCCATCCAAAGACAGCTTGCCGAGCGCCCGGATACCTTCATTGTTTATGAGCTGCCCAACTTGATTGATAAATCCCGAAGAGCTGTGGCACCGCTCCTCGGCGTCCCAGTGGACGAAGTGGTATTCGTGCCTAATGCGACAACAGGGGTCAACACCGTTCTTCGAAATCTGAAGTATGAGGAGGGAGATGTGATTGTGCATTTTAGTACCATTTATGGGGCGTGTGAAAAGACTATTGCCTCCATTGGCGAGATGACGCCTCTGGTTCCCGTGTGCATTCAACTGGAGTATCCGATTGAGGATGCGGAGATTCTAAAGAGGTTTAGGGACACAGTTAGCCAAGCGCGGAGAGAAGGAAAGAATGTCAAGCTAGCCATGTTTGACACTGTTCTGACATTTCCTGGTGCCAGGATGCCGTGGGAGGATCTGGTAAAGGCATGTAAGGAACTGAGGGTTTTGAGTTTAATTGACGGTGCTCATGGTATTGGGCATATCGATTTAACACATCTGGGGAGCGTGGGGCCGGACTTCTTTGTCAGCAATTGCCACAAGTACGTCTTTCATAACTCTTCCCACTTTCTATGAGTATTAAAAGCGTCTAGGTGGCTCTATACTCCTCGCGGCTGCGCAGTCTTCCATGTACCAGCTCGCAACCAACATCTTATACGCACCTGTCTGCCAACTTCTCATGGGTATCAATATCCATTCGAAAAACCTGAGCCAACTGGAAAATCCCCATTTGTTCATCTCTTTGAGTTTGTAGCCACTATCGACTACACGCCATACCTTTGCGTTCCTGCGGCCATCGAGTTCCGGGAAAGAATCTGCGGGGGTGAAGAAACCATAAGAAAATACTGTTGGGAAATCGCACGCGTTGGGGGAAGAAGAGTTGCAGAGATCCTCGGAACATATGTGATGGACAACGAAGGCAGTACGCTTTCAAAGTGCTGTTTCGCTAATGTGAAACTGCCATTATTTTTCAAGCTTGACGGAGCCCTTCAACAGAGAAAGCAGTTCAGTGTTGGTGAGGCGGGTAAGATTCAGAAATGGCTCAATTTTACAGCTGTCAAGGAGTTTGATACATATCTTCAGATCGCCTTCCATTCCGGAGCGATGTGGGTAAGACTCAGTGGTCAGATATATCTTACGTTGGAAGATTTTGAATGGATTGGGTTTAAATTAAAAGAGTTATGTGCCAGACTAAACAAGGATGAAGTTGTATTCTGAGTTGTTCAGATGATATACCCTTCAAGAACTCTTGACTGCCGGGGAGTTAGATATATATATAACAGTCTTGTGTAAATGAACTCAACCAAATAATTGGCAACGAGACAGAACAGGTACCTTACCATATGGGCTCCGCCAAGACCACAATTAGGAGATGTGGGGATCTAAATTCAGGGGGTAGCACTAGCGAATCTGTATGCCTGAGGCATGATCGGCATCAAAGCACTCCGCGGTTGCATCGTCGCGTTCACACCTTCACTACACCGCTAACTTGAGCACGACATAGACACAGTGCCCAGTGACTCTGTTTTTTAACCTCACGATGAATAATAGTCAGGAAGTGCAGAGGGCTTTGACTTTAATTCGTTCTGTTCCTCTTACTCCCCCTGAGCATAAGCTGCTTTCATGCTTCGTGAGAGACGCTGTCGACCCCAAAGCTGCAGCCCTGTATGTCCTTCAGCAAGCTTCACAAGGAGACACAAAGGACATTGAATTTGAGTTACGTCACATATTAACAGAGTGGAAGCAGTTAGTAAAACGATGTCTGTTTTCCATTCCTTCTTGCCTTTATTCGAACTACGCTGACCGCGATGGACGTCTCTAGTCACATTGCCCACGAAGATATCCACAAATACAAAATTATTGGTTTCTATACGCGATGATAATTGTTGTTGTATTACAAAACAGTCAAGAGAGTGGTGGGATGTGCTTGGTTGGACTCGGACAGGGCCCATTCGTCTTGTTCCAGACGAAGTTATTGCCGGCTTAGACGACGCTGCCCACGTAGGTGGCTCTTCTGCTGGGTATAATTTGTCCATCCTGACCCGAGTATAGGCTTCATTGCGGGAGCTACTCGCTGCCTTTCTTACCGAGGGTCACCTTCGACGCTTGATAAGGTCCTTGGACTTGCCATCAGACGATATTAATCAGCTCAAGAACACTTTGACACTACAAGAAAGTGTCGCAACTCTATTTATAAATGGGCAAATTAAAGTTGAACCAGAGCGTGTTGCTGACGAATCAGCTGATGACAGCATGGAGACGAAAGGCCTGGTATGCAATCCGTACATTTCAGTCATAAGCCTACGCTGATCTTCTTAGTATGAACTGACGATGGTAATGCCCCGCCCTTTCCCTGTACTGAAGAGCAAGAAAGGGCGGCGTCTGTATGCTAACGACAACCTCATTATCTCGACCACCGACGCCAAAACCATGCCTCTCCCAGACTCTTTTCTTCTTGCTCTACGTGCCCGCTTTTGCAACTCCCTACGATGTCTTCAAATAGAAGATGAGATGCAGCTCGGATGGCCTGAAAATACACTTCGGCACAAGTTTCAAAGAATTTGTCGCAGGATGATTGAACCGGCCGTTCCTCTCCTCAGGCACTCATGGCTTTATCTTCCCCGGTCATTTCGAATCCTCACTTATCGATTGCTCTTGAATGTGGGCGTCAGAATCTATGGGAAACAGCTTGCTTGGGTCCAGCGTGTTCCTTTTGGCTTATATATCAAGCATGGCCGCGGCAATATTGTTTCTAAAGGAGAAGCGCCCGCATTAAGACTCATCGAGCAGTATGCAGATATCCCGGCGCCGAAGGTTATAGATGTTCTTACTGTTGAGAACTACACATATCTTGTAATGACACGCCTGCCAGGCGTGCCTCTCCTGGAAGGGCTACCTCGAATGTCGTACCCAGAAAGGACACAGCTGGCTCTCGATCTCCGGAATTGCTTCTCTCAGTTTCGACGGATCCCGAACCCGAACTCCACGGCGATCTGCAATGCGAACGGGGGGCCCGTGTTCGACTATCGGCTTCCAGTGAGTTCAAAAACAGCGGGCCCATTCCAATCTGAGGAGGAGTTCAATAGATTTCTTATCACGCAGCCGCGGCTAAAGTCTGCGATACATGACCGCTCCCATAAAATATATTTCTCGCATGCGGACCTGAGTCCTACCAACATTCTCGTAAGTGCTGGGAAATTGTCAGGCTTGGTTGACTTTGCTTGTGCTGGCTTTTATCCAGAGTATTGGGAGTATACCAAAGGGGTTAATGGACACTTCGGTCCGGACACTTCATTTATTGACCTCTTGTTCGAAACGTTCGAGGGTTCATACGAGGAAGAGTTAAAAGCAGAGCAGAAGCTCTGGGAGTTTGTAACCCCTTGGTAATAGGCTAATATCGAAGCGCTTGCTGATGCACGGAGAATAATAAATGGCTTCCACTTAATCCTGTCGTTCGAGGAATGGCGGCTCTTGTGAGGCTCACACTTCATAAGCAGATAGATAGACACTGCTACAGGTGGTTGCAGGCGTTTATGCTGCCAGTTTTCTGTACATGGTTTAATTGCTAATGATAGTAGTACCGCGTTGGACATGCTTGTAGCGATAAAATTGATTCGACCTCGTCTGTTCTAAGCTGCTCGGTGAGAAACATGTTTCATTCATCACACCTTGAAAGTTTCAGGCCTAATCGCACACTTCGATATGTCTAGTGCAGATATTACTGCCACGATGGAAATGTGCGATATATAAGGTAGCGACCGAAGGAGTTCGCTTTTTCTACCAGCATCTCTTCTTAAAACCACATTTCATTCCACTTCACATTCAAATTATACGGTCAAAATCAGAGATTCAGCTGACCATTTCGTCTTCGCCATTTTGTTGTATATAATATATTATACTGGTCAGTTGATTTTCCTTGACACCACAGCCCATCATGGCTAAGTAGTGACAGCATCTGTTCATCATTATGGAACCCCCTTATGAGGACGGTGGAATCTATATCATCCTCACAACCATCGGGATAGATCGGTGGCACTGGGGGATCTACGTTTCTGTCTCTGACACTTACGGGATGGTCTACCATGTAACGAACCGCAATGGTCAATGGGAGTTCCAGGACCACATGACGGAAAATGTGGTCGATTCTCTAAATATCATAGCAGCGCTTCAGATAGGCGGCGGTATCGAAGAACAATGGGCCGAAGCAGTCCATAATATTCTCATAGCTGTCCCTGTTATTGCCGACGGCGGGCTCGATCCTAGATGGAGACAGAATTTCACATGTCGAGTTTGGGTTCTCGAGGCAGTGGAGCGCCTACGTCTGGCAAATCTGGTTCCCGATGAGCCTGCTCTAGAGGTAGAGGAAGATGCATTTAATGCTGCTAGAGCCGCCAGCTCGAGTGGAACAAGACGGATGGTTATGTCTCGTGGTGTAAAAGCTCAGAGGCTCCGGAATTGAATGCGTCCGCCTTGTCTTTGACTATTAGGATTGTTATCTCTTCGTGTTTCCTTTTACACACAACTGTTGCCCGCCCACCTTTCCTCTGATCCTTCCCGAATTGCGGCATCTCATTTGGGTTTTTATCCAGTCTTAGTCTACAGCTGTCACTGTTTCAAATCGTTACGAGCGTACTACACCTCCCTTCTTGACGCACTTGAAATCTAGGGCTATAATTAAGGTTTAGTTGCTATCACATTGATCGCATAATTCGGCATGTGCCAGCTGCGCGCCGAGTCAAGATGACTATATGTATACATAAGGTATACTGGGATCAGGCGAGATAGCATAGCGTTTTGACGAATGACTATCCGGTTAGAAACCCAAGATACCTCTCCCTCACTCAATCACGGATACAGATAACGATATCTCTCCTGCCAGATACTTGACGCAAACTGCTGATATTTGTTCGCGGCTTTGGTTCTTTCTACTTATACATCAACCACCCACCATCTCACATCCAATCATACACAACTCCCTTCTCTTTACACCGTGCATGCTTTCTTGTGCCTAGAAAGTTGCTTCCCTTCTTCTTCCAGGCCCAAGAGAAAACGAATAAGAAAAAATGCAGAAGGCATATAAATGCACCACAGACGCAATGCAACAAGGCAAAAGCAAGTGCCACGGATGAAGGAAATAGCTCACAGAGCAATAAGGACCAGTCGGTTTCATTTCCCCTCTGCTCCGCTACATACACCAGAGCGCAACAGAAACAAGGAGATGAATGAATATTATGCAGGTGAAAGTGGAAGTATATACAATGCAAGCAACCCACTCCTCGCTCCCTCAAAAAGCCACATCATGGAATCAAAGAGCCCATTTTTTACAGAAGATCCCACAACCCCAAGACCGCGCCCCTTTTGGTAACCGTGGTTTCGTTCAGGCTCCCGTACATTGAGCCGTTACCCAGCTGTAGTGCGAACCCAACCAGGTTCGCCGAGCTGCCGTCCCCGAGCGTCACGTTCAGCGCGTCGCCATTCGTCGCGCTTGAGTTGTCGAAGAAGTGCTGCAGCTGTACCTGCGCTGCGCTGGCCACGTCCAGCCCCACCTGTTCCAGCAGGAACAGGACCGCGATTCGGGCAAAGTCCAACACCTGTTGCGTGGCATCAAAGCGCGCTTGGAAGAACAACGACGTCGTGGTGATTGGCACGGTGGCGGGTGGTGAGGCAGCGTCGCCGGAGGGTCGAGACTCCCCGTTGAACGTCACAAGCGCGTTCTCGGACACGCATGTCAGATTTGCTGAGTTGAAGCGCGCGAGTACGACGGACGAGGAGAGCGGGATGCTGAAGTTAGTCTGCGCGGCGGAGATCAGGCGCGGGATGGAGTCGCCAAGGGTGATGTCTGGCGTCGAGGAAATGGTTGTGGTGGTGCAGCCTGTGGTGCCGCTCACGGTGCAAGTTGGCCCGGTGAAGCCGTTTATGCATATGCAGGAGCAGGTACCTGTGGAGAAAACGGAGGTGCCTCCATTCTGGCATGCAGTGCTGGGATCAGATGCGCACCGTTGGGCGGATCCGGACGAGGTAGAGTGAGTGGGATCTTGTTTATGAACAACCAAGAGCTCAATAGGAACAACGACTGCGGCGACTATGGCGATTACGAGTATTAGGAGGACAATAAGGAATCCCCATACGGGGAGGCCGCAGCAGCGTCGTCGACGTTTGGTGGACACTTCGTCTTTGTGATCGCCGGTCAAGGGTTCAGGTGTGCGGTTATAGGCGGATGGCCACGAGGATGCTGGGCGCGCTGTATTTCCCCGACTTGGGAGTGCGATACTAGGGGATGGAAAGGCAGCAAGCATCCCGGAAAGGCCAGAATTATGTCTGCGATCTAGGTTTGTTAGTTGTGGTTTGGTGTGATGCCTTCTGATCTACTTACGCTCATTCAAGTTCTTCTCCTTGATGTCAGCCACCGGTGGGAAATCATTAAGATCATGTATGCGACTCCCTGGTCTCTTTCCCCGATCTATCATTGAAGCCAATACTGTGGCTCGTCGAATTAGGTCAGGTAAACTTGTCAAGCTCCCTCTTGCTTCTGCATCGCGTACAGCATCAAGATTCAAGCGTGGTGGCCGTTTAAGCTCCGATAGTCGACTGAAACCTGGGCCTGGAGCTGGATTCAGGTCAGATGTTAATCCCCTAGACAGTGGTGTATTTGCTGGACTGTTAGCTCCCAGCCTAGCGTTGACATTTGGGCTTGCTGTTCTGTTTTCCAGTGCCGATACAGCATCGTTGGCACCTGCCAACCCGATCCTGGCTCCTGGAGGCACTGAATCTTCTGAACGTAAAGCCGAATTGATGGAATTTGTCGCAAGTGGGGAATCTGCACGCCCAATCATAGGCCACATGGTTTTCTTTTGGATATCTTTCAATCCCGCAAGTGTCGAGTCTGCCCCAGCGACAGCTCCAGCAGCGGCACCATCAAGTACTCCCATCTTCTCCAATTTCAACTTCTGCTGTGGGTTGACGGATGGCGGCTGCTCTGCCCGATCAGAAGCTTTGACCGTCGTGATCACAGCAGGTTTCGCCCGCTTCCCCAGACTCGCGCTACGAATCAATCCTCTGTCATCATTATCGTCGGTATTCGATCCCCTTGATTCACGATCTTCCTCAATTGTCTCGTTCACATAGCTGGTACCATAGCCTCGAGCGTCATCGTAATTATTGTCTTGATCATCATAATCATCATCATATTTTGGGGAGTTGTCGTCCCAAGTCGACGGTATCGCTGCGCTCGACGCATATGAGCCATGAAGGGTACGGGAATCACTTGATGGTTGCGACCTTGGACTTTCTTCTGGAATCGGCGATATGAGTGACCCTTGTGAATAATACGAAGAAGCAGCTCGTCTCACTGGTGGTGGCGGTCCTAAGTTAGCTGTTTTGCGTGGTGGACCAACAACTGGAGGAGGCGGGGGCATCGGTAAGGGGAAGTCGGGAATCGACCCAACTGACGAATTGGTCGATTGTCTCGACGCTGGTGTTGACGGCGACAGGACTCCGGATGAACTGTTATCATCGATGGTAGGTCTCAATGGACTGTCCTCACTAAGATTATTCTGTTCGGCCTGTTGGGGCCTATATCGAAAGGCAGGTGTGTGTTCCTGTACTCGTGATGAATCAAGGATGGAAGGGACACGACTTGGCCTTGGCGGGCGTTGTGGTGGATTCTCACGCCCTGCTGGTGGTTGGTATGGTTGGTTGTCTGTCAGATTCGGCGCTCCCCCAACTGCTCCAGCCAACGGCCATTGCGGGACCTGCGTTGGCCTTGATATCGCAATGCCAATTGCGCCTTGTGCGTTTTTCGACCCTGCGAGCGCTGCTGGCATTTGCGGCCGCGGTCGATTCTGTGGCGGTGGGGTAATCTCAGGCGGCAAGCCTGCCTCCGCCCTCTCTCTTGCTCTTTGCACAGATCCCGCCCCGCCTCCAGAGCTGGGTGGTGCTCCCCATTGCTGGCTACTCATTTAGGCGATGAGAACTGAGTCTTGGGAAAGTGTCGAGGTCTGGCACCAATAAGTAGCTGCGTGCTTCTTGCGTGGCCCAGTCCAGCAACTTGGATCCTCTGTCGTTACCGCGTTTTCACATGCATGAAGCCGTTGGATAATGGGAATAATATATGCTGTCAGCCGCAAGACTTCCGAATCCGTGTAACCCGAAATATGTCGACAATAGACTGCCCCGCCGCTCGACCAGTAAGCAGATATGAGGTATAATGTAGTGATAGAGAATGATCAGCGGTACTGAGCTTTGCAGTAGAGATGTTGGAATGACCGAACGTTCGATTGGTGAATGGTAGACCGGCTAAGTTCTAACGAGCGTGGTGTCGGTCGCTGGGATCCGACAGAAGAATAGACAAGAGATCGAAGGCTAGAGCGACGCGTATGAAACAAGATAGTGCAATGAAGGCCGGCGATGTGTTGAATAGAAATGGCTCGACTGAGCGAGGCCCTGGTGTTGATGTGCGTATATAAAACTCCTCAATCCAGAAACGACTGCACGAAGAGAATCAGTGCCTGACCACAAGAGCGACGGCAAACTGGCCTGTCGGTAAATTCGAGGAAAAAGAAATAGAGACATAGTGAAATTCAGATGGAGACTGCAAATGAGTAGTCAATTGGAAAAACGGGTTGACTGCTCGGGAACCACTTGTGACCGCTAGGTTACTCGATGGCCCAGCCCGGAAAACCAAATTCCATTTCCAATTCTGCTTGCTGTGTCGGCGGGGAATGATTGCTTTAGGATTGCGGAAGCAGTCTTGAAATCATGGACATACACTTGGTGTTTCAAAAAAGCCTACGATGACTGCTCCCTCATGCGAGCGAGATTTCTGGTTTGGAGTCCCGCAAATCTCGAAGTACTCTGGACAATCCTTCTAGGCCTGTGCGTCTTCACCAGTCGTTTTCTTTTCGCATTTGCGCCTCTATGAATTGAATTCGGTATTCGTCTCGAGAAATGACTGTTCCTGATCGGAATATCGTTCGATTACTGACGTTGGGAGTAGGAAAGGAATGCGCTCGTCGTCGCCGCGTTTCACGATGGCGGTGCACCGTGTCGAAGCGGGAGATGGAGATGGAGAGCCTCAAGCCCTGGCGATAAAGCAACAGTGAAGCGCGAATTGAAGGAACGAGATCGAACGCCTGTCGAGTGCATCAATCACGCCGACGTCAGGATCGCTCAGCACAGGTAGATGGACAGACAAGAGGAAGAAGAGAAAAGAATGAGGTTGTCGTCGAGGTTCGGCCGGTCAATCCGCAGGCAAGAAGGAAATGAGCTGAGCGCACGTTTCGGATTGGAATAGATTGCTTTGGACAGTATACCCTGCCGCTGAGCTGCCCGCCATCATCCATGCTGGGGCCAGAGCTTTGAACGTTGGCCATCGGTTTGCTCGCGAAGCACGCCGCCAGAGGTCCCCTCCCTCTCCTTCACCCACACATCCCTTGCACAAGGGGTCTGGGCCAGATGGCCGCCAGTGCGCCACTCTTGGTCTTGGAGGGGTCTCCCACCAGAAACACGCTATATTCCGGGAGGCTTCGTGCATTAGATGGCGCACCATACGGCCCCCGTCCGGGCTCAGGGCAGCGATAGGCTGCTTCGGCCCCTGTGCCCTTGGAGTAGTGGGTTCGCATAGAAAGATATGTCAGGGCGGGACTCAGGACTCAGCAGTCGTCAGGAAGTCTTGCTGACCCCCGTACCTGTTGTGTGATTGGCTATCATCTGCGTATTTGCTATTCTGTCCATTTTCCCTTTCTCATTTTTCTCATGATGTTCTTTCCAATTTATTTTCCTTTTCTTTCTTGATATATCTTGTATGAATGAAGCACTTCGTATAGTGCTGTCGCGGGATGATAGTAGCGCCGGCCTCTTATTAGTTAGGAGCCAGGACTGATACTTTGGCCAATCACTTATAGCGTTGATGATTTGCTGATTTAACTAAATTAGTGCTATCCAGGGTAGTGCCTTGGGGCCGCTGTCAGATCTTTCCGACGGACCAAACGAGACGATCGACTCTTCTTTCTCCTCTTTACTCCGTCTTGATCATTGCATAAGGAATCACAACCCGCGAGTACTCCATCTGCCTCATACATACTGTACGCTCTGCGCCGTTGCACAGTTATCCTCCCCTGTGCGCGGTGCCCTTGTGTGTCCAGTGTGGTCTACTCCGTACGTTTCAGGTGATCATGGATATCCTGTTCTGCAAGGTTCAGTCGGATTATTGTTATCTCGTGGGCCGTGTACCAGGGTTTGGTCACGCCACATACGGATATCTCCCGCAGAGAAATCCTAGGTACGAGGAAGGTTGGAACAAAGGGGAGAGGGTCTTTTAGTATCTCTGTCTCTACACCAAAGTCAAAAGTCAACCGCATTTGCAAGATCCATCTTTCAAGATACACAATCTGCGTGTTTTAACGGAGCTTGCTGACACGCTAACCCCGTCCTTCTATAGCCGACGATTAACGGGATCGCTCATCTTAAAGCGATGATCGTTTAAGTCACCCAAAACTGAAAACCGATACACTGTACTTCTATATATCAAAGTGGCCACGGCATTTGTTAGGCTTCTTATAATAATAAACAAATCAGCGATTCCGGTCAGTCGTCCTCACTTTGCTAACAGAGAATATCTGCTTGACAGCATAATCACACAGCCCCGTTATTCCACCATGTACCGAATCCTTTTGGGGTGTCCGAGGCATGACATGGCTAGAACAGTGTTCAGAACATCGTCTCTGTTTGAGGTCTTTGTTTAAAAAGGCGCTGTGCCCAGCGATCGCTAAACTCGGTCTTGGCTGCTCCATCGCGTACGAAGATGTCTGAACTGCCGTTGCGCCACTTCTACAGTACCAACAACGCTTGATTCCGACCCATCGGCATTCAATGTCATCTGCAAATTCTTGGCTTTTGTACAACTTTAGGTCCCCTTTTGGTTGTCGAGACAAAGTTCAGTGTACATACCAAGTCTCAGGAGGCTAACAGTCCTCAGCCTCTTCGAACATGTTGGCTTCCAGCTCTTCCCCTTGGTGGAGATTCCATCTCTGCAAAGATGAAGGCATCACAATTAAACCTCGTCCAACTAGGACAAATTCCTCTGGTAGTAAGACCGATTAGGAACCGCGCAGGCATGAAAGTTACAAGACGAGGCGGGCGCCGATATTCCAAGGAGCTGGCTTTTCCACATGGTTATATGTTTGAACCAGATAAGCCATGGATCTGTATACACATCATATCGGCGGTCAATTAGCATATTGGATAAGTCAAGGTTCTGTAAGTTTCAGAGGATCTACTGTAAAACGCAGGTAGGGAATCGGCTAATTCGGTATTGATAGGGGGCAACTAGTACTTAAGCGAGCGAAAAGGGGCCCCAGTTCTGAAGATGGCCTGTCTATAAGTACCAGAACCTCTGCTTTCCACAATACCGACATCATCCCCAGTTAGTAGGCCCAAATGTTCCTCCCTCGGGGAGCTTCTTCTTCACAGCCGTGTTCAGATAATCCATCGTGCTCCCGGGAGCTCTATTTCCCCACCAATCCGGAAATGTCGTCCCAGTCAGGTTCAGCGCCGCAATGATCACAATCGTGCAGATGGCCAGGCCGACATCCAGCCCCGCGCTTGTGATGTAGTTGTACCGCATCCACCACCCACGCCAGCGGTTGCGGATTACTTTCTGGAACACGAAGCCGACGAGCGACCAGGAGAGGTAGCTAAGCGGCGTCGCTGGTGGTAGCTCGCCCGTTCCCCCAAAGAAGATCGGCGCGCTGAAGAAGCGGATCTTAGATCGTGGGAACATACGCGCTCCGGCGTACGCAAGGAACGGCGTCAGGGACCCGGCCAGCCAGAAGTACTGCAGCCCGCCGTAAATCGCGCCAGTAGAGAAGATTCGTTTGGGGCCGATAAGGCCGAAGATCACTGAGGCCGTGAAGAAGACACGACCGTTAGGACAGGTGAAATTGTTCGCCTGGTCCTCTTGGCAAATTCCGGTGATGTGGCCGAGTGCCCACTCCATAACTGCCAGTTGTACTAGGCAAGACCAGATCGTGGCGACGAGCTGGCCGATGAACATAGGCCGTTGTGGAATCTTGAGGTAGTGGCCTAGCTTTAGGTCACCGAGAAATGCATGCGCTTGGTTCATGGTGATGTAGCCATAGGTCTTGAAAAGCATCATGGCTACAGGGCGTCCGGGCTGCATGTAGCCGATAATGTACTCTGTGAACACGTTCAAGCCGAGATGGATGTTGGTCGTGGCATAGATGATACCAATTGGAATGGTCCAGACAAGAGAAATCAGGAGGCCAATGACCAAGGCCCACCAGGATAAGTGCGTTGGCCAGGCACAGACGGTTGCAAAGCTCAGGCCCGTCATTACGAGAAACAGCACAGCATACCACCAGGAAGGTACACCTTTGTATTTCCGCATCATCTTCGTGTGGTTGTCATCAAGTACACCACGAACCGCTCGGGCTCGAATCCATATTTCCTCACCGTGAAAGAGAATGGTGTGGAATATCACGGCACTTATAGCAGCAAATGACAGGCCGTATGACAGTGAGAAGGTTGTGGATAAGAATAATGGAGAGTAGGCCTGGATTCAGGTAAGACAGGAGCCATAAAAGCATTGATCTCGAACACTGACCTTGTACTTCGCCTCATCCAAAGTATACTCAGGGGTAAGTATTTTGGTGACATTATACAACTGTCCAGTATTGTCATAACCATTTGAATCACTTATTGGTAGATACTCTGCAAACCAATGGCCGCTGAAGTGTATCGCAGCTGTCATGATGATGAACCAGAACACAGTTCCGATAAGGGTGTTCATAATGGCAAAGAATGGAGGAATCAGGGGCGATTGTAGGTTATATCCTATTTCGCATCAGCTAGAAAATGAAGGATACATATACGGTGAGTGTTACCTGTAATTTGTGTCCACTAAGGTCTCACAATGTCAGCGTTCCTGCCATAAACTAACAAATATGAGATAGAATTATGAAGTACGATTTACAGGAACCCAAACCGAGTGGTCAGAACAAGTCTCAGGGCTCGATGACACAGGAGACTTCTGGCAAAGTAGAGAATATATGTGGATATACATACGTCAAACGTTATTGGCAGGAGAGAGATTCCTGTCCAGCCGCCGAAGACTTGATTGATGACCACACTATTTGGCCTGATCCACGTTACAAAGGCAAACACACTGAGGAATTTTGCAACTGTCAACTTGATTAGCGTTGATACATACCACAGCTCAAGTTTGGATTGCGCAAATGAACCAGCTTCTACTTCCAGGGTAATACTTACTATAACCAGGGAACCAGTACCACACAAACGACCCGATGAACATGTAAAAGAAGTATCGATACCGCGAGATAGACCATCCGTTGCTCTTGGCAGGATCTGTCTTGCTATGATCGTGGAGGGCATAGATGAACGCAGTATTCACAAGAGTACGAGGCCAAATCATGGATGCAGGTTCCACAAGATATTTACGCATCAAGCCAGCGATACCAAAACCAACGCATTGCGTCGTGATGGCTAGCAGAATGTTGAAGCCCCAGCCAAAGTTCTGTCCATAAAAGCCTCTTTGAGCAACAATGGTGTCGGTAAAGTAGCCGACACCACTCCCAAATGCTGCATTAGCCATGATTACAATCAGCCCATGCTCCTTCATATTGAAGGGTCCTGGATTTAGGTTCCATTCCAAGCCGAGGGTTTTGAAAGTTCGGGAAGGCATAATCTTATGCCAGGCAACACCAAGTGGATATGCAACTAATTGAACCACGATGGAAGTGATTGTAAGGGTAGGCGCTCGAAGAGAGAAGAGAGAGTTCAACCCTGATGCAATAGTGGTTAAGAACATCCCAATAACCCAGGCTCGGATGGTATTGACTGGAAGATCTTCATCATAATTGCGGACAGCCGCCCGGACCTAACAATACTTAGTATTCCAAGATCGAAATTATCCTGATGCGGGGCTCAGAATTCACACGGGAAGATTGGACATACCTCTGGGTAAGGCGAGTTTTCAAAAACTTCATCATATATCTTTGCCTCGGAATTGGGATCACGAGCGTTAACAACATCATCAATCTCGTGGAGTTGCTCATCGTCAAGATTTGGATCCCACCTATGTGCTCTCTCAAACGCTGCCAACTTTTGGTTCGCCTCTATCTCTTGGATGTCTCGAGAGCTTGACAATGCAGTATCCTTTTCGATACTGTCGGGCGATGGAGCAGATCTAATAGTGTGAATTTGAGAGGACTCATCGATTTCATCAGTCGTATCGCTCGTCTCTTTAGCCCTGAATCTCTTCAGAAGGCCCGCCATGTCGGACTGAATCTTTCGACTGCTTGTGAATATAGAATGGAAAGGGACCCGAGAGGATGACGAGATCCATTCTCTGCATATATAGAATCAGAGAATACTTTCACCTTATCTGAATGAGCAATCTATCTACAGTATGTCGGCTGCGGATAAAGGTGTGTACCATGCACTGATAGAGAGCAGTCGTAAGTATCACAGCACAGGCACTCACCCCGCAGGGTTATGTTTCCTTCTCTAGGAAGGTCGTTAACAATGTACCAGGTTTACTGCAAATCATCACCAGAATAAGAGGATCGGGTACCAACTCCGTAACTGCCGTTAAAATATCCGGTTGGTTCACGACCGCTAACGTACCTAGTAGCCCGTGTGATAAAAGAATTAAGGTTTCGGCCAGCGGCTCGAGTCTCGTGTCTTGATATATCGTCTTAATAATTCAACTCTTTCACTGCCCGAATTGCAACTCTATAGATATCCTCTGCGTGCACCTAATCGTATGGTTACCGTATAAAGTAAGTATAAACGCCCATTGTTAAGACCCCAACCCTCTGATGACGGCCAAAAGTCTCTCCGTAACTACTAACTGGCCTTTGATAATATAAGACCCCCTCGCCCCGCCCTACGAAAGAGGTTCAAATCAACACAAGGGCCACATGAGTGGCCCCTTTGCTTACACTTAATTGGGATAACTGTGTAAGTTTACCTAGTTTGTTTGTTTGTCTGTTTGTTTATTTGTTCGTTTGATTCATAAACCGATGATACCGATCTAGGCTGTAGGCATATACAGTAATTTAGAACCTTTAATCCTGTGGACAGATATCCAGAAATGTATCCATCTACTCCATAGATCACTCTCTTTGAGATCTATTGTCCAAACTTTGTTAGCGTCTATAAGTGGTACTTGATTCAAAGAGAGGTCTTTGCTATCAGTGATAGCCTATCACTGATTATATAGGACCTTCTATTGATGGCCTGCTACAAGAATCCATGGAACTCTTAGAACCTGAGAGCCCATATGTTATTAGCCAAGTAAATCGAGGTCTCGCTTCCTTCTACTATGCTAATGTCGTAGGTTTTGGTCAGCATAGCATTTACCTAGTTGTGCAATGTCGACTAGGGCCGTATATCGGCACGAGATATCCTCGTCTCTGTAAACGGCGAGGTCAAAATCAGTAGACAGATTCCTCACCGCAATGTCGGAACTAATTAGATCCCTCTTGGGCCCAGGGATTGTATTGAATAAGTTCGCTCTTGTTGGTCAGCGGGGGAGTCTGAACCGGTGGAAGGGCTCGAGGCTCTAAGATATACGCACAAAAGGTACAAAAGGTACAAAAAGTACCAGAGGAGGGGCTGGGCAGCAGGTTGGTTGGGCTAGCACAGGCTTTGCTGGACATACAACGAATATAGTATAAATATAAATAGTGAATTCACCCGGAAGTAAAGCAATGGTATCGGAACATTTTCATTGTCTGGGAATCTACCTAAAAACTAGCAATCTATATCCTAATTCAATAAATAACCCAATCATACGCCAGACGCCGTACGCCCCCATTCTAAAGCCTCCTTCAAGACAGATTGATGGTCATTCGGAGATCCCACATGGTGCTGACTGTAATTGACACTACCGTGCGACCCTCCATGCCCACATAGTCGTTGACCATCTTCGCCGCCCCTATGCCGAATACTGTATTGCTGAGAAGCTCGAACGTCTCCTTCTCTGGGTCCGTAGTTGCCGATGCCTTTACTGTCACTTGTTTAGACTTGGGGTTCCCCATCTTGACAATGGCTTCCCTAAGAACAGACACCACCTCATCATTCTGGATATTCTGATAGACAATATGCTTCAAATTTGCCAGACGTTGCTTAGCATGATCCTTCCACAAGGCCAGCAGCATCTCGCGTAACGGCACTCCAGGTCTATTTTGCGGCATCTTCGTGTTTGCTTGTAGCACCCCCATGCTCTTGCTTGCTATGTTATAGCCAATTTCGGCGGCACCATACACATCATGAATCTCTTTCCTACTCAGACCTCCCACGTTGTCGAAGACTGAAGGAACAATCCAATATAGGGTCCATCCATCCCCACTTGGCGTCTTGAGAGCTGGATCGATTGTGTAACTTCTGGTGATATCCGGTACAGCACTTCTAGTTCTTCTATCGAGCTGATCCCAACCGTCTGATCTTTTGGCAAGGTCGAGCGAGGAGATATCTCGAATTGGAGAAGGAAAGCCTTGTGTGAAGAAGGAACCTCCGAGACTAAGGAGGGTGACGGCCGCGGCCTTGAATAGCGAGTAACGCATCGAGAAGAATTGAGATGACAAAGGAGGAAATGATGAGAGTAGTAGTGTCACTAGTGTGATAGATAGTGAGAGGGAATGATATAGGAAGACTCAGATGCTTGACTGCTTGAATGCTAGTTGATGAGGCTTTTAAATACATACATACCTTCGATTACCATGTAATGGTGTAGACAGGCAAGCTCCTACACGCCTCGTAGGAATATCTTGTTGCCATCCTCTAGACACTCACAGCCTGGTGTCAAGCTTTACGTAGCATATTCCTGGCGGATTTATGGTAATCGTTCATCGTCCGTACAAATAAGTACATATGTAAAGTATACAAATGGGCCTGTTCCTTCTAGTCACATGTTGAGGTTCACATACCCAATACAGTAATAATCAGCAAATCCTGTCCACAACACCAACACCAACACCAACACCAACCAACTCCAACTCCAACTCCAAACACCAGCCGCAACAACACCAGCAACAACACTGTTCTTTGCGGTGAAAGGACTGACAACCTCGAAGGACCTATATTCTACGCCATCCTTCCGGACTGCCAGTTAGCACTACCCTGGTTGATATATACCAACAATCATCCCCCCATCTATTCCCAAGGATTCTATTTCACCACCGAAGACGCCCCCAACAAACGGCGCGCGGTTCTATTTTTACACCAGACCTCTGTGCAACTGCCCTTTTACCAGAAGAATCCCGTCTCAAGAATCTATAGAGCACTATACACTCTATCTCCCTCTCTTTGCTTTCGCCGTCCGCCCATTACCACAAAATGGAACTTCTAGATCTTCCAACGGAGCTCCTTCACAAAATACTAGTTTATACAGTTCTACTTCGCCATGTGAAGAGATCATTGAGACTTAGACTGGTGTGTAGTAAGTCTCTGGGTCTTAAGCAACTCGATTTCTTTCTGCGATAAACTGACTGACATTTTTGATTTAAAGAGCTATTCTCACATGCAGTGAAACCTGCTCTCTTTGAGTCGCGGCTACTTGACCGATTTCATACCATGAATAGTGGTCACAATATCACAGGCTTGCGTTTCGATAATAGGCACACCGCTGAAGAGTTCTGGCATTCGTACCTTGTTTACCGGGTCCGGAATGAAACCGACCCTACTGTCGCCCATTATGTAGACATCCGTCAGACTGCCGAAGCTGTTTGCAGGGAAATGGGAGCCGATTTACTACCTACTATTGATACTGTATGCTGGCTAGCCCTAGAGCATTCGTTGAGCTGCCGCAATCGCCGCCATTACTGGGAGCCACGCGACCCACGGCCTGGGGACTGTGCAGGATCAAACCCTGGAGACAATCTTCTCTCCACTGCCGCCTATTTTAACCTCATCCCTCTGGCTAAACAGCTGTTACTAGAAGGCCACTGCCCAACCAGCCGCGGTGCCTCCCCGACCGATGATGACAGGCTCTTTCCGCCGCCGATGCAGCTTGCTGCGTTGGCGGGAAACACTGAGATGCTTGAGCTCTTCCAGCAGCATATCCCCGAGAATGAAGAGCTCCCTACTAAATATGGGTCGAACTGGCATGGAAAGATTGCGGCATGTTCACTTATTGGGGCTGTTCGTCGAGCAGATATGGAGATTCTAAAGCTTGCGCTATATCCTCCATCGCGCTCAACGCCAAACAGCACTGACTTACAAGGCCAGCCATTTGGGCATGTTGATCCATCCTCGTCAGTTGGTCGGATGATGATTGCTGCCAGGTACCGTGCCAGATCTCCTGAGGTCCACGCGTATCTCCTAGAGTGCTTAGGGGGAGAGATTAAGCTCCAAGACTTGAGTGACGATCTAGAGAAACACGCTGGGGCCGGAAATCTGACCATGGTCCGTTATCTTCTTGACATGGGCGTGCCTATGACCACTCCACGAGGGTACGAAGGGTGCAGAGGATTAACTAGTGCACTAGTTGCAGCTTGTTACAGGTGCCATGAAGATGTGGTTGACCTTCTACTCGAACGAGGCGCTGACCCCAATTTCGGATACGAGAAGCCTGTCGGGATGGAGGTGGAGTTAACACCGCTTACTATAGCGGCTGCTTCTGGGAGCCTGACAATTGTCCGAAAGCTTCTTGACCACGGTGCTCATATAGACGTACCCGCCGAGGACTACATGACAAGACTGCCAGCGCTTTACTGGGCAATAGCTATTGAGCATACTGCTATGGTACAACTACTATTAGAAAGGGGCGCCTCTCTAGAGGGCAAGAAGATAGAGGCTGCTTTAGAATTGGCCGAGGAGCTTGATCTAGACTCAATGGCTGAGATCTTACGAGGGCTTGGGGTCACAATCAAACTACGTATAAAGAGTGTAGCCCCTTGGTTGGTATGGGCAGTATATCCTAGGCCTATTGGGTAAGTATATGTCTCCACCTCCATGGAAAAATTGCCTCTATTTCTTTAATGCTAATTGTTGCTCTTTATACAGAGACGGATTACGAGTATACTAGGAATACTACTGTCTAGAAACATCAGGGGGAGATAAAAGGGAAGAACATGTTAGAGGGTTGCCGGGTATAATTATTGGCGAGGGAAGTGATTACGCATATCAAGGACCAAGGCCATTGCCGATGATATGGACGTCTACTCACCGTGGCAAAGAGATTCTCCTCTAGCCTTCAAGGGACCATTTCCAGCCTCTTTTCCCTTAATTTCTATTATGTATTACAGATAATGCTCTGATGTTAGTTTCCCGGTCTACTGGGCAACCCTCACTAGCATGTGTTCATGTCCTAATGTTCAAGTACATCCCTACAGGCAACCCCTCCATCTCTTTGTTCCTTGTCTCCCCCGTTATCTATAACTATACGACTACATGACGGTATATAAGAGTGGTTCTAAGATATACAAAGAAAGAACCCTCCAATAAATTACATTATCTATCAGTCGTTTTTGAGTCTTATTCCCTACTAAGAAGACTATTCATTAGATACAGGGGCGTATATTATCCCGATGGTGCTAGCTTAAATCCGAGGGGCCTGCACAGTTTATTAGCTTTTTATTACACGTAAATAATCCTATTCTGATTTCTAATCCGCTGTCAGCATCTTTTGATGGTGACGCTCACGAGCTATACTATCTCTAGCTATACGTTTTAGTCTAAGAACCCTCTTCCTTACGTCGTCTTGAGGATTTACCGTCGACGTTAACGTCTAATTATCAATAGGAATTTTGTCTTGTACGACAAGTAGTATAGTCTATACCTAGTACTAATGACTACTTACTTTAAAAACACTCTTGTAGTGCTAGTTAGTATACGTAAACAGCGTTAGAAGCCTGGATTTCCTTTCTTAAATACTTTTTGACAATACGCTCAAGTTTGAATCCAGATAGATTACAAGGGGGATAGATCTTTCTAAATCTCTTTCTCCATGATTATAACTTATAAGGTTTCTTTAGATCTTGTCGTACTTGACTCACTACTGCGAAGGGCATCACCGCAGACTGTCCTCAGCAGATATACGAGGGATGACAATTGCTTGCTTGTTCTTGCACAATGGAAGTAGATAGGAGGTTCGTACATGTGTTAGATTCCAATTCGATGTTTTCCCTTAACTTATATTGATAAAAGGCTTGCAAACAGCGTATCGAGGGCAGTTTGTTATATCTGGGACGGGATTTCCTCTATGCGGTCACAAGAGTTTGTGAGACTCAGCAGTGTAGCCTTTCAAGGCAAAGCAAGCCTTGCCAGGGCCGTCTAGAGTCTCGCCTTCGGTGAATCATTATTACCAACTTCCTCCTTTGCCCTATCCCTCATCACTTTTCGCAGGATCTTTCCCGACTACTCATTGTTAGCATCATACTGTCTCACTTGCTGGAGGGTAAAATCTCACCGGGTTTTTGGGAACCACGTCCACGAAAACTACACCTCCAGTCAACCTCTTATGCTTACTGACCCTCTTCGACAGCCACTCTGCCACCTCCTTCTCCTCGGCTTTCCCCTTCTCGCTCTCCTTCACCACAACATAGGCCCGGGGCGATTCTTCCCCATTGATCGTAACTCCGACCACACACGCATCCGACAACTGTGGGTGTTCCAAAAGCAGTGCTTCGAGTTCAGCGGGCGCAACTTGGTAGCCTTTTACTTTAATAAGCTCTTTCAGGCGGTCGACGATGTAGAAGCGACCCTCTGAGTCGACGTATGCAATGTCGCCGGTTTTCATCCAGCGCCCGTCGGGGCCATCGACAAACACTTCTTTGGTTGCGGCAGGGTTGCGCCAGTAGCCTTTCATGATGCTGTTGCTCTAAGTCAGTATCTTCAAGACTTCAATTACAACTGGACTGGGGAATTGAGGGGTGCACAGGGAAGAGAACGAACTTCGGAGCCTGCACCCAGATCTCTCCTCTTTGTCCCACAGGCACTTCAGCTTTGCCTTCCAAATCCATGATCTTAGCCTTGCAATTTGCGTTCAGCTCGCCAACGGAATCAGGTATGGACTTGACGCGGGAATCCCAACCGAGAAGGGAACAGGTGCCTTCTGTCATTCCCCATGCTTGCTGGGATTCTGATTAGTTTTAAGCTCTGGAAGATGATAAATCACGAGTTATGCACCTTCAATTTAGGACCATTTGGCCCCCATAATGCCTCTACTTCCTCGATCACTTCCCCTCCCAGGGGTGCGGCTCCAGATCCAAGATCGATCACGCTGCTGAGATCATACTTTTTGGTATGTGGGGACTTGGCAAGCGCCTGGGGTTTTGTTTTATCAGTGAGGCTTCTTTGGCATGATGTCTACCTTGCAAGATTTCGCATAAAGATCTCGCATGAAGGAAATGAATGGGTCTGGATATACATACCACAACAATTGGTGGTACCATTATCAAGTTTGTAATCTTAAACTTTTGCACCGCCTCTAGCATCTGAATAAAATCAAACTTCTTCATCATGTAAACCGGGATCCGACGTTTTGGCCCTCCAGCAATGAATATCGTCTGCGCCATGGCGTGATAAAGAGGTAGGAAACATAGCCATTTCCTATTTGCACGAATTAGTTCTGCGTAGCCAAGGGATGTATAGACTGGAGAACCTACGCTTTCTTTGTCTTTTCCGGTTCGTCAGGATGTAGCTGCTGGAGATGCGCGAATTGCTTCGCATTCGAAACATAGTTGTAATGTGTGATCATCACCCCCTTGGGTACGCCCGTCGTTCCCGAACTATAGTTCAAGCAACAGATCGTGTCTTTCGGGTCCTCTGGCTCGTACCATTTGAAGCTTTTACCCACCGCTTCTGGCTCAATCAAAGTCTTCCAGTTTCGCACACCCAACCTCGATGTGTTGATCCCCTCGAAAACAAGATCATCAAAAAGGAAGACCCTCTCTTTCCCCATGCCAATGCTTTGGGCAGCTTCGAGCCCCAGCTCCAAGCTTCCATCCGCACAAAATAAAAACTTCGCGTCCGCATTCTTCAACTGATATGCCAATTCCCTCGCCACATACCCCGGGTTCGCGCCCGTGAAGATTCCACCAGCCATCAATATGCCCATGAATGCGACCGGGAAGAACAAGGAATTTCCGGAGAAAATGAGCACGCGATCTCCTGGTTGCAAGCCAGCCTTTTTCAGGCCAGCTGCGAGGCGGAGGGACCATAATCGGAAGTCCTCGAGGGTCAGGAAATGTGTTTCTGGGCGCTCGGCATCGTAGAAGGCGACTTTGTCGGGGAGGGGGGCGGTAGGAGTGTCGAACAAGTAAGCTTGCAAAGAGCAGATTTCGATTGGGATTGTGAAGCGGGAAGAGATAGGCATCTTGAAGGCGTATGGAGAGGTGATTGGTTGGTCGGTTGAATTAGCAGCAGCTAGGTAGCCAGAATGTTTAGAGAATTGGTTGCAAGGGACACAGGTTGGTTCATTCGTTCTCACTGACTCTAGAGGTAGAGAGTGGAGGACAGAAGGAGAGAAAGAGAGTAAGAGGAGAGGAGATTGGTGTAGGGTAGAAATAGGAGGAGGAGAGCAGACGCGGAGCTGACGGATACCTGGGGAGCTGGATAGCCGCTGGACAACTGCCAATAGTCACGTACATACCGATAGTAGGCAAAGAAGCGGTGGGATTCCGCAGAGTCTCTCGTCACTCGTCGCTTGTACTTGTCTCTTGTCCTTGTCTCTTGTCACTTGTCTCTTGTGGTTCTCTCTGGAATGCGGGGACAGCTTAACGCGGGGCCGAGGTATCGAACAGCTCGGACCATCTAGCAAGGGTTAAGCGCAGTTCAATAGCCGATGACCCTGGTCGGAGCTGATGGCCAGTCTATTTAGCTTTTGCTTCCGTGCGTTTTATATTATTCCTCAACTCGAAGCTTCGAATTTTACAAGCCTTCGGAATGTCAACTTGTGCAGTTCGAAATTTCCTGATTCGGCCACCACTATATCACCAGCTTTCAAGATCTGGCCCATACGCTGCCAGAGGCAAGATTGGGTGAGACGTCCAGGTGTTGATTTGTTTTAAAGTGGTACCTATTCATTATCAGCGGATGCCAGAGATGGCAAAAGACCTCAAGCTTGGTCCAGAACTGGGGCCATGGAAGACGGTGCTGATCTGGTAGCTTTTCGAGTTCATCGACAATGCGAGTGCCAATGTTCGGAATTTTTTCAGAGCTCTGTCGAGATTCCAGTATATCAGAGAGAACTAGGGAGATGGATATTCGCGGTACCAAGAACAGCTTTATAATGAAGATGAAGATGAAGACCGCATAGTCAATCGTTTCAGAGCCATGTGTGTATGTATAGAGTACACCGTACGACCCAAAGAGAACATTATTAGAGACACAATACTAGATCAAGTTAGCGTAAATTGAAAATAAAGAAAATAAAAGGCCAATAGGCAAGCTCAATAAAAGCCTCGGAATTCTTGACCTGCTAGTCTTGCGGCATCCGGTATGCGGGGAATCCAAGGATGCGGGGGAGCCCAAAACCGGGGGATGTGGGGAACACTAAAGTAGCTAAATTGGTGGATTAAGCAAATCAAGTACCTACGGTGGTGTTCACATCGGATACGCCGGAGAGGTTTGCACAAGATGATGATTATATGATAGAACAGAGCGCTGCACTTGCTAGGTGGGATATCAGAAGATAAGGACACTCCAACCCGGGCAAGTTCCGGAAACCAGCGACGCAATTTACGGACTGACGCGGCACACGACGGATTTCCTGAACCACTTAGTACACCGTTCCAATGATCTTTGAACATATCACTAGCATGGAGGGGTGCTTTGTTCGAACATCATAAGTCCTCAATATATGATACCGGCAAATCCACAACTCAAACGTATTGCAACCCGCAGAATTGGAACTGTCAAGACACCAGACGTACAGCTAATATTGACCGTCGCGGAACGACACAAAAGCAAGAAAGAGGAATGCCATGGCAATTGATATATGCGGAATGGATGCAGCAATACCGTTGAGCTTGCGCCTTTTTGGTCTTTAAACTCGTTACCCAAGAAACTGTCGGCGAAGGACCAGAGATTCTGCAAGTGCTCAACTGGTGACAGTTTCCCAAGACCAGCAGCGTACGTTGCCTTAGTCCTGGTGCCAATGTGCAATGTCGCACGTGAACATCGCGATCAGCCGGCCAATTCGTTTCATCCAAATGAACATCGCCTTCCAGTACTCTGGGATTACCGAATTTGCTTATCTGGGTTCAGGAAACAAATCCGGCTTGTGCTTGGGGGAGAGTGAGGAGGCTAATCCATGGAAGCCCCTACATGTCGAGCGTGGATTCCCACCACAGCAGCACCGTCAGCGCGGTGATGGTTGATATGCAGAGCGAAGGACGATCCGCTCTCTGAGAGCCATAGCCGGAGCCATAGCTATGCCCATAACCACTGGTAGCACAATCTGGATGAATACAGAGATTTCTAACAGCCCCATGGATTTCCTCAGTTCGACCCATGCCAATGCCTTGGCCGAAGCCGGTTCAGAGGAACGCGACATCAAGGAGTTCCTTTTCCAGCACGCCCGGATCCCAGCGCTTTTCTTCAAGTACTGCAGTTCTCGCAATAGGACTCAGTTGAACCAAACCTGGCAATGGCTAAATCATGCACCCGACGACAGTCTGGTTCCAGTCGCCCCTGATGCGGACGCCTTTCATATCGTTGTTGTAAATGGCGAGGGTCCGAAGTCTGCTGTCTTCACTGCCATACCAGGCATAGTCACGGTCCCTGCACAATAAAATTTTTCGAAGCCTGTCATTAATCTGAGTAAGAGTGCTCACGACTCCTTTTCCTCGCTGCTATGTTCAACAATCCGCTTTGATTTTCTCCACGTATCGAGGCCGAAAATGACCGCAATAATGGCCCCCGACCCGCTTAACCCAATTCCCAAATACCAAGCTCCTCGATACCCTTTCAACAAATCTCTTCCGCCATCATTCACATGCCCTTCAATCGTACCCGCGATTCCTAGTGCTATAGAAATCGAGTAATTGACAAGGGTGTTTACCAACGACGCGGCGACGCCTTGGTGCTCTTTTGGCATTGCGTTACTGAGTAACAAGGTTGCGGCAGGGAAAGACATATCCCTATTACCAGTTAGAGATAGATACCTTGGTATGGTATAATGGGGAAGGGCGACGGGATAAGTAACTCACATTCCCCAAGGCATTATTATCAACGAGACAAAAGTCTGCGCCCAGTACGTCTGATCAACAGGTGCTGTCGCAAGCAGAATAAGGCCGACTGTGAAGAAGCACAACGAAATAAACATGATGACACTCCCAGATACACGGCCGAGTAGAAATCCCGTAGCCATAGCGGCACAAAGCCCACTCACAACAACGGGTGTGAATTGCGCGCTCGCGAGAAGGGGGCTGACGTGTCGTAACTCCTGCAGAAATTGCCAGAAATAGTATATCCATACGCTGTAACTGGCCCACCCAAAAACAATACAGGTTAACAGAAATCCGATATCAGCAGACATAGCATCCAATGGGACCAGTGGGAACTTGGCGATCCGCATCTCGACGAAAGCGAAGAGCCCCATGAAGATGAACCCTACAATGAGAAGAATATAGGTGTAGGGGTTCGACCAACCCACCACGGGGGCCTGGTTCCATGCAAAGTTTATCAATACTAGACCAGAAACACCAGTGATGGATCCTAGCCCATCGACCCGCGTAAACGTACTCTCAGAATTGTCAAGCACCGGAGGCGGCGTATAGGGAATGACAACAACCGCCAGTACAGCATAAAGCAGCAGCACAATAGCCAAGATCCAATAGGCCCACGGCCACCACGCGAACTTGGCTAATAGAGACGAAAACGCGCCTGCCACGACAAAGCCAGCAGGCGCAGTAGCGCCAAACAAACTGAAGATGATGGCCTTCCTCAGCCCCGGCTTATACGCACGACCCAGAATCGCAATTGAGTTTGGGAGCAGGAAAGCGGCGCCAATTCCCTGGAAGGCACGACAGCAGTCAAAGAATATAGCATTGGAATACACGCTGAAGCCGGCGAGCAGAGACCATAAACCAAACCACGCAAACCCCCCTATGACAAACTTCTTGTGGCCGTATAGATCGCCGAATCGACCAGCAATAAGAATGAAGGTCCCGACAGTAAGGGAAAATGCGGCGGGAAACCAGCTGAGTTCGCCAGGATTGTGTATACCGAAGCTGTTGCCGATGGTGTACAGAGGCACGATGCCTTGGCCAAGCCCGGCTTGCGCCATGAGTTGGGAGGAGCAGAGGACCGCCACGAACAGAATTTCGTGGAACAGGTTCTGGGGTCGCTCGAGGCTGCTGCAATGTCAGTAAACAGCTACTGATAGGGGTACAGACGGGGCTTGCTCTTTGGTGATTTGTAACTCGAGGTCATGCCCCTCGGTCCCTGGCGAATCGAGCTCTGCGGAAGAAGACATCTTGGACATGATGTCTTTCTGGGCCGACTTGTAATCTCTTCAGGGCAAAATTTGCACGATGATGAGAGAAGAAGGTAGCCCAGAAACTTCCAAACCCAAGTCCACAAAAAAGAACGCGAGGTTATCAGATCGTATATATATGTATATACACTTTATTTGCTGGAGCATGTAAAGCGGGCTCAAAGTCCGATCGGACCGCGTGGGCTGGGCGGGTCTAGCGGGATGGAGAGATCCATTGGCCAATAGGGGCTGCATTCCAGTGACCTGGGTTGGCCGATCCCTTGTTGGTTTGTCCTGATGCGGTAAAACACGAGGCTCTGCTTACATAGCGGCAGGCTTATCGATCCGCTCCGCTCCGCTCGGTGCGTGAATCGGGGCTGCCCAGAGCTGCACGCCGGTAGCTTCAAACGTGCCATCTTAAGCTTATATACACCTACCAAGTCTCTATGATGTAAGATATATGTTGCTCGCCGAATTATCGGAAATTGACCTCTCAAATGTACCTAGATCTACACTCAACAAACCAGCCTCAAAACGACCATAACGAAGGCGCATCCCCTTACCCGAAAGAGTCTCAGAGCAGCTCCGGTCGTCCTGTGACAGACCCTCCCGAAGCCATTCTGCTCCCGAACCATTTCCTTGTGAAAATACGCGACTCGGCCGTTCATCCCAGCAATACCATTGATAACAAGAGTTGATTCGGGTTAACAAGCTTCCCGAGTGCCAGGTGGCGACTTCGCTGGGGTCATTGCAGAAGGGCCTTCGAACAGACTCAGGGAGGAAGTCTACGGGACACATGACTTCACCTAAGCATCATCCGTCAATGGTGCCCACGCGGAGTACATTCTTATCCCAGAAGACCCCGTGGCGCCTAAGCCCAAAGCTCTTGTTTGTGCAAGCTGCCAGCGTTTGGATCCCATTCGCGATTGCGTCTCTTGCTCTTCGCAGAGCTAATGTGACATCAGAGATATTATACTTGTGCTGGGTGCGAGTGGTCTTGTGGGATTGGCTGTCGCTCAATTGGCAGGGAGTAAATTTGTCGAGTGCTTTATGCTGTACGCGATCATAAAGGGGATATCGACACCACGAAAGATCCTGAAATTGATGCCGTCGATGCCTTGACGAGTGCCAATGAGGGTGGTGTAGTTGTGGACATTGTAGGTCAGCCGGCACTAGAAAAAGCCACTGTTGCAATACTGGGCCGAGGGGGAAGACTGGTCTTCATTTCTGCAGCCCGGAGCGGTCCCACGCAGTTGAGAATTGAGATGATGAACTTTTATAGAAAGGAGAAAGTTCTGACCGCGTGTAATTCGCTCTCGCATTCTGCCGAAGAGTCTGCTGGTTTTCTGAAAGCCTTGACGTCTAGTTTCGAACTTTCGAGCGGTGCTGTGAAGGCTTTCAGAGAGGGTGAATGGACAACGGTAAAGCTGGAGGACGGCGTGGAGGCTTATGTGAAGGCAAGACAGGGCAGTGCGGAAAAGTCTGTTGTAATGGAGTAGTCCAACAGATATTTTCAGATATCAGCAATGGTCGGCATATCTGCTACGCCGTGATTAATATCTCGAGAATAAAGATCGGTTTTCGAATCACGACAGGAGATGAAGCGTGATTTCGGATTCGCTTTCTATGTAGCTGGATCTGGGCACAACTGAACCATCCCAGCCAATATCTAGGTCTTTGCAGAGAGGCAAGCAAGGATTCGACAAAGATTATATGACGGAATCTAGATAAAAAAAGACTGATAACGAAATCTGGATTCGTCTTTTCCCTGGTTTTCTCGAATCCGAAGCAACGTTTGCAGCTGCGTAGCCGTGCAGATCAATGACAAAATTTGCCCTGCATAGACATCTCCTGCAAATCAAGGGGTGAACTAGTGGTGAAGCATAAGGTACTCTATGAGGCCCTGTAGATCACGGGACCACATTCTCGAACAGTGGAGCGCTTCCTTTTCACCTAAGGGAATAGAAACTCCATCTTCATCTTCGTCTTCGATATGCCAACTTTCATATCATGACGGTGCGGTGATAGTCTCAACTTCATGGGCAGGTAGAACATTAAGGGTTTAAACAGTAATATAATATGAAGAAAAGATACCTATGGGTATATATTGTAACAAGAGTTGAACTTAAATCCGAATATGCAGTGTGGACGGTGCCTGTCTGATGCGCAAACCCAAGTACAGCTGTTGCCTGAGGTTATCATTTCTCGCTTCGATGTGGGGCGCCATGGGTACAGTAATGTATTACGTAATACTGTATAAATATTTCGGCGGATGTTTGCACGGCGGACGAGGCTGACGCATTTATACCAGAATCTTGAATTTTCATCCTTTTCTGGTCGAATTTTTTCTTTTCCCTCCCCCGTTTTCAAAACAAAACGCCAAAGCAAGAGAGACACTTCCATCCTCCTCTCTTCTTCCTTCTTCCACACAATCGTTCTGTTACTAGGATCCAGGTATCCCTCAATTGGTCACCTCTGCTCACCCTTTGTGCCGTGACGAACCTGGGCGCAAGACATCCATCCCACGAGAACGCACCTCACCGCCATGAAATTTTGACCTGCCGTACCTCCTCTTTTTCACAGAGCAAGTCCTCTAGACCAGATACCTCCAGACACGAGACAAACGGTACACTTGGGGCGGGCCGAGATCTTATGATCATGTTGTCTGAGGGCTTTATCACATCTATTCGCGCTCAGCCAAGGGCGCCCAATACAGCCACAGCAAAAGATGTTGGCATCTACTTCCACGAGCTCTACCCGACTCCTGCAATTAAGTCCTCGTTCAAAAAGAGCTCGACACCGGTCAATGCATTGGCTGTGAGCTCTACACACATCTTCGCAGCCCAGGCAGATAAGGCGGTGGTTCATGTATACTCGAGGGAGCGCGGGAACCAGGAGGCACTGATCTCGTTTCCCGAACGGATACACTGCGTAACTATGATTGGGGATGGGGTTCTGGTACTTGGTACTGCTGAAGGCAGGGTGATACTGTGGGAGGTGAGTGCTTCAATTGTGTGCCAAAGAACTGGCGACTAATCTCGTAGGTCTGTACGGGTAGACAAATCTCGACCCCGCCCGCGCATCTCCAGCCAGTATCGTGTGCCGTGGCAAACCAGTTGCATCTAGTAACCGGATCAGAAGATTCAAACATCCACGTTTGGTCGGTTCCACGCCTGTTGTCTTTAACTTCCAATGAAAGACATGAGCCACTGCGAAGTCTGTCCAACCACCGTGCGGCTATCACCTCTCTAGGAATGGGCCACAGCGCCAGTACTATGAACATCTGCGTTTCAGCCAGTAGGGACAACACAATCGTGGTTTGGAACTACCATACCGGAGATCTCCTGCGGACGTTTCTACTTCCATCGACGCCTCTTTGTCTTGCCCTCGACCCGTGTGACCGAGGTGTTTACATTGGGTTCGAAGACGGTACGCTCCAACTTGTGGAATTCATTGAACCAGGTTCTACGCTCAATCCACTCTATGATACCAGGCTGCAGACCACCCCCGTACAGATCACCCAGCCTCCTTGGACGACAGCTTCTGAGGTCGGAGCTGCACACACTCTCGGCCTCAGTTACGACGGTACCACTCTTATTTCAGGGCATGCGTCCGGAAAAATTGTACAGTGGGATATAGGGAGACGTAGGTTTTCTGCAGAGGTTGCTGATCTGAATGCCCCTGTTACCAACCTACACATGTTATCTCCCTTTCCTGACAAGAGAATGACCAAAGCTGGCGCCGTGGTCAAACCCAAACTTGGCGAAAGCGAATACACATTTACTGCACAGTTAACTGGAACCATGGAAGTTGATACATTCAACCGAGTATTAAACGCCCCGGGCATTCCGCCAGAAATGCTCGATGATGCTATTTCTAGATTTTCCAGACCGGCAGCGGCGTCTTCGAGTGGAGACGAAAAGCTACGCAAGGAAAACGAGGAACTGTGGAAGGTTATCAATGAACAACGCGCTCTCCAAAAGAAGACTTGGGAAAAGTATTCTCAGCTCAAATCTGGCGGGGCTTAACCGTCAGGTCGCGTTTCAGATATTGGATATTAGGCTCATCTTCCCGAAAACGAGCCCATTGTACGTGTAACGATGCTACAAAGACCTCATGCCTTGGTTGGAATAGACCTGAGCATGCTTCCTCCAATTTTAAGGACGATTTGGAAACCGTGCTATTCATCAACCATTGCCGAATTGTGGCTCCATACTCGTATGGGAAAATGTCACAATTGGATCTACGTTCTAAATCGAATGCTTGACATGTCTTTTCGGCTCATTTATTATGCAATACGTGAGTTCTGCGGGAATGCTGGACCATAGCATTGTCCGCTAAGAGATTCGCAAACCCAAATTGTTTTAAGGGCAACGTGCTTCACAATGCACACCGCTAAGATCGCGAGTTCAGACGAATTGGCATCAAAATCGGATGGAAAATATTGCCTTCAATGGTATTTTGCATTCTTGCTCTGTCAAATTGTTTCAGCTACAGACCTAGCCGCGATGCACAGTCTTTCAACAAATTATTTAAACAATTATATGGTCTTCTTACAAATCATCAACATCTGTTAAAATTGTGCGAAATCAGATGGAAGGTTGATATGCGGGTCGAGATCGTTCAGGTATTCGCTGCCCTGGTGGTAGCAATTATTGCGTCTCCAATTTCCACATCGAGCCACGTAGTTCACGAAAAGCGATCCGTACCTCCTCGTCGGTGGTCAAGGCATTCTAGACTTCATCCAGCTACAGTTCTTCCCATACGGATAGGTCTCACTCAACAGAATCTGCACCGGGCTGAAGAGTTCATTAACCAGGTGTCTCATCCAGAATCAAGCCAATATGGACAACACTGGTCGCCGAAGAAGGTCGCTGAGACGTTCGCTCCCAGTCAAGATACGCTAGATACTGTTATGTCCTGGCTGTCGGCGTCCGGGATTGAGCTCAACAGAGTCAAATTTTCTCTTTCGGGGACTTGGATCATGCTCAACGCCACCGCTAGCGAGGCTGAGAACCTTTTAAGGGCCGAATACCATCTTTACAAACAGCAAAATGGCTATTATCACATTGCTTGCGATGAATACAGTATACCTTCTCATCTCAGCAAGCACATCGACATCATCACACCCACGGTCCATTTTGACAGAAGAATTGGTGCACCCAGAAGATTGCAGCACCCCGATGATTTGCCACTACCTCTTCGCGGCCTGAACAAGAGAATGACCAAAAGACGAACCACTACGCCTCATGGAATCATGGGATCTCCCGAAGACGCGTCAAATCCCAAGAAGGGAGCTGCTATCACCAATGCGCTTATGACTTTAGAGAATTGCGATACCATGATCACCCCAGCCTGCCTTCGAGCTCTCTATCACGCCCCTCTAGGCAGCACTGCAGTCAAAAACAATAGTTTGGGAATCGTCGAGTACACACCTGAAGCCTTTTTGCAGTCAGACCTAGACATGTGGTTCAGGGAATTCTCTCCGAGCCAAGTGGGCCAATCTCCAATTACGAAACTCATTGACGGTGCTGTCGTTCAGACTCAGAACCAGAGTTTCGGTTTCAACGGCGAATCTTCACTAGACTTGCAATACGGTATGTCTCTTGTGCATCCCCAAACAACGACGCTCTTCCAGGTCGGTGATCTGGTAGAAGGGGCCAGCTTTAACAATTTTTTGGATGCCATTGATGCGACTTATTGTACATTTGATGGTGGTGACTCTAAGAATCCCACGGTTGATGCCCAATACCCTGATACTCTACCTGGTGGCTTTGATGGACCGCTGGCCTGTGGAGCTGTCGCATCTACCAACGTCCTCTCTACCAGCTACTCGTCGAACGAGGCTGACTTGACAGCCAAATACGAAGAAAGACAATGCATGGAATACATGAAGCTGGGCCTCCAGGGCGTGTCAATTCTATACTCGTCGGGAGATTTTGGCGTGGCAGGCGAAGGTGGAGAATGCATCGATGCAGGGACGGGTACATACAATAACGGAACGTCTGGTTTGTTTACTCCGTCGTTTCCGGGCACTTGTCCTTACGTTACCTCCGTCGGTGCAACGATGATAATGAACGGGTCGACAGTGCGAAACCCCGAAAGCGCAGCCGAGCTGGTCATCTTCTCCGGTGGGGGCTTCTCAAACGTCTTCTCAATGCCCTCCTACCAACAGAAAGCCTTGGACAGTTACTTCGCACATAATGCTCCCCCTTATGGAGCTGATCGTTTCAACAATTCTCAGAAAGCCCGCGGCTATCCCGATGTCTCCGCAAACGGTGTCAACTACGTCGTTGCGGTCGACGGTGACTTTTCGCTAGTGTTCGGGACTTCGGCTTCTACTCCGACTTTCGCATCTCTGATCAACTTGATCAATGAGAAGCGCATAGCTGCAAAGAAGAGCCCCGTCGGCTTCCTGAACCCAGCATTATATGCGAATCCGCAGGTGTTGAATGATGTCACGACGGGTGGAAATCAGGGCTGTGGGACTGCGGGCTTTGAGAGCACCACTGGGTGGGACCCGGTCACAGGGTTAGGGACGCCCAATTTTCCGGCCATGTTGGATCTTTTTATGGGCTTGCCTTGAGGATAGATAGTAGATGATATTAGACTGGACAGCAGGTTAGATGGTTCAATATAAATATGATAACTTCTCACATTTACAAGCCTCACGATGCCTCATGTGAAGGAATGATATCAATTGACAATCAGGACTACGCACAGCAGGCAAACGTCCCGAAGAACCCAATGTTCCTTCCTTGCCAAACTTGCGATGCTCGAATATAACCCGGATCTCAATATCAACCAACAGGCAAAGAGTCAGCTTTGTGACAGATGTGCTTAAGCAGGGCGACTAGGGTCCGGGACGTGGAACCAGAGAGTAGGTATCTGAGATGAATAGATCACAGACCCTCTTTGCCTGTCTTCTTTAAAATTGCTATATATAAGGTATATATCACAGCAAGTAACACCGCAGGTCTTGATTTCCAGAAACCTATTTTTTATTTTTATTTTTATTTTTCATTCTACAGAAACTCTACTCCTACTCCTTCACTGCTCTTAGAAAACCGTTAAACGCATTTGCATTCTGGGCAGACTAATTTAAGATCGTTCCCCCAAGTTCCAACCCAAGTCTATCTACCCTCCTTTGACTTTTTAAGATAAATAAAACCAAACGAGTAGCCAACTAACTCCCCATTTCGCTGTCATTCTATTCAAGCACCCGATTTGAAAACAAAAATTGTTTTGGGGCGGAGCATATCTGCATGATTGCATCCTTCCTCTATAGGTTAAGTAATATGCAAGCTCAGAATATATCTGCGGACCACCCACCAAGGCTGGTCGAGATACAATAAAGCCTGCGGCCCTACGGGCAGGTCTGGAGTAAGTAAGTAAGTTGGTCGTTTGTGGGAATGCTTGAAGGAAGAAATGCTTGAAGGAAGTCGTTCTATGTCATTAAATACAGTTAGACAGACATTTATGTATTGGTGAATGCCTTTCAATACCCAGTCCGTGTAGGTAAGCCAGCCAGAAAACCAAAGACCGTGTTGTTAAATTGCATACTTTGACGCAGCACGTTCATTTCAAATTACCAGTGCAAAACTCGACTCCTTGATCCAGGCATTCGCCTTGTACCTACCTCTCTAACTAATTAAGTAAGAAGCCTTGCTTGCTTGCTTGGCGTACAAGACCCAAGGAAAATAATTATCCGGATGTTTCGATGGGTTTTGAAGAGCTGATATCAGCGCTCTAGAAGTAGGGCTTGGAAGGTGGTCAGTCTGACGTGCAGCGATCTTTTGATACTAGATTCAGCGCTATCAGCGTTCTTAAGCATTGTAAGTCAATAAACCCTCCTCGTTAATTAAACATAACCAGATAATATTTTTTTTCTAACCTAACCATTCATTTCTTAATACTATTAACCATGCAATCCCTCCTACACACTAAACAACCCATCCAGATCTCTAAAAAAGAGAGAGGAAATTAAGAATCTGCTATTAGGAAAGCTTCCCTGTCTATAGAGGATAAAAAAAGTTCTTGTACTATAAGGGAGCTTTTATTTTGATGATTGGTTTCTTTTAGTGGAAAAAATACATCGCGGAGTTTGTTTGATTTTGACTAATGTGAATAGAGAGAGGTTCTTCAAGAAGAGAGCTACCTTAGGCTTTTTGTGATAACTGAGATAAGCTGAGTTGGTACGAGATTGCGAGGTGGAATATAAATGAGGAAGGGTAGTGGAGATGAAGAGTAAGTGTAGGCTTTAACGTTTGTAAAATAATAGCGCGGTAGATCCAGGGCATTTGATCGATTCATATGGTGGAATTTTGGATTAAGCCATCATAATATTCCAACTGCCTTAGAGTAACATATCTTCGTATTTGTTGTTCCGACTGCAGCTATGCTCACCTGAGCATCCTTTGCGACCAAATGCAGTTCGACCAAATGCAGTTATCTATCTATATACAATCAATACGTTGTATAAGGACCAAGCTAACTTCATTTCCTTAAACGCCTTGAATATACGCCGTATTGCCTAAGCCTGCTGTTGCTCGATGCTGAATCGCGTGGTGCAAGATGGCAACCTTCAGCCTGTTGAACGGTGGCCCACAGCTAAAAGCTGCTCCATCACGTTCAACGCCTTCCATGCCTGGATCCTGTCATACCCTTGCGCCTATTCATTTATCCATCGTGATCTCCATATCGGAAGAACTACCTGTAATAGCAGGCCGCTCCAGCGCCTCGTGACTCATTCTCAGTTTCTCCTTCTTTTTCACTATCTTTTTCATCGCCTGCGCCGTCAAATCCTGCCTGAACATGCGTTCTATCACATCCTTCTTCCTCGTCTTGTGATCCCCAACCGAAATCAGCACCCCGGCCGTAATGTTACACGTGATTGAGAAACATAGAATGACTGTCGTCAAGGCAAATGGCCGTACGTGGTAACTGATTGCCCATGTGCAGGTTCCCAGAGATATCTGAAGAAGAGAGTGGCAGTCAAGTAATACGACGATCGCAACGAGTAGCCGGAGCGGAAACGCGTAATGCGTTTCTGTTTCGTGCGGTTTGTAAAATGTATGAGATCGCGAGAATTTCTTCTGATGGTGGACCAATTTCTTCTGCTGGGCGGGGGTCAGGACTGAATACTCCCCTGCCTTCTCATGCGGTGACATCCGCCCGGCTTCAAGCTCGGATTGGGCGTTGTACGTGAGGTCTGGGAGGGAGTTCCGATTTCTGAGTTTTGGGAGAGCGCGTTCTTTGCGCAAGCGCCATGTGAGGTGGTAGTAATGTGCGATATATATCATGTGATAGGTATCAACTGCTCGGAACGGAGCAAGACCGTCCCCCATGATGGCGAAGAGTGCAACGAGCACATTGTCGATGACGTTAATTATGTAATCTTTGCGGCCACCAACGTTGATCCAACCTATTGCACGATTAGCAAACATTGCAGATGGGAGTAAGTTTTCGGCATACCGATTAAGAACAATACCCAGGCCAAACCAAAGACGGTGATGCAAACAGCGTAAAGCGTGACGAGGAAGCCGAGGGCTATTTGGAAGAAAGGGTCAGCGGATTCTGGTAGGAATGGGCAGGTAGTACTTACGCTTCCGAACATACTGTCCAAATCCCTTCAAGCCTCTCTTGAATTTCTCTCTCCGAGAATGTAGCATATGCCTGACATGGTCATTCAATTCGTATATCTCCTCTTCAGTCCAACCTTTGAGTCTCTCGCCGGGAGGCAAAACGGCATAATGCTCCGAATCGAGCCTCGAAGTAAGGGAAGTGGTTGTCTGCATCCGCTCCACGGGCTCTATCTCATCGTCGGAATCCTCCATATCGTCCCGTTCCAGCTTGTCCGGATCTAATCCTTCACTCTCGATTGGCGACTCCGTTTCCGAGACACGCGAAAGCGTGTATGTCGGTCGACGATTGATGTATCTGCCCAAATCCGGGACGAAAAGTGAGTTCTGCACATTAGTAAGGGTCGAGAGGGTGGAAATCTCAGGATCTGCTCCCGGTTAGTTCTCTTCTGGAGACGCCCTGAACTCCCACATACCGACGGTATCCAGCACGTCCACCAATTGTTCGTTGTACTGTTGTTCTTGCTCGTCGACATCGGGCGCCGGGCTCGGACTGTGGAAGTTTGGAATACGAAGAAATGAGCCGGCCACACTTGCCATGCTAGATCTTCTCCGAACACCAGCAGTGGTCTGTTCGGGCACCCTCAGATTTTGCGACAAGGCGTCTCTATCTCCGAACGGATTACTCAGACCCTCCTCACTCACGTCCGGCATGTAACGCGCAGCCCTTGCATCAGCAGCACCAAGACCGGCCCAACTCACGCGCTGAGGATCCGAACTACTCCTCCTCCTGTTCCCCTCTACCTCGAGGTTCGAAGCCCGGTCATATCTCACCGACGACCTCATCGCGCGGGAGCTGGTTCCCGCCCTCGGACGTGTCCGTGCTGGCAGAGCGAGGCTGAGATGACGCGTCGGGTTCTCATTTCCTGACCTCGGTCGGACAATGGAGGGGTCTTGGCCGCCTGAGCCCGGTGGGCTTCCAACGACGGGGGCTCGAGGGCGAGCGAGGGACTGTGTAGAAGAAAGACGGCGGACCCGGATACTGGGCCGCCGCCATCGTTCCTCTGGGGCTTCGGAGAAGGTAAGGGTAGAGAGGCGGTTTCGAGGTTGTTCGCCCTCGGCGAAGGTGATGGCGGAAGCCCGGTTGCTTCGAGGCGTGTCGTTGGGCGGCGGCGGCTGCGGAGGGGATGGATCGTCTTCAATGTTGATTTCAGGCAGGTTCATCCTTGCGTGGAGAGACCTGACGCTTCCAAACTTTCAAACTTTGAGGCTCGGAGAGATTGTTGTATTGTTGTGCTGCTGCTTTGTTGTGGGCGAGGAGCCTCAACGCGGCAAGGAACGGGCGGAAGGGCAGCCGGGGGGGAAGAAAAAGGATAAAGACATGCAACACGATACGAGGATGCAAGATAAGACAATACAATACAATACACGGCCAAGCAAAGCAAAGCAATACAAGTGATAAGGAGGATAAATTGATGATAATATAGATAAGATAGAAGGGCAGAGCGAGAGTGAAGGGGGGGGAGGGGAGTTGGGAGTTGAGTGAGTGAGTGAGTGAGTGAGTGAGGCGGGAAGTTGGGCGACGTCGTGGGATGATCAAGATTAATCAAGGGAAACAGGGAAGAAAGAACTCTGAGAAACTCTGGAGACTGCACGGGCGATCTCGGCAGTTTGAAATCGCGCGTCGATTATATAAGCCTTTCCGTATCGGGCAAGTCTGAGGGCTATCTTTAGATACGTCATGGTGCTGCTTTGAGGGTCACGGGATGCCGCTTTATCGTGGTTCCTGGTTTCCGCTTCTAAGGACGGATAAGGTACAATTACACTCAGTCAGGTACAGATAGATTCCCTTATTGTACAATAAAAAGATATCACTTCATACATGACATGTCTCCGTCTGCACGATCATCCTCTAAGAACCCCCCCAACTCGTAATCGCGACATCCATCTTACCGACCTCTTGGATCCGGCCATGATGATGTCTCGCCGCCCCTCCTGTTCTGCGGGCCAGAACGTATGCCCGGCATTCCCGACACAATAGTCCACGCCGGTCCCACAACCACAAAGATTTCCAAATATACGCCGACGCCGTTCCCTCGGATATCGCATCGTCACGACAGGATAACTCCGCGACAGAGCTGTTTGTTCTCCAGCCTGCGGCTTTCTCCTCGCTCCAGTGGCGGTTTTCAAAAACACGCGCCGAGTCCTGGCTAGGATTGGACGCCGAGAACTCGGCCCATGTAGCAGCCAGGCATCCTCCCTCGACGACGTTGTGGTTATAGTTCGCGCAAGCCGTTGAATTGGGACTGCTAGCGAGACTGTAGCGACCTGATCAGCTTAAGTTATTGGCGACTGGACTTTAAGACAAGAGACTTGGCAGTTTTGGTGGTCAACTTGAGGTCCCTGGCGGCTATCAGCGTTGAGCTTGGCCACTCGTCACGGTTAAAGTCCGAAAGAAGAAACAAGGCGCAACACAACACAACACGAGTGTGCTGCTTGTGCTCCGAAGAATCATTTGCTGGCATTCACCCTCTCTCGAGGCCAAGAAGAGCCTCGGCCGTGTGTTTGCAGGCCTCTCGTGGCTGCACAAGGCTTACTGCACTCTGCAGTATCCTGGTTCACGCGTCCAAGCACATTTGGGTCATTAATCGAGGTTCATGCGGATGCACTGCACCATGTTGCATTCTGTTCTCCAGATTGGCACGTGGCTGATTCTCAGCTGGTTCATCTCCCAATATCTCTGCTGGTTCCGCGGCTCTCTGTAAGATTTAGATTCTGTTAAGTTCAATTCCCTGGATCGTTGTGTTAAGTCTATGGATTGATCAAGCTACCAGACGCTACTACTATATACATGACATGAGCGAGAGGCACATAATAGATTCCTAGTTATAAGAACTCACCATTATTCTTTATATAGGCATAATCGTAACTCTTCCAGTATAAGAGCCTTCTTCTCTTCACGCGATACGAATGGTGGAACGAGGAGCTGACATCAGCAAGTCGACAAGGAAGGAATTCAGATCACCATATCCCTGTAGACGATATAGCTGCCTGTGGTAAAAGATTTCTACTGGCCCTGACTCTAGTTTATACAAATGAATTAAAGCATCCTCCCGAAACTTGAAGTAGAAGGTTTATAGGTAAGCAGCTAATAGAAGCAAGGTTGGAGAGTTAACTTCAACAGTAGAGTAGCTACCTTATAATACATACGTAGCTTAGCGGTTTGAAGGCGAAGATACACGAATGGGTCGTAATTTCCAACCTGAGCTATAGGCCACGAATTGCGTGAATAGAATGGAATAAAGATCTTCAAAATCCGTATTGTCAAGGTTAAGGTAGATACTTTATGCTATAGAAGATAACACGTGAGGTCCTGTGAAGACCATGTACTCGTTGAATATTGAATTAGGGTAGATAAAATAGACATCTCTACTCCACAACACTCAATTAATCAAACGCAGAACTAAGATCTCGAGAGAAAAAAATAAAAAGACGAGATAAATAAATACAAAAAACTCAAGGACCACCAATCTCTCTCAGAAGGTGGTCCTATAGAAAACCCCAAGGAGTTTTTAAAGAACTGTAAATCAACAGCTTTGTAACCCAGAAGTCCCTGGGGATTAATTATAACCCGGTTCACTCCGGGGAAGGCTGATAGATTTTGTATATGATCTATGCGCCTAACTTACATGTTTGACTTACCTGTTTGTTTGAAGGAACCCTTTATTTTCATATATACGTAGGTATAGGGACTTGAAAGTGAATTGATTTTTGAACTGGGCTCTAGCGTGAGCAGAGAGGGAGACTGGTAGGCGAAGTTGTGAATCACTAGTTGAACATTATGTATGCTTGAAGTAGTGTTTATCTAAGCTCAGTAATAGACAGTTAATGCCTAAATAGGGCAACTTGATTTATTTTGAATAGTAACAAATAGCGTTGTATTAAACATCAATCGACTGGTCTCACTTGGACTCTCCAGAGTCCAGATGAATTGGTCGATACATAGGACAGGACTAGAAAAGTCTACCACAATTAGATCAGGCCTTCTCCAATTTCTCTGCAAATTCCAATTCTCAACACTTATTCTCAACGCGAGCTGTGCTATCTGTTATATTAGACACCTATATCTTGTACCCTAGTAGTGGATCAATGATAATTTCCTTGAGGGTCTAACTTGCCATAAGGCTTCAAAGCCTTGATGGATGTCAACAGAAAGGCAACTTTAAAGAAGCCAAATCTCCTACTTATCTGCCTTGAAAGCTTTAACGAACATTCACGAAGCGTACTGTGAAGGGGCAACAAGAATGCTGTAGTGAATATATTGCAAGGCCCTCTTTGAGGACTAAAAGATTATTTGGGAGAGGGCCTTCTTTATTAAGTCGCCTCGCCTCTTTTAGATCCGTCTCTTCATCAACTCAACCACAGCACACCTCAACTCAGCCCCGAACCCAGACGGAAGATAAGGCCTCCAGCCTTCATAACGTCAAGATGACATCAGAAAATAGACTAGATCTTCGTCCTCTTCATGATGCACTTGACCAAGCGCTTTTCAGTCTTCAACCTCAAATCGGTGAATTGTACAGCAGTCTTTTAGCCACCTTAAGTCAACCACAGCACGATACGGCCTCCAGGCTTCAAAGCGTCAAAATGGACTCGGAAACTAGACTAGCTCTTCATCATCTTAAAGAGGATCTTGAAAAAGAGCTTTTCATTTTGCATCCTCGAACAAGAAGTAGATTGAACAGCAGACTTTTAGCGGCACAAGACGCACTACTGAACGATCGATCTTCCGAGCCAAACACTCCTTCAATGGCCGATTGCAACCCCAGTCAGACCCAAAGATCGGCAATGGAAAAAGCCAAAGAACCAACGTCAAAACATAATCGGGCAACTCAGCGCTTGGGACCAGGACACACACCACACTGGGAGAAGAGCATGATGCAAGAAAGGGAGGATTCTGAGGATACCATTTCATACGAAAGCAATTTCGACGATTACAGCGACACTGACCAAACTATGAGCAAACACATCATGCCCAAAGGCCAAGTCTATACCCACACTAAGGCCCACACTAAGGATATGGCTGTTTCCTACGCCCCGAACGCCAAATTGGAATTCCCGCAGAAGACTAACATCAGCCCACACAAACCCTCAATGGACCACACGACGGAGGTGTCAGACCTTCCAGGAGTTCCAAGATGGTTCCCCGCAAGAATTAAGAGGATATTGAACGATGATGGATGCCCCGACGCGCTCCCATTCAAGGTTAGTAATTATGAAGCACAACTCAGGACTTTCCCCCCTAACAGTCCCCCAGTTCATGGACAAACTCACCCGATACCGAGCATGGCTTGAGGCTCTTCGACGCCGAAGATGGAAACAATATCTCAGGGCTGGGAAGGCTAGGTGGCAACTGAGTATCGCTCTCCAGAAGCTCCGACAAAGACCTGCAAGCACGACCGCCGCATTCTATCAACATCGGCTCCGCCAGCAGAAGAAATGGAAGGAGAAAGCGCTTCGAGCTATGAAGAAGTTAGATGTCGTTATTGAAGGGACAAATTATCTGGACAAGACAATGTCTGCAATTTTTAAAGTCGAACGCGAGGTCTACGAGAAATATCTTGGTTGACTGCAGAAGAGACCCGAGGACATGCGGGATTTTAAGAATATCGGGTGAAACGTGAGCGATTCTTTGACTTGAGAGAGAATCTCCAAGTTTTCGCCGGCTTCTAAGGAATGGGTATCAAAACTCAGAACGTGGACTAGAAACAGAGCAGTGTATGGAGTCAATTTATCGTGGAATTTTCTGCGGAACACAGTTCTCACTTCATTGCTTTTAACCTGCCGTGACGAGATAAATGCTTCCTCTCTTGTCCTTGATGTCTTTCGTCAATATATGCACCCACCAGTTGAACTTCAATGCAGCAACCCAATACGATCTATTCATAATGGTGCATATGTGAATAGGATCGGAATTTTCTGTTCATTTCCCATGTCTTCCTCACTTGTTGCCCTTGCATCTAAGATCTGGCACCTTGGCACATACTCAGTATGCTACTAAGCTCTTCGCGTTTGGCTTGGAAGTCTGACGACAGAATGGCAGTGGTGATCACTGATTAGCAAAGGACAAACTCGAGGTAGTCAATTGGACGTCGGCGCGTCTGGTTGAAGACGTCTGTGATCGGCTTTAGCCTTGTATTTATTTAGCGCGAGGCTGACAAAATATCACGTCCAAATATCAAACGCCTGGGTGGATATAAAAAGTCTGCAGCCTTCTTTGTCTACAAGTTTCCCTCATCGTCTTCAGCCTCATGGCAACGTCAAGCAGAACCTTTTCATATCGACCACTATGAGGCTCCGTCCCACTGCCAATTTGACCTTGTGAACCGAGCTCTGTCCTTAAAACTTCCCCGTCCTTCACCGGTATCCTCGCGTTCCCCATACTATCGGATTGAGGTCGTCTCGGCCCATAAAAGAGAGCCAATTTTGCCAAAGCCATTACCTTATTAGCCTCTCATCAACAACTTCTCAGCTTTGCCGGCAGCAATGGCTACTCCGGCAGCAGTTACTGGGTCGAAACCTCGTCCATCCACGTCTTATGGACCAGGTCGTCGGACCTTTCGCGAGTAAGCCCGCATGGCCAATTACGATCCCAATGCTTACCATACCTAGGCTGGTTGGCGAAGAGATGGTAGATATCTACGTGGGTCCCGAGGAGGTGCATTTTCGAATACACAAGCGCATCCTCTGCGATCGAGTGCCGTACTTCCAGAAAATGTTCACGAGCGGCTTCAAGGAGGGCAGCGAAAATGCTGCAAGGTTCCCAGAAGACGATCCCGATTCTTTCGATATGCTGGTAGATTGGATCTACTTTTACAATATACGGGGTCTGGCGAGGATGAAGGATAGCGACGGCAATGACATTATAACCTGGGACCCCGTGAGGTTTTACTGCCTGGCAGAAAAGCTGTGCCTCCCGATGGTTATGGATAATATCATGGATACACTGCGAAAATATCACAAAAAGATGCAGGAACTTCCCTCGCCTGATTTCATATACCGCGCCTACGCCTCTACGTCGGACAAATCGCCGCTCCGGAACTATTGTCTTATGACCATACGTTACATTCTTGCGGACTTGGGCAAGGATGAGACCGAAGAAGGATGGCCGACTTCTGAAATACAGAAATTATTCAAGGACCATGATAGCTTTGCTAGCGACTATATCACTGCGACTAGAGATGGCATCTCAGGGGATCCCAGGGATCTACCGAAGTGTTTCTTCCATGTCCATGGAGAAGATGAACCATGCATCACCAATGATTGGAATGGAAAGCGGAAATACTATGCTCTCCCACAACAGAAACATCCCAAAAAGCAATGTCTGGAGAGCGCGGGTCCTAGAGCATCTCCAGCATCCCCTAGCTGGTCTACAGCTGCGATGATAGGTCGTTGATCCAAAGAAGAGCGGAGGCCATAAGGAAATCCCAAGGAAGACGTGTAAGGATTCTGGGAACCAACATCTACTGATCGGACATTTGGTTTGGCAGATGAAGAGGGGGTACTTGCTGCAGGTAATTTGGCTCGGAAGTATTTCTAATGGGGAACTACCTAAGGTAGGTAGGCATCAAGCCCATCATATCCGTGTAGCCAGATAGGAAAAGCAAACCGGACTGGTTAACCTTTAAGAGGAGTAGTTGTTGGGAGGAGCATGATAGACCGAGTTGACCTCGATGCTTGACCATACTGTATCTTGACTTTTACTCGGCAGATAGATACCTATGTTTTCAGACGACCAAAAAGGGGTCTGCAATCACGAGGGGCCACGAGGGCCCGGGGGTCGTCGCGGTCACCGTATTATTATATAATATAGGTAATATGGTACGGTATACGGACCACTGTAGACTGATTTGCGAACTGCACACTAGCGCGATACAGTATATATCCTCTCGATCCCTTCTCAGCACCTTGACGACGTCTTATAATTGCCGGTATTGTGTATTGAATCCCGCACAGCCTTCAAGATGTCGATGTTCCGATCGAAAAAACTTGATCTAGGATGCTTCGTCAACGTCAAGGTCATCCGTGATCATACCAAGCGAAAGGTCTTCGCTGAGCATGAGACCGAAAGGTATGTGGGCATGCGACTCGGATATCTATCCAGAAAAACCCACCGGAATGCCGGTGCATGACTTTGGGTAATGTTATTGTGGCTCTGGACGCTGTGCTGACCATATACTGCGGTTAGACAAGCCTTGCGATACATCATCCGCAACTTGAGCCTTCCAGCGAGAACGCGCGCACAAGCCCAGCTTCAACTGTCCCAAATGCATGCCTATACTCGTCCCACACAAATCCGGAATCGATGCATAGAGGGAGGAAAGGGGAGGGGTGTCCTGAGAGACTTCAAGATGACAAGGGTACGTGGAATCCCTTGCGCGGATATAATATAAGACGAAGAGACGGAGAGAGCATTCATCTTCAACTACGACTTCTCGAGGGTACATTGGAGCAATTGAGCTGATATGGTGGTAATCCTTGCAGTATAACTTCCGAGTCAACGCTCTCGCCGGACTGATCCCCGGAGTCAAGAAGGCCTCGTGGTAGGCGGGAAAGAGGGGTTCTGGTTGGAAAGAGACACTGCGAAGGGTTGCAATGTCGTGGGGGACTTGTATCATAAGCAATGGGCCACATCTGCAAGAGGATTTATAGTGGTGTGGAGGAAGAAATATGCCGCTGTACGAAGTGCTCTGGAGCGCAAGGCTGTACCTATATTTTGAGGCGTTCCTGATGAACCTACTTGTACACCACGGGAAATTTCCATTAAGGTATGGCAATCATGAAGATCTCCTTTCCTAGAATACCATGATGTTCAAGTATGCTGCATTGAGGATGGATGTCTAGCAACGTGAGAATGCCAGAGACAGCATGGAGGGATTGGGTGGTCTTCTTCCGTGACCAAGTGTGGTCAAAGTAGAGGAATCCATAGATTCTACTGGCGGCTTTAGTTTGCTCTGTTTTACTGGAATTTGGTTTTAATCCTGCTGTCGTTGCTCTCCTACCATAGCCTGCCGCTTTCCGATGAAGTCTGGTTGGCAAACAGAGTTGCTTTGTATACAAAACTTGGACCTCTACTTTCCTCCTCAAGGTATATATAAGGTATATACAAAGCTCTTGTATCAACAAAGTTTTCCTTGCTTGGGGGTCTTGGTACATTTCAATACAAGTGAATACTGTTGCTCGCTCACTCTGGTTGACATCCGAAGCTTGTTAACTTGCGGCTCCTTGTTCAACCGCGACTCTCGCAAACCCAGACAAACCTCACTCAATCTGCCACGTCCATTCAAATAGAAAGTATTTGTCTCCAATCTCTCTCCAGAATCAACCTTGGTGGTTTCACTTCCACAATGTTTCGCCGTCTCGAATCTGGTCTTCCCAAAGACCCAGTTTACCCAGCTGATCTTGCAGGCTTGGGGTAAGCAGCTCTCATCTCGATTCAAGATCCATACTAATGAATATCCCCAGGTACTTCATCAATGACAAAGATGAGATCAGGAGCATCGAGAACCCGAAAGCCTACTTCAAGTTCTTCCTTACTAGGAATGACCGCTACAACAGCCTCCAGCGCGAGGCCATGAATGGTGAGACCAATTGACTCCACCCCAGTACGAGGCTCACATTCATATAGAAGCTATTCGCAACATCATCTCCGAGCGGCTTATCAAACTTGGTCTTCAGAAGATCCGCCTCCCTCTCGGAGCCGCAGAAACCGAACCCCACCTCCCCATCTTCACATCCTCCGACCTCAAGGCCAAGAAGCGGGTCATTATCCTCTTCTATGAGCATAACCAAGATCTCGGTGTCTTGGCCCACCGTGTCATCGGCGGCAAAGGAGGAATCAACGCGGGATCCGTGATCGACATGGTCAAGTACATCGAATCCCTCTGTACATCTGAAACGGACGACGAGTGCCCCCCCGGTATCATACTTGCCAATATGGGACAGTTAAGATGGTGGCGGCGGGGAAAGAAGGCCGTTACCCAAACGTCGTGGTATGCCCTCCCGCAGAAGAGCGCCGTTGACGTCCCGTTCACGTTCGACTCCGTGAAGAACACCATCCCCGGGAACAGAAGCACAGCCGAGCACGTCGATTACATATTCAACAACGTAGTGAAGGAGCTGGCCGGACCGGCCGCAAAACTAGATGTGATAGGCGTCTCGGAAGGCGCGGTGCAAGTCGCGACGTTCTTGGACGATGAGGAGAATTGGAAGACGTGGCGTGCGAGGATCGAGGGCTTTGCTGCCGTGGCAACTTACTATCACGCGTACGAGATCAAGAATCAGGCGTTTAAGAATTGGCTTCGTGATGTATGATTTTCTCTCTCTCTCCTCCATTTCCCCTATTTTTCTACGGCTAACAATAGCTATTATTGCAGCGAGGACGGGCCTACATCACATCCCCGGAGCCCTGCGAGACCTTCCTTGCTGGGCCTGAGGGTGGTCGTAGAATTGATGCGTATGGCTGTCCGGTCTTCAGCTTAGGGGAACCGTACTATAGCGAGATGATGCTGCCGAAGGGGTACAAGACCATTATTGATTGGTTCCAGGAGCTCGCGGCTGATCCCAACTATGCAAATCCCGAATTTCAAAGATATGATGATGAAGATAGTGATGTTGAGGAGGACTCGCAGGAACCGGGTATTGAGCTGAACCTAGCCAAGGCTTAAGTGATACCTTGTTGCCTTTAGGGTAGGACGCAATTCATGGGTTTCCCCAGAGCCTGGACATCGAGGGAGGGGCAAAATTAGGCATGTATTTTGCATGGCTGGTGCTCGACTAGGTATTTCAACATATTACATTGTGACCATAAATTGAGGGCCATAAAGATACATAAGGAGACAGAGCTGCCTGCTCCACTGTGTTCATATTTACTCAAACAAGACAGAGCTGTTTCCAACAGCTCCACCCGCGGGATTGCCAAGGAATTCCGAAGCCCTCCGCGTCCTCTCCCTAACAACCTGCTCTTCGCTCTTCCACCTTCCGGGGACCTCTTTCTGATTCTCACCCCCAAAGCCCAGCCATGATCGAGTCTTCGTCTTCTGTCCCTCTGCTTCCTTCTCTTCCCTTGCCAAGTGAGCGACCATCGTCGCCCAGTTCCCCAGCCCGACTTCCAGGCATTGCTTGCATGTCTTCTTCGCCTCCTTGTCGATTCGTTTGCCTCGCAGTTCCTCCTCTGCGACATCTACGGCCTCTCTGGTCCATGCCAGTCCATCCTCCTTACTGGTTTTGCTCGTCTTGGACGCATAGAGGATCTCTCCAATGTACGTCATGATACCCGCTTCTTCACAACGTTCCTTAGGGCCCCGTAGTGGGGGAGAGGTTCCATCATCTGGCGGAGGGGGATATTCGGGAGGCATGAGAGCAGATTTCACGAGGGATGTGACAGTTTTTAATAACCCGCCATCTTCCTCGTCGGGTGTGGACGTTGATCGTACGGTTGGTGCATCGGTAAGCGATTTTCGGGCGCGGAGAACGGAGAGAAAGATAGGGAGGGCCACATTGAGGTTAGAGTTGATGGCATGGTGGACGGCAAGGGCTGTCGTTGCGGACAAAACGTTGGCGGAGGGAATGCCTGCATTGGCGTTGAGAATCCCAGTCGCTGGATCCACGATCTGCTTGGGAGAGTTCGCAGTCGCAATATCTAATGCCCATTTATACATCTCCAGTGCTGCCTCCGGCGTCTTCTTGAAATCTAGCCATGCTGCATAAGCCAGCGCGGCATCCATTCTCTGCTTCTCGTTGAAGCCTCGTGTAGTGAGGATCCGCATGTAGTATGTCTCAGGGGATTCAAATGCGGGCTCGCAATCCTCCTCTCTCGGGGCCGACTTTGCTCCGGGGGGGACAGGGCGAGGATTCGGATTCGAAGGGCCAATGACTACATTCTTTGGAAACGCAACGTTTCTCTTCTTGTCTCTGACCCACCCATCCAGATGTTCCGCCGCCCTTGCTGCTCCCATCAACACCTCGTAGTATCCCCTTCTCCAAGGCTCCGATTTCTTCGAGATATCATACCCCGTCTTCCCAATGCCCGCTACCAGAATCCCCCCGTCATCCACCTCCTCCAGTCCCTTGCCATCGATTTTTGGATCCTCCAGCCTCTTGATTAAAGTCCGGAATCCCTCGCCCGTCCTTGCCCAATCTACAAGACCATCTCTCTCATCATCGGCATCCTCGTCCCATTTTGTGCTCCGGAAATCCTTGCGCGTCACCCAAGACCATTCGCGTGGTGAGGGGAATTTCCGCTCCAGCCACTCCTGCTGCACACCGAACGCCATCATGAACAGGAGTCCCGCTAATGTCCACAGGACAGTGGTGTATTTCCCTGCCCTCCAGACCTCGTCCTTGATCCATCGTTTGTGATCAGTTGTGAGAAATCGGGCTATAGGGCGGCGGTTTGGCGGGGAGAGGAAGGGCAATTGAGGTCGTGAGCGGGTGGCGAGAGTGTTCTGAGTGAAGGGTCTAAGAGTATTAGGAGGTCGGAAGGGGCGGATAAAGGGTATTCTTCGCATAGGCAGTCGTGGGCGCATCGTGAGTATCGTGGTGTTGGTGGGGTGGTGGTGATTGTGGCAATCGTGATGTCGAAGAGCTTCGCAAGAGCTCGTTCAAGGGCTCAAGCGAATACGCCCGTTCTACCTTAGGTTTGCGGATCGGAAGTACCGTAGCCGCCGAAGACCACTTTGCTACTACTTGGACTTTGCAAAACATCCACAATGGTCTTACTTCTTTTTATCCCCATTGCATCTATGATTCTATCTGGGAGATATACGTTTAGGCAGGGCTACGGAATACATTGCAAGTTGAACGCGTTGGGTGAGTAGTCACGCGTAAGTCACGAGACCGCCGAGTTGGCTACTCTTCGGGAATGAGGAAACATTCCTACTCCTGCAAATTTCTGAGGATATTCCTGAGGTCTTGTGTTGGTGCCCCAGATGCAGGCAGAATTCCATGGCTCCTACTTCCATCACGGAGTACAAATACATAATATACACATACCAAACCGTCCAGGTAGACCAATAGAGCGAGCACCTATACAGTACTTGGCTAGCTATCAATTTAAGTGTAGCCATTCCAGCCCTATAGCCTACCAATCCATACCTCGCTTCAACTCAGATGAGGAGCGAGCAATCCCCGCCGTCCTTTGATCGTATCACACAAAGCCATATTTACAGCTTTCCCCTGGCTAAGTTTGAGATCATCTCTCTACCAGTAACCCAAGTCGTTCTCCACAATGTGGGGAAGTCCAAGGTACTCGTGAAGGTATCGGCATACCCGAATCCCAACATGGGTGGGATCCAACCCCTTGCGTACTCAAGCGCAAAGCACGCCTCGTCCATCTTGTATTGCTTGACTGTTCCACGATGAAGATGGTGCACACTGCCTTGGGGGTAGATCTCTGGCTCATATGATCCTGGAGAGTAGGCAAGTTGAGTGCCGGCCAAGATGTGGAAGTAATCATCTGCCGTGTGACGTCCAGTATGGCCTTCGGTGCCAATGGCGGTGCCTAAGCATACGTGAGTAGATTTTCATGAGACATGGGAGGGAATCCAAACCGAAGATGATCAAATACTCGGTAATACCTGTAACCTTGGCTCAGCAAGACATTCGTTTGGTTTATATCACGTGAACATATCGATCAACCCCTTCGACACCTCTAGGTAAGGGGATGACAGAGGAGAAGCAATGGAGGACTCACTGGCATGAATAATGTACATAGCGCCCATGGCACCACCCGCATTGTTGAAGATCCACTCCTCATCCAGATTCACATATCCGCCCGGCAACTTCTCACTCAACTCGTCGACAATGAACCCAACCACGGCACGGGTATCATTGCCATGAGCGCCAATGGCACGTTGAGCCAGATCATGGAGATCCTTTGGATTAAAAATGTAGAACCACTCCAGATGTGAATCCAGGAAGTAGAAGACTGCAGACAGCACCGCGACGGCGACGGCGACGAATGTGAGAGTAGCGGTCCACGTCCGTTGAGGAGAGGGTGGCTTCTGAGAAGGCATTGTAGAGAGCGTGAAAGAGAGGAAGGTAAAGCAAGGGGTTCAGGGAAGGACTGGATAATCAATTGGGCTCAGAGAATGACTGGACAATCGATTGCTCTCTCTTTGTGGTTGTAAAGGTCGACGCGACTCCGTATATTCATTCAGGGTCTCGAGGCTGTCGCGCTAATAATTTGTCTGGTTCTGCTTTGCCCTATTCGGAATAGTGCAGCTCAAATAGGCATCGGGAGTAGGCATCGGAAATAGGTTATGCCGAACCCATCTCCTGGCTAACCCCGTAGAGTAAATGCTCAGGGGTTTGTTGTCTTCATTCCTGAGGCATGCTTAAGTACCACCCATATGGGTATCTGTGTTGCTATGTTTAATCAAATCAATCCGGGCATCCAAGCTGCTCTCAAAGCTGGATCACTTTGTATAGTGAACATCCTTCAAGGGACTGTTACGAGAATGGTCCCGAGGGTGATGTTGAGCTGGTATATGGTGACTCCCTTAACCAAGACAATCACACTAACTATCAACCGATTAAGAAGCTTTACACCAATATTTATGGCCTCATAACGGTGAAAGAAGCATCTGATTGAGTTATATATTATTCATTTTGAAGACAAGCCGCAAGAAAACCATACGAGGGAAAACACATCTCAGGCAACTTATCTGAATCAAACGTAAAAGAGATCTCCACTGATATTGCACCTTTTTCGCCAAGTGCGGCGATATTCGTAGGCGGAAGCTTCAGGCAGTATTTTGAGAAACTTGCTGTGAGGAGCCCGATTGTAAGCACGAATTCAAGGTCTTTGCCACTGTGGTGCGTTCGGCTGATGATTGATGAGGCCAACTGACTGCTATGAAGGATATAAGTTGATTGAATTGAAGTTCTTCTTGCAACGACGATAGCTTGAAGCTCCCGTGCCGTCCAATCAAAGTATTTAGGTAGCAAGCCTAGCTGGACCCTATGTGGAGCTTGATCAAGGGGATCGCCCGCCGCCAGCTTTTCCCGCGGTCCGCGAAAATAATTGCACTCTGACTTCTTACCATCACACATGCCATATCTTGACTCCTCCAAAATATTTTCTTATTCTTCTCCTCGCCAATAATCCCATTCAGCACTTTCGGGTAATCTGTAGTATGGTTTGCCCCTACTCAGATCTGGCTCTCTGTAATGAACCTGTTGCAACTGATAAATATCTAAATAATCATCGAACTTGGCGGCCATTGTCGCTCCAACTATCATACAGTTACCAGCCTCGTCCGCCGTACACGGGTAGAATTGTACCTCCCCGTACTCATCCTTGCTTCTGATTGTGCCATCTGCCTTCCGTGGATTCCTCCTGCAAATTGTAATCGTATCCTTAGCCTCGGAGTTGTCGTCTAGCACCGCGAAGTTCTTGCGGTCGAGAAACAGCCATTCGGGGCCGTTCTGGAGCCAAGCTGCTGCTTCTTCTATCGTCTTGCCCGAGAACGAGGATGCAGTGAATCCGGTAATAGGAGGGATGGTTCCCCCCGCTTTCATGCTATCATCGGGTTCTGTAAGGACGGGATATTCATCTCCTGTGACTAGGTAGAAGAGGCCTGGAATCATTTCTCCACTGTATGCCTGTTGAAGCTTTTTGTTGATTGCCTGCCGAGAGGTGTTAGCCACCCAGGCTACTGGTTTCAAGCAAGAGGATCCAGGAAGCTCATACTCTCAACTCACTTCAACAGAGAGGTCTCTGGCAATAACGAAAAGTGCATACGGCGCCCAGGGCATGACGGATTTTGGTGCGTGTACGTATTGGGCGGGACTGCTGCTCTTGTCGCTTCTGTGAATGCGAAAATGCTGACTAACTTTAAGGTTCAATGTTGACAAAAGTCGAGAGGGACAGTTTAAGTAGAACCAAATATTATATAGGCATGTATGGCAATCGTTGCTTTGCAAAGCCCACGCAAGTGCGCGGCTACGCTCCTCTAGGATGCAGATTGTGCTTTGTACAGCTCATCATTTTATTGAAGCGACAACATGGGGCCAAGTTAAGTCCAACAAATCCAACAAATCCAACCAACATCAGCAAAACGGCACACGTTAACTACTTTCTTGGTTGGATTTACGTAGTTTCCTGAACTTCCATGAATCCGTCATATATTAATAGAGCTATTCAGAGCGTTGGACTATGGGTCTGGCAGTGTTTCTTACTGTTTCAAGCATTAAAGTTGTTCCTTATTTAAAGGACATTCAGTCCTGACCGGATCCTCTTGGAAGAATACTACCCATAATAACATCTGATTTGAGTGCCTAGTGGCTAAAAGTATGTTAAGGCTTTTAGGAGACACTAGCTTTCCGAGCTACTTCTGATTTTCCCTCTACGCTGAAGGGACGTGGGGGTCCAGCAAGAGTCGACGAGTACTATGTTGTACTGTTACATGTCTTATGCTCACTAGTACTCCTCAATTTGAGCCGCATTTCACACCAATTTGACCGTGGGTGATGGCAAGTGGAGAGCGCGCGTATACTTTGTACTCCCAGGTATATAAGGTGTTTGGTGTATTCAATTCTTAGAAGCCGAACACTGTGACGAGGAGTTGATGCCCGAGTGACATACTGCAATAGTGCACTTCCAGATAGTTCATAAATCAATTCAATTCGTCTAGCAACGCCAGATATACCATAAAAGTTACAAGTGAAATATACATGAAACGGTTTCCCAATCATTACCCTAAGCCTGGCTCAAATATCTGAGCGCCTCTTCCCTCTCTTCAGCGGGCAACATGCTGAGAACTTGCTGAACACCCTTCAAACCACCCTTGCTGTTGCCTCTCAACAGACTAGCGACATCAAATGCGACACTCTCCGTCTTCAACGCCTCCACCTTCTCGTGGACCGTCTTCCGGTTCTCCTCATACCACATGGCAACATCGCGATCAGCAGTAGCAAAGTTGGGGATGCCGGTCCAGGCTGCCAGTGTCTCCAGGTTGCGGGCTCGGGTCGTGAGCGGGTTCTTGTTGGAAGTTGACATGCGTTTCAAGATGTACTCTTCGTTCACACGACGACGCACACGCCAGTAGAAGAATCGGCGAGCCTCTCTCCACTGAAGTTCTTGTCTGATAGTGTTCTTGGCCTTCATGCGTCCGGCCCGGTCGTGGAGATCCGCAAATTGCAACGAGACTTGCATGTAAACTGGTAACAGAAGTTGCTCGCGAGCAGTCGCTTTGGCCTTGACTTCATTCATTTGCTCCTTGCTCAGAGATGGGTCGGCCAACTGTCTACGCAGCGCACCGTATTCCGGATCCAGGCGTGCCATGGTCTCAAGCTGCTTATCACGGCGGTACTTAATGTTGACAATACCTTCTGGCTCAAGAACACCACCACGGGCATCTTCATCAGCGTACATCTCCATGAACTCGGGGTTGATGGTTGGATCGACGACCACCTATGATTATTAGCCAGGGTCCAAATGAACGAGTATAAGGTTACTTACCCATGAACCACCTCGCAACTCTCCAAAGGGAGGGATGTAGACAAAGATCGGCTGCTCGTACTTGACAAGAGCGTCAACAATGTAAGATCCATACTTGAGAACTTCATTGTACATGTCCTTCTGTCCACCAGAGAAACCTCTCCAGTTGGCCAAGATCATCAATGGTAACTGTTCACCATTGTTGAAATCCTTGATCGCCTGAGCGGTCTTGAAAGCGGAGTTGGGATACCAGACACCACCTGCTTCCATGGTAATCTGCTCGGCAGAATCGGGGTTTGCAGGATCAGCAGGAGTGATGTTCTCGACTGAGCGAGTCTCAACAGCAATGACACCCATGGGGATACCACCAAGTCGAGCACGACCAACGACCACAGTCTTGGCCCAGCCACCAAGAGATTCAACGAACGAGTCCTTGTCAAAGAGACCAGACTGGTAACCTTCAGAGTCCTCCACGCCGGCAATCAGGTGTCTCACATCGTACGCTTGCTTCGGTGGTGGTGAGTAGACGATATCCCGGTCCCACGAGTCGACAGCAGGTCCGATCGGAAGCGGGTTGTTTCTCTTGTCTGGAACGTACGCCATCCACTCAACAATTTTGGAGACACCCTCGAAATCATCGTTGGCGGTCATATGTGAGACACCATTCTTGTACATAATTTGAGTGCCACCGAGTTGCAAGTTAGAAGTGTAGACTTCACGACCGAGGACCTTGTTGAGGGCAGGAGCACCAGTCAGAATGATGGGCTGGCCTTCAATTTGGATGGCACGCTGACCCAAGCGGACCAAATATGCACCGATACCTAAGAATGTGAGCAGAATGGAGCGAGAGAGATTTTTAGAAAACACTTACCGACTGATCGACACGTCACTAAAGTAATGGTGAAGATGTCCTCGTAGGCTCTGCTTGTAGCACCAGCAATCAAACCGGAGCCCTTCAGACATTCGACACCAAGACCATCCTCGGCACCGACGATGGTAGTGATCTTGTATCTCGTCTCACCATCTTCCGTCACCTCCTCGGTGATAACATCCCGTGTCTTGCCATCCTCGAACCGTTTCTTTGCCTCGGCATCGAGGTAGAGATACTTGAATCCAAGCTCTGGCTTCTCTGGATCGTTCCAGGCAATGTTGAAGTGCGGAATGAGTTCCTCAGCCATACCAATACGAGCACCAGAGTTGGCAGAAAGGTAGATGCGAGGAATACCAAGCTTCCTTGCGAGTTCCGTGCACTTGTGGAAGAATAAATCTTCCTTGGGTCCGAAACTACCAATCTTGAAGGTGATGTCGTTTGCAACAATGACGAACTTCCGGCCACGGGGATACTCAGGAGTCCTAGCAGTCACGAGCCATCCAACCATACCGTGAGTGTTGGTACCTGGCTCACGAATGACTTCGGCGAGGTTATCTTGGTCATCGAGGACGAGCTCACTGTAGTCAATGCACTCGCCAGTCGGGGGTTGCTTGTCCGCCAAGGATGAGTGTTTACTGACAGCTTTGGTCCAGCTGTTCTGAATGGCTTGCCTGAAAAGCTCGGGGAAATCGTAGACATACTGAGTGCCCATGAGGTGAGCCTTGTATCGCTTTGGCTGGAGCCATTCCTTTGTCGGGTATGGCGTTGATACAGGTCGCAAGTGCATGGATCCAATCTTTGTAGTGCCTCCAATGCTCTGGAAGACCCATTCACCACCTTTCTCGGATTTGCGCTCGGCGTACATCTCAACTTGGATCACATAGCCAGATGTGTTCGTGATGACAACGCGGAGAGGATATGGCATGCCGGTGGTGGGATCAGTGCAGATAATGCGGATTTCAGCACCAGTGACACGCAAGCGCCAAAGACGACGGCCGAAACGCTCCAGGAACCCGCCAAGTGCCTTCTCAACCTCAGGAGGTTGGAGAGGGAAAACTGGGGAGAAGTTGATGAAGATATGGTTGAGATCGGAATTGTTGTTTCCAATAACCTCGAGAGCATCCAAGATATCATTCATTAATCTATCAGACTCGGAGATCAGATACTCGGCAGTTGGGATCTCATCCCGAAGTCTACCAGGACGCACGACGGCTCGGGTGAAGTAACGCTTGTCACTTTGAACATCCTTGCCAATGGCCTCATAGATGTGGATGTTGCGGTTCTCGGTGAAGACGGGTTTGATATTGAATTTCGAGAGTCTTCCAAGTTCAAGCTGGAAGGCCAAGGCTGGCTCGCTGTGACGAATACTCTGATCTTCCTCATATTCGGGGCCGCGGAAAGTGTAGTAGCCAGGATATGATCCATCCTTGTGACCGCAAATGAATGTCAAACGGCGAATGCGGCGAGCCAACAGCTCCTCCTTGTACTCCTTGACAATGAGCTGAATCCGGGCAAGCATCTCGGTGTCATCGAGACTTTCAGAATCACGAATTGCGACATTGCAGACCGCAGAAAGCTCATCGTCGCTGTCCAATCTTGGCGGGGGTGCCTTGCGCTTGCCACCAAGATCCGGCATCAGCCCGTTGTTTGGGTAGCTCTTCTTCCGGTCGCCGGCAACAGGGAAAACCTCAAGTGCTCGCATCAAGTACTCTTCAGCCTCATCGAGGTACTGAACCGGAACGATGACACCCTTTCTCGTTGGCTCTTTTTCGGGGTTGTTGACTAAGTAGGACATGTCACTGATCGAGCTGACACGTTTGAATGGGTTGCTACCCTCATATGAAGGGGTCGCGGGCGTGGATGGGGCGGACGATTGGACGGGCATGCCATATTCCGAGATGCCAACCTTACGCAGAACAAAGTCCCAAGAGACGATGAAAGGAGATTCGGCTGTCTCGTTGTGATATTCGATTTTCTTCAGCGAGTAAGCACGGTATGCTCGTCGGATGTAAACTTCCAGAGCGGCTAGGGACACCCAGGGGTCCTGGTGGCCGAAAAATATGGGCAGTACATCGAAGACAGTGTATTTGGAATCCACGACCTCCTTAAGAACCTCAAGGTCGGGTTCCCGGTGCTCCCACCCAGTCTCGCCATATCTTGACTCCACTACTGAAGAACGCAGAATGTGCTCCATTTGAGCGGCACGTTCCTCCAACGAAGGCAGAGCGCACTGGATGAGGACTTCCCTTGCCTTCAATGAGACCTTGGCAGTCTGCCGTGACTCCAATTCGGTGAGCTTTCGGAGAGCAGGACGGAAGTATTTAGCAACATTGCCAGCGTTTGGTTTGCTTGGCTTGTACTCCTCGAGAATAGCAAGGATGAGGTTGTTCTTGGCACCGATTCTGCTGTGAGAGAGCACGGCTTGAATGACCTTGAAAATATCGTCCTTGTTCTCATCCCTGAGCTTCAGAATGACTTCTTCGTCACGAGCCGTCCGACCAGAGAACAGTCGTTCGACGGAGGCATATTGCTCTAGTAGGCCCGAGAAAACAGCAAACTCGTGGACCTTCTGGCCCTCCGCATATCTCTCCAAGACATCCGTCAAGGGGGCGAGAGTACCTTTGAGGAGAGCAACATCGCCCGGAGCGACATTCTCGTCCAAAAACTTCTGAAGGGCCTTTGAGAGGTTCTTAGCCGGGAACTCACCCTTGCGTGACTTCGCGCGGTCCACGATTTGGGTGAAAAGGGCATCAAGGCGTTGAGGCATTCTGGAGTGCAGAGCTGAGAACTGGGCATTCCATTCACCATATGGCAATTCAGGGTCACGCAGAACATCGATCAGCTCCTTGAGAGTCGAAGCCATAATGACTTGGTTGTCAAACCCATCCAGGATATTCTTGAGAATGTTGTGGAGCAGAAGGAATCGCTGGGCGGGCTTGGTACCAACAACTTGTGGTGGTCCAAGGTCCGGAAGGTGGCCGAGGAAAGGCTGAGCGTGCTTGACTCTAGAAGGGTCGTCAAGAGCCAGTATACCAAGAATGTCACCAGCCTCGAGAGTTGCTCCTGGCTGCTTAATGAGTTGCACAATACCATCCTCCTGGGCAAGCAGAGGCATGTACATCTTCATAACTTCAACCTCAGCGAAGGGTTCACCAGCCTTGACGTGCTCTCCGTTGTCGACAGTGAATTTCACCAGCTTTCCTGGAGAAGGTGTTCGAAGCTGGGTGGGGTCGTTTTCTTGTTCAAGAAGGCAAGTCTTGCTGTCGACGCTCAATCGAGTCGCGCCCACTTCTTCCTTCCAGTAAACGTTGTGACTTCGCCCGTTGAGAAGGACAAGCAGACCACCGTCGCTGAGGGCTCGAACACCAACTGAGCATTTCGAGCCGTTGATGAACAAGTGATAACTATCCAAGCTTGAGCGTGTGGCCGTGAACTTGTATCGGTGACCATCGTAGATGAAGTCGATTGGGAAGACAGTCTTTAAGATGTCCTTTGCAGGTACCTGACCCTTCTCCAAGCTTGTCCGGTACTCGGAAATACAGGCTTCACTGGCAATATGGGCCTTGCAAACAGCACCGCAAACAACGGCGATCATAGGGTCCGGCCGCTCCACAGTCAATTTGTTGGAGATGAGCTCGTCAAGCCATCCGGTGGTAATGGTGTTGTCCTCGAACGCGGGAGTTTCCAAAAGCTTAATAAGGTACTCAACGGTGGTCCGGAAATCACCACGAATACTCAGCTCTTTCAGAGCGACAACCATATGCTTTCTGGATGCTGACCGGTTCTCTCCGTAGGCGAAGATGTGACCAAATTGACTGTCTGAAAAACTGTGGATACTGGAGGCATTGCTCACGGAAAAGTAACCCCAGACATTAGAACTACTCCTGAAGTTCAATTCGTGCATCATACCACTGGATGGCTTGAACCCCTCTCCTGGATCTTCGGATGTGATACGGCAGGCCGTTGTGTGGCCCTTGGGGGTGGGACGGCGTTGCGTTTGTGAGCTGCTCTCCTTCGAGAAATCAAAATCGATCTCGCTGGAAGTTTGTGGGTCGACCCCATATAGCAATCTGATGTCGCGAATTCGGTGCAGCGGGAGACCCATAGCAATCTGAAGCTGCGCGGCGGGCAAGTTGACTCCACTGACCATCTCAGTAGTTGGGTGCTCTACTTGTAATCTGGGGTTCAATTCCAAGAAGTAGAACTTGTCGTCCGCATGCGAGTAGAGGTATTCGACGGTACCAGCAGAGACATAACCCACCAGGCGACCCAGACGAACCGCTGCCTTCTCCATAGCTTGGAAGGTTGACGGCTTCGCAATCGTGACGGGGGCTTCCTCGATAATCTTCTGATGTCTTCGTTGGACGGAACAATCTCTGCCAAAGAGCGAAATGTTGTTTCCGTACTCGTCAGCCAATAGTTGAACCTCCAAATGTCGGGCATTGCCTGCGAGCTTCATGATGAAGATTGGCGATCCGGGAATTTCGCTGGCCGCGGCCTTGTAAAGGGCCTCAAAACCTTCCTCCTTTTCGGCCTTACGAATACCCTTCCCACCACCACCTTCTGACGCCTTGATCATGACTGGGAAGCCAATCTCCTTCGCTTTCGCGAGACCCTCCTGCCAGGATTGGACGCAACCCTTCATATAAACGTCATCGCTGACTGTGACAATGCCTTCCTCGTTCACCTCGACCTGATCAACACCACTCCCAGACCACGGTATGCAGGGAACTTGCGCATGTTGTGCAACGATTGTGGAAGAGATTTTGTCACCGAGGGATCGCATCGCAGAACCTGGAGGACCGATGAAAACGATCTTTTTCGGCGACGCAGCCAAGGATTCCGGCAGCTTTGGGTTTTCTGAAGCATGACCCCTAACCAATGTCAGTCGTTCCTCGTCGCTGAAAACACTGAGAACCCTACCATCCAGCCCAAACAGCATGTACGTTCATGCGTTCAGCAATATCCACAATCAATTCCACATTGGCGTAGTTGTTGTTGTTCGTCCCTCCAGGAACCTCAACGTATTGATCTGCCATTCGGATGTAATCCGCATTGGCCTGCAAATCCTCGGGCGTGGCCATGACGGTGAATTGAATTGCCCGTTCATTGCCGAAGGTCTCGTAGGCCCATTTCCGCACTGATCGAATCTCCTTCACTGCCGCAATACCATTGTTGGCAATCAAGACCTGTCGAGGCGGTTAATACAAATTGGAAGCCTCCTCTCCCCATGCTTACATTCGTGATGACGGTATGACCATCGTGGGCAGCTACAAAGTCCTTCACCGGGCCTGCAACTGCGTTTTCCAGCCTGTTACCTCCGATGAAGTGGTCTGCCAGCTTGTGCTTCGCAGCATATGATACGTGGCCGTTTGCAACGGGAACGGTGCCGTTGGTGTGCGCCTTGCCGGCATGACCATTGACTTCAGCCATTGTAAAGAATCACTGCTCCTTGTTGACGAGCGAGAGAAATGTTGGCCCCGGGGGTAGAAGTAGGCGGTTTTCCAGCAGAGCGCGAGCCCAGTGAACGGGGTGTTGGGGGGGAACGAAGTCGTGCCCAAGTTCTCAACCTCCGGTAAGTCGAGTCCGGGCAGGAGACAGCTCGGACGGGGACTGAATTAGAACGAATGGATTAATTACAAGCAGAGAAGAGAAGAGGGGAGGGAGATAGCTCGGGTCTCGTGAAGATTCCCAAAGGACGGGGGCGTCGCAGGAGGAGAGGATTATGATGGAGAAGTATTATGGCAAGGAGGAATCATGTATCAGGTATGCGAGGATGCTGGAAATGAAGTTCACCAAAATACTCTAATACTGCTGCTACTGACGACCCAGCTGTTGGGCTGACCTTTCCGTTTCGGGCATGGCGGCCGCAATTCTTTCCACTGGAATCGCAGGGCCCGAGTTTCTTGGGAGACGTCGTCGCGACGACCGCGTCTTGGACCAACTTGACACTGACAGCTCCCTGGACGGGGCATTCTTTTGACTGACTTCACTTACTTACTTTGCCTAGGTTTACTCAACGCCATGCTCGGCCTCCAGCTGCGAAGAGACGAAGAAACGAACGCCTCTCGTCTCACTGCATCTGGTGCCGCGCTGGAGCACCGTGTCGCAGTGTCGCCCGGACGAAGGCAAAAGACCTTGCTACGGGGGCACCGTGTACCGTCCGTCCATAATCCATTACCGCGGGATATCACGATTACCTCAGCACTCCCCTTACTGTGCAGTGGATGGATTTGCCCTGGGGCTCTGATCTGTTGAGGACGGCTCTTCTCCGTCTGCGAGTGAGAGCGCCTGGCTCCCACAGCGCGGCGGGGGCGGCGGGGCCCACTGAGCAGGGCGGAAAAGCTGTGGGAGCCAGTCGTCCGCCAGTCGTTGATGCTGCACCGCCGATCATTCCTCACCCATCGGAGCTCGGAGTTTGCTGACCCTGTTTGCTGTGTTTGCACCTTGATTACTTGCTCCAATGACGCAGGACTCAATACTTATCTGCTTATCCACAGTAAGCTTACCGTACATATTGGGGTGATGGCTTATACTGACAACGTCTACAATATATCAATCAATGATATGTACACCATACCATCCAATCCCACCGGCGCATAATCCCATATTCACATCGGCACCGCTGTCAACCCTCCGATCAGTCCCTGCCGGCCCTCAAGTCTCACTCCGGCCCGTCGGCAGTGCGGTTACCATACATTAGTTCCTCGACGTCGTCCCCTTTTCCCCAACATCGTCCGCCTCGGATCCATGGTGGGGTTGTCCGCGACAAATCGAGGAGTACTTATTCCTGTACGTACCTTACGGACCATAGGGGTGATCAGACCTGCCACGGGAGATGCATTATGTATTCTTAAAAGGAAACACTCCTGTCTCCATCAGCTTCTCAGCCACTACGACCCTTTTCGTATTTGCATAGTAACTCTTTTCTGGAAGCTTTCATGCGATCCGTACCTACAGTAGGTATACAGCACATGTCGCAGACAAGCAGAAGCCACAGGAGCTTCCAGGCACGTAAACCCTGAAGCCCAGGCCTCAACGCATCCTTTACGTCCCCCTGGATTAAAGACGGAGACATTGCCTACTTGGGGAGACCTATTATCACTCACTCAACATGCATGCACATCAGGTCGTTGGGTAAGAAGGGGCTTCGACGTACGTGAACGGCTGTCGCAAGTTCAATCACAGACCGAGCATCGATGTCACTGGGCGTTTCACTTCATTTCATTTCACTTCATTTCACTTCATTTCCATGTTTAGATGCGCAGCAAAAAGAATTCTCATGTTCCTGACTTCCAGCATCACCGTGAACCCGCCAAATGCAAGCGACTACCTCAGCGATGCCCATCAAGAACTCCCTCACACCATGCTCCCAAAGCTAATGCTCCTCGTCCATCATATCATAACAGTCGTTCATATGTAGCAAGCTCGTACCATTAATCAGTATGTTTCTCCCACCCCGCTCAACTTCCTCGGCCGCCCTGGGGGGTGCATGGCCTCCGCTCTCCTATCCGCCTCCCTCAAGGCCATTCCGCTAGCCGCCCGCCGTGGCAGGTTCGTCGTCATCGACACACTTCCGCTTTTCCTTCTCGGCAGCCCGGTTGGGGCAGGGATGGCACTCCCTTCCGCATCCTGCTTGCTGAGTGTATTCCTCCGACTCGGCGTGGGTGGCTCCAAGTCCCCTTCCTCTAAGGGGATATTGGAGACGCTCTGTGAATGGCCATGGCCATGCGAGGCGGCGTAGCTCCCGCCAATGCTTGATCTCGGCCGCCGGGATTCCGCAGTTTGAGATTGCGAGTAGTGTCCCAAAGGCGTTCGCGTGCCTGACAATGAAGTACGACTAACCGGGCGAGCAATCTCTGTTCGACTAAGAGGCCGGTCAGGGCGCACATAGCTCGACGTGCTTGCACGGCTACTGGGTCTGCTACTCTCGCTATTCTCGCGATTCGGCAGCGGCCCGAAGGATAGTCGGCTGATTCCCGATGTAGATAATCTTGTAGCATGGTTTGAGGACGGCGTTTCATCTCCGCCCGCTGACGATGTTGCACTTACTGTGCTTCCAGTCGTTCGTTTTCTGCTTCTGATGGTGACGCTTGGGGGCATGAAGTTATGACCCAAGGCCGACTCATTTCGAGGGGATGCCCGCGGAGGTGTGCTAACGGGTGCTGGCAGTTTCGATCTCGCAGATTGCACACGTTGCTCAAGTCGTTGCATTTGCGCTGTGAGACTTCGGATATGTGTGAGAGAGTTGGAGTTTGCCGGTCTCCGTGTCGCAGGTGCTTTTATTCTCGTACCCCGAATGACAGATGGAGTAGCGTTCCTCATACGGGAACTCGATAGCGATGATGGACCTCCGGGGCCTCTAGAACTTCGAAAGTTCGCGGATTGGTAAGCTGATGCTGGTTTGGGCGTAGTGCTGGAGTTGCCTGAAGGAAGCTTCAACTTGCTCTTTGGTGGATTCATTGGGGTCTTTGCAATTGGTCTCGTGGTTGCAGAAGCATCTGACATGGGAGGGGAAGGTGGGGTGGGAGTTTCGGAGACTGTGTCTGTCGTGGATACCGATTTGGTGTCCGGGGGAGTTGTGATCATCGGTGAAGAGGCTGTAGAAGTCGGGGAGCCCACCAGAGATGGTGAGTTTGGCGTACTGTGAATCGTAGAGATAGACGCGAGTTGACGTTTTCGTAACTTGTCTTGCATGATCTCTGCCTCGATCTTCAAATCCGAAAGCTCATCCCGCAGCCGTTGCGTCTCTATACGCAGGTTTTCTCTTTCTTGTTCCCCGATTTTGATCTCCTCCTCCATCATAACAGCTCGCTCGATAGCAACATTGAACTTCGATTCCAGATCTTCCAGCGATGAAGATGTATTCCGCGCCTGTCTCTCGAAGTCATCGTTCGCGACCTCGATATCACGCAACTTGAGCTGCAATGTTCGATTAGCATCTCGAAGTGTGGTGATCTCCTTCTGTAAAATATTCTGCGCGGCGTTTGCCTCGGTTTTGGATTGCTTGTATTTACTCTGCAAATGAAATTGTCAGCCGCCGCCATCGTGACTCAACACCCATGATGTATGTATAAAGCTCGGAAGTGGATTCGACATACCTTCCACTCGTCGACTTCAAATCCCAAGCTTTCCACCTTCTCTTGCAATACTCGTTCTCTCTTCTCAGCCGCTTCCACATCCTTCTCCAATTCGGCTTCCAACTCCTGACTGGATGCCTGAAACTCAGCTAACTCATGCTCCAACTGTTCGTACTGCGCTTTATAGTATGCTATCGCACTTTCGGGAGATGACAGATCCGTCGGCGGAGATGATGGTGGCTCATCCATGGACGGCAACTTTGTTGTTTACCCCTATTCGACAGTGGAGATGCGCGGGGGAGTCCCTAGTTATGCAAAGGATCTTATCTCAGATATGCTGCATCGGCCCCTGAATCTCTGGAGCAGGTTCTGATCACAAAGCCCTCGATCTCGCGTTGATGTGGCGGCGAGATGGAGCAAATAACATGTGCGCGCGTCCTTGGGTTGGTTGTCGTGTTCGTGATGGCTTCCTTCGGTTGGTGATGGCGGTGTCGGTGTCAGTGTCGGTGTAGGTGTCGATATGGTTCGTGGTGCTGTCTGTGATCCGGAGTAAATCTGCGCGTTAGCTGTACTTCGTGTCGATGTCGGTCGTGGGGTATCCTGTCGTATGCGATGTCGTCGTTGGTCGTCGTCCTCGGCGTCGTGTTGCCGGTGTTGTGATGTTGTTGTTGCTGCACTCCGGTCTGGCTGGTGATGCGGGTGCAACTTTACTCCCGTTCTGCGTAATCCCTGTCCTAGCCGCTGATCTGGCAACCAAGAGACCGCCCCTCCTCTGCTACGCGACAATCTATCTACACTGTGATTCTTCTGGACCCTGAGTTTCCAACTCTCTTCGGGCATTCGAGGACTCTACACTGCTTCAACCCATCCAACCTCCTCATGCGGAGCTCGACATCTACCCTCCGTCAAAGCAAACTCCAGGTCTCTGCGGGGTCGCGCACGCAGTGGCAGAGCGTTGAGAGCTGCATGCAGGTACTGTAGAAGCCTGTTAAGTCGAGTGACTGTTCCTAGGCAGATGCGGTCAAACATCATTCGGAACTGCCTTTGGTGTGTCGGGTTGACAAGATATACATTGTCAATTGTGAAGCCATCTACGATCAAGTCGCCTGTTTGTCTCTTGGTAGCCCCATAGCGATAGCGACGATGGGCAAGTGGAACAGAACGGTAGCAAAGTCCTTGCGATCTTCTTCTTCTTCTTCTTCCGTGCTGGAGTCGATGGTTGTGGTAATTGCCAATCGCCATGCATATGTAGGTCCGATGCTCTTAGGGGCCAAGCTACGGACCTTTAAATACTGCCAACATACCACAGGATATTCCAGCGCTCGATCCTCTCCACGAGATTAGTCGCAAAGGCCCCAGCGCGCCTCAAGAGTAGCCAAATCACGCATAGTCTCTGTGGGACAGAACCGCCAAACGTTCCAACCACTAGAAGTCTCCACTGAAGAGACAGCGAGGCTGACAGTACGGATCACTTAAGGAAATATGACATATCACATGAGAGGGCTTGGTCATTGATGTTACACTGAAGACGCAAGGGACTTCGAGTATTGGGAGCAGAACACCATCGAGAAAGAATACACTTCACTAGGTAGTGCAGTGCACTCCTGGTCGATTGACAGGGCGACAAAAAAAAGCGACATGCCCAGAAATATTGGTGGAATGGGCGTGCATTCTCTTGATCAGCAAGCAATATCAATTGTGATGTAATATTACTTTTGCAAGGTTGGTGCACGCTTTGTTCCTATGAAAATAGCCCATGACATTCCGCAACGCCGCATCATACAGATACACGGATTCCAACTCTATGTCAGAGGGGCGTATCCGAGTATACCCAACAGATATCGACATCCCAGTCTGGCACTTTTACCCGCAACTGATGATGAGGTGCCACCTCGTGTTGTGGGTGGCTGCACTTCTCGCCGTGTACTGATCAAGGATGGACGAGCTTTCAGGTCCTTCAGGATGCTCTATGGAGGTACGACGAATCTTGGTGCCCATTCTTTGCAGGATCTCCTTCATATATGACCTGCAAGGGACTCACAATCGACTCGTTTCCTGTGCTGGATTGTGTTACTTTTGTCACGCGCTTTGATACATCCATAGGCTTTCTGAAGCTAGTATTGGAAATCGATGCAGTGGCCCGTCCCTGAGCTGCACGTATGTCTTTGTCTAAAGCGGCGATTATCACTATCAGCAACTTCATTTTTCGCATTTGATAAGTGAAAAATGGAGGGCCCGATGGTTTATACTCCTTCTAGTGGCCCGAGTGTAGCGACTAGTCCAAAGCATGCTCTCCTTCCTAAGATCAGCACTGACTCGGTGCCGGGAATAACTTCGCAGACAACAAGGATTCCTCGAAGCCGTCTCAGTAATTTCTTCTGATTCTTGCGATCCGAGCGACCCAAGAAACGCGAGCTGCCAACTATCATCAAGCAAAGCACAAAGGGTCCAGATACAAGCTTTTAAACCCACTCTCTATCGTTCTAATCTCGACATGCAACCCCGCATCGAAGCGTCGCCTTATCTATGGCCACACGATAGTACTTTTGATCAGAAGACAACTGCTCTAGTCATCATTGATATGCAGAAAGACTGTGGGTGCCAGCATATCTTCATGACCCCACGTGTTGTACTTTTCCTTGACCTACTTCCCATGCCTGAACCCCCACTTTCTAAACATTGGCCTCATAGCGATATCAGCCTTTATCGACGGGTGGTGGTAGCTCCAAGAGCTAGATTAATTTAAGAGTGCATGGTGGATTCTGCTGATGAAAATCTCCTAGTCTGTTCAGCAGATGGTTATCTCGCACACCAAGGCTACAGCATCGAGCCAGTACGAAAAATCATTCCCCGTATCCAGAAGCTCCTCAGGGCTTTTCGTGAGAAGGGCTTCACAGTCTACCACACGCGTGAAGGTCATCGTCCCGATCTCTCCACCCTCTCCTCCCGTGAGTACAGTAGGAGCAGGAACAACCCAACGGGCAAAGGAATTGGGGACCAAGGACCTCTCGGCCGACTCCTGATCCGCGGAGAGCCAGGCCACGACATCATTCCGGAACTCAAGCCACTGGAGAACGAGAATATTATTGACAAGCCTGGTCGTAGTGCATTCCAACATACCGAGTTCAGATTGATGCTCAATATCAAGGGTATCAGGAACTTGATCTTATGTGGCGCTACCACGGACGTCTGTGTTTCCAGTACCCTGCGCGATGCGAATGATAACAATTTCGACTGTCTGCTCGTGGAAGACGCTACGGCTGCCAGTGCGGAGGAATTGCACCATGCGGCAGTTGAAATGGTAAAGACGGAAGGTGGCATCTTCGGTGCTGTGTCCTCGACAGAGAAGATATTGGCTGCACTGGAAGGTGAGAGAGAGGATGATTAGAACGGGTACTCTGTCAAATCCGGTCCCGCGGGTAACTAGATCTCTCTCGAGACTGTACCTTATGGTACTAAGGAAACATAGTTCGAACTGAGATAACTCTCACGAGACCATGTCTGCTACTGGACTTGTTTGGGGCATATATTAGTAGTGCTAGCGGTGCGGCGTTCGGAGAGATGACTTGAATCGATGGCCCCTATTTATTTGCTTCCTCTACATTCTCTTGCAATGCCTCAGCAAATCTAGAAAATCCCATATCCCCCAATCTTTTCCGCTGTAGGCCAATTTTCCTCCAATTTCACTTCAGACCAAATACCTATCTTGAGTGCACACAAATAAATCCTCAAGCAAAATATCCATCACGTGATTATTCGCGTTTTCCCGAAGCAGCCCGCTCTCCTGGCTATGTCTAATTATTCAACCACCGATATGAGTCATACTCGGAAGGATCCTGTAACAAATGGTCTGTTAATGCAATAATGCCTCCCATGCGCTCGGTCGCTGTTCTGGGTTGACAACCAATGGCCTCTCGATGAAGTCAATACACCCCTTATCCCTAGGGCCCCCTTTTTCCAACTCCTTTCGAATGGTTCCGGTCCAACATGTACGAATCTATCTTCCATCCCCGTTTAAAGATGGATAAAAATCCGACCTTTCGAAATACTCAATAAGAGCAAAATCATCGACAATTTCTACTTCTTTTTCGGCTTTTTTTCGGGGTTGGGGGGGGGGGGGGCGGCTTCGTTGGGACGACCAAGCATCAACTTGACAATTCCCCAATGCACGGTCAGAGTACCTAGACATTCAACTATCTTTGTCCCGTAGCCCCAGATATTCTCCTTCTACCCGCGAGCCGACGTACAGACTCGAGTGTGGGGAAAGGCGGGGGAGGGGAGACTTTCCCATTCCGCCGAGACTCTTAGACATCCGTTTGTCCGCCCTGGGGGATGTTCCCGAACCTTGGGCGCGCTTACGCCCCGTGGGGTTGAGGAAGTTCGAGGGGGGTTTTCTAGATTTGTCTATATTGCACCTAGAATCCTAGATGCTCTACTTTGCCCCGGGGATGTAGGTAGGTAGATATCTGTAAATTGAGTTTGGAGTATAGGTCTAGCCTCGATCACTAAGTCAATGGGATCGGCGGGATAATGCTTAACTACAGTTCTAGATATGGATGAGGTATCATGCTATGATGTGAATAGGGTTCGTCCTATAGTTGGTTCTGAAAGCTGGGGTGCCACGATCATAGCTTGGAGAATAGTTGGAGGGCTTTGGTGATGTGGTAGGAGGTTGTGTGATAGTGACTTTTCAGACCTGTCCTGTTGATAATGTCATGACAGGCTCTTATCCCCGTACAAACGTTGACAATAGAACAAGAACAAATTCGGATTAACATGCTGAGAAGAAGCATGGATTGAGAATGGTATTTGAATACGTTGTGAGCCGCCTCATCGACGTCTGCTCGGAGAAGTCATGTGACCCCTCGATCAGTCCCCGACTCGTTTGGCTCCTATAAGAGATGTTTGATTTTAAAGAGCATTTCGTAGCTCAAAATAAGTTATGGGTTTGATGAGTAGAGATTAATCAAGCTTCAAGTTCTGGTTCTTGCTCTGTCTTTATATTATACCCCCCATCTTACAGCATCCGAACCCATTATCCGAACCGACGGTGGGATATGAAGCGTGAACCAAAAGGGAAGGAATATAAGAACCTTACCAGAAAAATTGAGAAAAAGCTTTTGAGATTATAGAATATATAATAATGAAAGAAAGAACCCTCTACTGTAGATGTGATTGATTATACCTTGAGGCTTGGACGTATAGAGGTTTGATACTTACTTACTCTCTGGCTTCCGCATAGGTACTTAAAGGACAGGCAGAATCCTTAACTCCGTTGGAAATAGGAAAAACTTCACGATCTCCTCGTTTCTCCAAGGATCCACTGCGCGTTAATCGATCGGAGAACCCCCCTGCTATATGTAAATATGGCGTGAGGAGTATGTCGTTCTATAAGCTAGGGCCTCCTCTCTTTGCCTATCGGGAGCGGACGGAGGTAGACATCCGACGGGTTACCTCAGACACTCAGAGTAAGGTACAGAAGGATGACTACTGTTGTTCTGTAGCGATGGAGTAGAAGATTCTTTTATGTGGTATAGTTGATGCCGGACGTCTTCTCTCACTTGTCAATGAAGAGGCTTTACGCTCTTGTCTTTGGACTTCCAGCTTTCAAGTCTTGCGGTTGCTGCGAATACCTTGTTGACTCTTCGGACTCGTCGGAATTGATGATGAGAGATCGGGTATGAGCGCTCCGAGGGGGGTACTTTTCTCTCGCTCTGAGGTGGGCGCTGGGGGGGGGGGCGACGCCTGATCGACGTGGGAGAAATGAGGAAGGTAAAGCCTTTCAGCCTTCAGGAGGATCGGATAAGGGGCTTCCAGAACCCGAAATCCCACGTTCCTCAGGGTCCAGAATGCCCCCAAAATGACCAAAATGCCACGGGTTCCAGGGCCCCCGACTCCCTCGCGGAATCGCGGGTAAGCTAAAGGAGGCGCCTGTCCCTGTATGGCGCATTCGGCACGTACCATCGGGAGTCGGGAGTCGGGACAACGTGAGGCGAGCATCGCGACAAAAAGTTTTGAGAGTTGGAGCTTTGTGACGATCCAGGACAACCACGGCGCCGCAAAACCTCAATGTACGCACATGAGATGCATCAACGGTAGGTCAGGTACATATATGCATATATGTATATCCATCTTGGGACGATTTCTTTCTCAACCACCCTTCTCAACCACCTTTTGCGCGCGCGCATTGAGAGGTGCGCGCATGCGTGGTGCCCAACGCTCGGCGGACATCCGAATAGAGTCGCGCGGGCAGGATGACAGCTCTTGGCTACGAGCGCCCCTGGGGCCTGGTGGGTGGCCCGCCCCTCTGGATCTCTGTTTGAGATTGTTACTGTTTGATAGGACAATGGAAGATCCGGGCGGGCTTCGGCCATTTACTATATACGGTGCTTAGGGAGGTAGGTCGTCTGTGGTGTAAGTACTCAGCTCCCGGTTCCGTGTTTACCCTACGGGAAGGATATATCCCTATCACTATTACCCTATTATTGAAACCTCAACAAAACCACACGAGACGTCTTACGCAGCTGCATATTCCCTCAGGATCCTCTTGCAAGGAAAAGAAAAGGCAGAAGGAAAAAAAATTTCAAAGAAACAACGCCGGTACTCGAGGTAGGTAGGACCCCCTCCGAAGTCCAATGACCCCTGTTTCCGCTCTCCTATCCCCCATATCATATCTTGGATGGCCGCCCCGGGTGCTTCACTCATCGTCCTTTTTCTTCTCTACACTTTTTCAATGCCTTCTTCTGATCATTCGCCTTCCAGTTCCGAATTGGCCACTCCCAGATCTGCGTCGCCTTCTTCAATAGCCAGCAGAGCTTCCACAACTCCTGCCAACAAACGCACGTCCTTGTCCAGCCGGCGCATCTCTGCCCCATTCAACCCAATGGCTGGTGTCGATATCGAAGCTATTGAGAACCAGATGAGGGCTGCTTCCCTCGATGGTCTCAGCGGGTACGCCCAAGACCATTATGGCACCGTCAAGCAGTACCACGAAACACAATATATCCCAGAAAACAGTGCTGCAGGTTATCAGGTTCTGCGAGAGCCGCTATGGAACAAAGGCACGTCGGGCCATAACCCACATGCCAAGCTCCTGCTAACATAACTAGGTACATCGTTCGGTCCCGAAGAACGTGTGGCCAAGAACCTTACTGGCCTGATACCTCATGTCCTAGAGAACATAGAAACACAATGCGCGCGAGCCCTGCGCATGATTAATAGTAGAACAAGCAACATCGACAAATACCTGTACCTCTCTTCCCTAAAAGCTAGCAACATCGATCTCTTCTACCGCCTCTTGATCGACAATGTTGCTCAGCTGATGCCTCTGGTGTATACACCCACTATCGGAGATGTGTGTCTCCAGTATTCAACGTTATACACCAGGCCAGAAGCCTTGTATATATCGATCAAGCAGCGCAAGTCCATTACTACAATTCTCCGCAACTGGCCCTACCCAGAGCCTTCAATCTGTGTTGTAACGGATGGCTCTCGAATCCTAGGTCTCGGTGATCTTGGTGTTAACGGTGTTGGAATTCCAGTGCGTCTGCCCATTCCGGTTAAGTATATTGTGAGGGGCTGACGTTCTTCTCAGATAGGAAAGTTGGCGCTATACACCGCCGCAGCCGGGATCGCCCCTGAAAAGACGCTCCCTATTGTGCTTGACTGCGGTACAGCCAACGAGGACAACCTCCGCGATCCCTTGTATCTTGGTCTGCGTACACCGCGTGTCTCTTCAGAAGTCGCGTTGGAGTTCATGGATGAGTTCATGGCCGCCGCGAAGGAAGTATACCCCAACATGCTCGTGCAATTCGAAGATTTCGAAACAGAAAAGGCGTTCCTGTACCTGGAGAGATACAAGAAGGAGAAGTGCTTCAACGACGATATCCAAGGGACCGGAGCTGTTGTTCTGGCAGGGTGGGTCAGGTCACCTGATACAGCAGTGCATTGCTAACCATGTTTCAGATACATCGGCGCTGTGAACCTCTCGGGGGTCCCTATTGAAGACCAGAAGCTTGTCTTCATGGGTGCTGGATCAGCCGGTGTCGGTGTGGCCAAGCAAGTGATGGAATACTACACGCGCCGCGGTCTCTCAGAGCAGCAGGCTCGAGAAAAATTCTACCTCGTCGACACGAAAGGCCTCGTGACGACTGATCGCGGGGACCACCTTCCTGATCACAAGAAGATCTTCGCACGAAGTGATAACCACGGTCATCAATTCAGTACACTCGAATCTGTCATCGAATATGTCAAGCCTACTGCTCTGATCGGTTTGACCGCCACGTTTGGAGTCTTCACTGAGTCAGTAGTACGAGCCTTGAAGAGTTCAGTCGATGCGGGAGGCCTGGGACGGAGACCTATCCTGTTTCCTTTGAGCAATCCCTTGACAAAAGCCGAGTGTACCTTTGAGCAGGTGAGATGATGTCTCTGCTGCCTTACCTTAAGAAATTCCAACTAACCTCGTTAGGCAATGACATGGACTGAAGGCTCTGCAATTTTTGCATCTGGATCTCCCTTCTCGCCCATCACCATAAAGAACGGTGACCAATCGACCACCTACTACCCCAACCAAGGAAATAATGTGTAGGTCCCCTCCCCCCCGAAGTAAGTCTGCGCAAGACACTAAGATGACCCAGATACATCTTCCCAGGTCTCGGACTTGGGGCCATCTTGGCTAAAGTATCCCGTGTTACCGACAACATGGTATACACTTCTGCAGCTGCGCTCGCTGGCTGTCTCACCCCGGAGGAGATCCGAATGGGCCTCATCTACCCCAAGATCGAGAGAGTAAGGGATGCGAGCGTCGTCGTTGCTCGAGAGGTCATGAAGTCCGCGAGGAGGGAAGGTGTGAGCTTGTTGCCGGAAGAGACGTGGGTCGAGTGGGAGGAGTGGGGAGACGTGGCGTTGACTGCCTGGATCAAGAAACAGATCTACGACCCCAGGTAGACCGCCCCTTCTGCGTGCGGGTCAGGAGTTCGGCGTCGGGATTTCGAAACCGACATGCGATGATAATAAAAAGTATACTTAGCGTGGGTAATTGAATCGCCTTGGGGGGTGCAGACAGGTCTCGAAGCTGGTTCCTCTCCCTGATCACGATGGCCCGATGCTCTGTCTCAACACTGCTTCTGGCGAGTGCTGTTGTCCTTTTCTCAGTCCGTCCATCAACCTGTTTTAAATACTTTTCACTGGAAGACGAGACACTCCTTCCAAGGAACTTCTGGTTCCTCACCTAGTTAATAAGATGCCACGACATAATCGAATATTTATATTTTATCCTCAACTCGCATTTTCGAAGGGGGGTTTCTGTTTGGATCTGCACGTGACGAGGGGCAACACTAACGAGCTAATAATAGACGCGGGACCCGCCACTTGCAGCCAATCAAGTCGAGTGCGGCTAATTCCCATCCAGGCAACCATATTTGTACTGTTCCTGTAGGCATCCAGATGAAGTGAGGGGCCTTTGCTTCCTCGCCCAACGCAGAAATGCAGTCTGTTGTTGTTATGTTTCCAACAAATGTATATATAAAGCATCCATCCTGATCTATCTCCGCCCTCTTCTCTCATCATATCTGCCTTCTCGCACTGCGACCCCGTGACGCGCCCATGGACTCATTGTTCGGCCTGTCGCGGCCCTTCCAGCGGCGGCTGACGAAGATGTACACCGACACCAAGAGCTCATATGATTTCGTCAAGGAGCCCATCCAGGTGGCTGAGGACCCCGAGCTCATGTCTCTGCATCGAAAGCTTCGCATTCAAAAAGATCGGTTGGTGTCATGGGGCTTGGAATGGTCGGATCCCACGCAATCGTCCGACATCGACGAGTCCATCAGCAAGGCCGGTCTCAGCGAGCTCGTTGGCAGCGTCATGTCTACGATCAAAGAGATCCTGGCGGAGACTGAGCCATTGTGGCAGTCGTCAAAAAGACCGTTCAATGAGAAGGGCTCTGCGTCCGAGAAATCTGCGGATCGAAAGCCATCGTTGATCACTTGGGATCAATCGAGGTTCGAGGATTTGGTTCGGGACTTGACCATGTCGATTGATACCCTTTATGATCTCTCAAGAACGCGGCAACGTGCCCAGAGAATATCTTCTCTCAAACCTTCGGAGTCGCCAAGCCCCATCCGTGGAAAATCCCCTGCCATCGAGGAGAGGCAGTTTGAGTCCACTCGGATGCAAACGCCGCAGCAAATTGATCCCGCGTCCCTGATATGGCCACGGGACCTCAAAGTAATACAGCCCGGTATGTTACAACCAGCGAAATCCCCTCGGCAAATTGTTTTCATGCGACGACCGACATCCCTCACCGAGGCCCAGAGGACCGGGTGGCAGTCAACGCCTACTGTTCCTGTTCTCCTCGAGCACGCCCCGTATGATCCCATCTATTCTACCACTGGAATTACTCCGTCCATGACCCGGTTTGAGAAGTTGTTTGCCGGGCTTTCCCAGCCCTATATCTCATCGGATAGACCGCTTTCTGGACTGCTGCGCCTGATTGGGTATTTCGAGGAGCCCGAGTATTCAAGATTTTGTCTCCTGTATATCTTGCCTGAACGCTTTGGACCTGTGGATATCGAAAGCCCAAGAATGCCTGCGATCAATATTTTGTCGGAACTCCTGTATAGTAAAGCGTATGAGCCCAGTTTGGAAATCAAGTATCGATTAGCGTCCAATGTCGCCAACGCTGTCTTCGACTTACACGCCAAGGGGATTGTGCACGGGAATGTCAATTCTTCCAATATTTTATTCTTTGGACATCAATCACAGAATCGCCTTGATCTGAGCCAAGTCAACATGCGCGAATCGTTCTTATCGTCCTTCGACCTCTTTTCTGATAACGCCACAGATGGTTCTGATTCGTCTTCTTCGTTCTGCGCATTGTACAGACATCCACTCGACCCCCGAATCACTCGCTACACTCATCTCACAGCTGAGAGCAAGTCTCTAGACCTCTACAGTCTCGGGATGCTTCTTCTCGAAATCGGACTCTGGATCTCGCTTCCCGATATCTTCCCGGGCGTCTCAGCGATTCCAGATAAGCCAGTGGCCGTTTTCAAAAAACTCGCAGCCAGATGCGGAAATATCTTTGTCAAAGCGGTCAAAGCCTGTTGGCATGCACCAGATGATGAGCTGTCCCAGCGGGCAAGGCCAGATGTCATGCATCAGAAGGTATTTTGGAAAGTATCGAAAGCCCTCGATGCATGCTGTGCAATAGATGAATTTTCCGACGAAGAGAACGAGAGTGACGATTCGCCTCCAGTTCCATCGAGTCCATTCAGGGGCTCTGCGTTCTCTGCGTCGTTTAGAGTTTTAAGCCCAAACGAAGCCTCGACGCTCCCCTCCGTGAAGACTGGGGCTAATCCCTTCGACTGGTCTGAGAAGCCCACAAATACCAAAGCTACTAGCTCCCGTGAAAAGATAAGTTGGATAGAGAAGAAGCCTGCAGCTCTGCCATCAAGTAAGCAGTTCCCGTCCCAATCTTACCTGGCAAATTTTCATTTACCCACCATAGGCCCTGCACCACGATTGCAGAAATCAAAACCTAAACTTCGCACGTACCCTGCCATTAGAATCAGTCCTGAGCACTTGGATTTCTGGCACAACGCTTTGATGCCACACATAAACTACGTCCTTCGCGGCTTTTACAAGAAATACCCCGAATCCGTAGAGATTAGCCTCGAAAGCGTCGGCGAATCTCCAACGACTACCAAGCCTACCATTCTTGTAATCTGCACGAGCGTCCATAAAGTCCGAAGTATTTTAAAGAAATCATTAGTATACGACGAATCCGTTTTCGGATTGAAGGTATGTCGGGGAAAGGTTGTGCGTTCCCGGAAACAGGGCGGACGAAGATCGATGGCGGACTCGGGAGGAAATACGAGGGCCGCGAATGCAGATCATCAGGTGCGACCTTCGAATGGTGCTTCCATTGGAGCGTATGTTGGCGAGCGACATCTTCCACCTGTGTCTTTTGGTGGGTTGATTATGGTCGATGATAAGCCTTATGGGATGACCGTTCACCATATGCTCGAAGATCCGGACGAGGGGGGAGAAGAAGAAGAAAAACAAGAACAGCCAGGGGCCTTGACCCCAACGCTTCGGTCAAGTGCTCTTCGGTCAAGTGCTCATCTTCTTGATATGCCCGACTTGACACACTCCGAGTCCTCTGTTAACAGCAGCAGTGACGAAGAATTCATGTACAACCTCTCAGACTTTGATTCCGACTTCTCGGATGGGGAACAGAGCGAGTCCGAAGAATACGAGGAATATGACGAATGTGAAAGCGACGATGAGCTTGAGCCTGGAGATACCAAAGGAATACCGCAAGGATGTGGAGAAGAATATCAAATCACTCAACCAGCCCTAGATGATGTGGATGAGGATTTCTATCCAAGCGAAGAGACACGCGATGAAGACCATTTAGATAGTTATGGCTTGGGAGAAGTCTATGCTTCCTCCGGCATCCGAAGACGTGTGGAAGAGGGGACAGTTCATGAAATCGACTGGGCCCTTATTGAGTTCCATCCTGAGCGCTGCCCGCAGAGGAACCGCATTACGAGTGGGAAGCGATTCTGTCCTCATCAGGAGCAGTATCCTGTAGCTGTGGCACCAAGCTCCGACCTTTTTGATCTGGATGTCCATTGCATGGCGCGAACATCTGGGCTACAGAGCGGACGCATCCTACCTGGAATGGTTATCGTCAAGATCTATGGCCGCCAGACGCCATCGTCCAGCTATCAAGTTGCGGGAAAACTTGGCGTGCCGGGCGATTCAGGGGCGTGGGTAGTGGACAACGATCTAGGACGAGCTTGCGGGCATGTCCTGGCCTGGAGCTCGAGAAAGAAAGTCGCCTACATCTGCCCCATGGACGTTCTCCTCCGCGACATCGGCGAGACCTTGAACGCGAAAAGTGTTTCCTTACCCGGTGGCTCGGAGGTATACAGTGCCTCGGACTCCAAGATCGAAGCACCGGAGCAAGAGAGGATCACTGACATGTTTCGAGATCTGAAATTGGCACCTACCCCAAGAGCAACAGAGATCGATCGGGTCGTAATCCCCGAGGAAGATGAAAATGAAAACAGAAGAAAGGATCCCATGTATACCCCCATTACTCTGATGGAGGATTCGGAAGATCTGGTGGAAGTTAGCAAGGGACAGCCCATGGACTTTGTCAAATCGTCGATAGATCGTTGGCGTACGGGTGTGGATAATATCACGATGAATGCGGCGGATGTGGACAGTAGGGCTGAAGCTGGGGATGCAAGTGGCCATGTGGGCGTGTAGAGCAGGGCTGTAGTTTCTTTTGTGGGTTCAGTGACAGGCTTTGGTGGATAGAACCCTGGCGTTTGGGGGATCAAACACATTAGTAACGAATATACCAATAGGGATATCAAGATACCATGCTTATCACTTGCTTATCGAACTCGAGTCAAAAAGAAACTTTCATTTGGTGAATGGAGGACAGTATCTCTCCTGCATCTAGCTCCACTCGTAGCCCACTTGCACCATATCAATGCAAATCCCGAAACACTATTAACCCATTTGTCGCATCACATTCTAGATCGCAAGTCAGTACAGATAAATGATGGTGGTGATTTAGAGAAGGAAGAAGGGGGCATACCGCTCAACCGGAGTCAACCCCAACAATCTCATCCCATTATTCAACACCACACGAGCAGCATCGTACAACGCCATACGAGCCTTCATCAATTCCTTCTCACTGCCGACGATGCGCAAATGATCGTAACTCGAGCTCAGCGTGTGGGTCATCTTGAACAGGTACGTCAAGATGGTGGTGGGCTCGAGGGTCTTGAGGGTGTTCTGCACGACGTCGGGGTATTGCGAGATGACGCGGATGAGGTTGATGGCGTGGGATTCGGTGAGGAGGCTTAGGTTTGCGCTGGCGATCTCCTCGGGGGAGAGAGCGGCGCGGCGGGTGATGGAGCAGAGTCGCGCGTGGGCGTACTGGAGGTAGGGACCTGTGTCACCCTCGAAGGAAGTCATGGTCTCCATGTTGAACTCGTAGTTGTTGATACTGGCGCGGCGAACGTTAGTTCGAGGAGGAAAGAGAACACTGTAGGGCTTCACTTACCGCTTTCCACTCATGTCTTGGACCATGACACTGCTGATACCCAGGATATCTGCTGTGGCTAGAGGATTCTCGACCTGTTCGTACTTTGACGCATTCTTCTGCATGACCTCGTGCATCTTCTCCCCGACATCCCTCAAGATATCGTCCAGGAACTTCACCGTACCCTTCCGAGTGCTCATTCCTAACACCAGTCCGAAATTGATATGCTGAACTTTTTGGGCGAGTTCTTTGTAGCCCATCAACTCAATGATCTTGAAGAGCTGTCTGAGATGAAGATCCTGTGCTGATGCCACAACGTAAATCATGTGATCAAAATGGTACTTCTCATCCCGCTGCATCATTTCGGTAATATCCCGAGTTAGGTAGAGCGCTGTACCGTCCTTCTTCTTGATAACTGGGCGCTCCAGACTCTTTCCTGCCTTTCCGGGTACGTGCTTGCTGAAGTCAACAATAACAGCGCCCTCGGACTCTTCCGAAACCCCCATTTCGGCCATTCTCTTGGCGGCAAAATCCATTCCCTCCTGCTTGACTTGACTTTCTCCAGAGTATTCGTCAAATTTGATGTTCAAGCGAGCATACGTCTCCTTGTATCGCTTGATACTGAGATCCCTGAACCGGGCCCATTGTGCAATCGCCTTCTCGTCGTTATCAGTCATCGCTTTGAAATACCGACGAGCTTGCTCATCAAGCCCCTCATCTTTTAGCTTGGACGCGTCTTGCCCGGCCTCTTCCAACGCTTTGATCTGGTCTTTCTCCTCCGACAAATCCTTGTTGATCTTCACATAGATCTCGTAGAGGTGGTTGATAGGGTCTGTCTTCAGCGCTTCTTCGTCACCGTATTTTTCGAATCCCAACGCCAGCAATCCGTATTGTTTACCCCAGTCGCCCAAGTAATTCATCCGAATCACATCCCAGCCAGCACCTTCGTAGAGGTTCGATAAGAAACCACCAATAATTGTACTTCGAAGATGGCCGGCGTGGAAGGGCTTGGCAATGTTTGGGGAGGAGAATTCGACAATCATCCTCTTACGACCTTTGCTAGGATCCTCTACATCTTTGAGACCAAGGTATTGATTTTGTCCGAAAGCTTCTTTTCGAGTGAGAATCGATGGAATGAGGATTTCTGCGAGTTTGTCCACCTTGAAGAAGAACTGAAGGAATGTTCCAGCAACCGTTGGAGGATGGACGAGGGGTGATTCCGGAAACTAGAGGGAATGGGCAGTTAGTATAGTTCCGCATTATCGTAGCACCGAAGTATGAGTATGAGATACCTTTGACACCCATTCCGCAGCTAGCTCGTCAGGCTTCTTGCCTTTGACGCGGAGAGCTGGTACAGGCAGAACCAGGTCACCCTTTTCAAGGGTTTGTGTCCATTGTAGCGCTGGATATACGATCTTCGCATCAACGCCGGTAACCTCTGTCAGGATTGATGTGAGATGCGCTCGGTAGATATCGACCGGGTTGACGTCTGGGAAGCAATTGGAATACTTGGGCAAAGGCGCAGTGACACTTAAAGACTTGAGCTTCTCAGATAGTGTCTCGGACACGTACATCGAGGGCGGCATTGTGAGGGTATTGCTTGTCACTGATCGAATGGGGGTGGCACGCGTCAAACGCGAAACTGGTTTTGACACAGATATTCGTGAGAGGAGACGAGTTCGTGAATGGCTCAGGACGCAGGAGAGAGTAGAACTCATAAATATATGGCTGAGTAGTGAGTGACGGTAAGGAGAGAAATTTGGATCGAGGGGCGTCGTGACTCAAAACTGTGAGAATGCGGGCGGTTTTTTGTTGCTGGCAGACCCAATCTTCAATGCTCACCGCCTTCCCAAAGTAGCAGAGGTCAATAGGGCATGGTCGACTATTGTGGCCTTATATTTCGGGCTTTTGATTAGTCACCCTCTAGAACTCTCTCCCTCTATTTTCAACAAATTCAAGGTCAACCCCTCTATCTAGGTATATGATTGTCGGCCAGCATTCCCTTCAATTCCCCTCGATTCCACAGGTTTTTATGCCCTTGGCATAGAATGGTATTGTCATAGTCTTTTCAATCTGAAAGAGCACCTTTTTGCACTAAGAAGGTCTATCGTCCCAGCTCCTTGGAAGTCGTCGTTCAAATTCATTTTTTCATGCCCTTAAGTGCACACTTCTCCACCAGCCCTTTGTTATTCTGCATATGGGAGTCCATATGGGAAGGACCTCTCGGATCGCCGGGGTCTAGGATGGTGGTGATGGAATGTTCTGCCCATCATTCTTCAGGATTTGCAGGATCGCGCGTTCTCGTGTGCCTAAATATGTTAGCATGGACTGCATATCTGTCGAAATTCTGTGAGGCCCTTACTTGGCCTGGCATGACGTGGCGCGCTCCCCTCGACAACTATGGAGTGGCTGTCGACATTCTCTTCAACACATGCAATGCCTTCTGGAGACTCGGAAGTGTAGGCCATCCGCATCAATGATATCCTAATTCGATATCTGCCAGGTTGGTAAATCACCAAGTCTGGAAAATAGAAGTAGCCTTGGTCTCTGTTGGCCCCGCAACCCTGAGAACTCGACCCATTACCATTGCCATTATCCCAAAGACTTTGAGGCATGGGATGTGCCGAGTCCGCGGTCTGTCCTCCAAGCTGTTCGCTGGCGACCTCACCATTACGGTACACAAGAGTTGCGACAGCCCAGATCTGAGAAAGCTCGCCGTACCTGTAAGGATCGCTGTGCACTCGAGCAACCACTGGAGGAAAAAGAATTACGCCTGGTCGAGCTTGTGTTGGAGGCTGGACAGCTATATCAAACATTTCGATGTCTGATTTTGGAATCCGTATTGGCACGAGTGAATCTAAAGATCATCAGTCATCCTTTCACTGAACAAGTGGGAGGTTCTGACCAATGATCGCCGTCTCAATAAGACTGGAGATTATAATTCTTTGACCCAGGAGCTTGATCTCCTTGAAATCAGCATATTGCGAATGGGTATGTCATGCCGCCGTCATTCAATAGGTAGGATCTCTCAGAACATTACAATATTGCTGTCAACATGTACAAGACCTTCCGTTGTATCGGTAGTAACCAATACTATCTAGGACTTTCAGTTCGTACTGTGACGATGTTCGCCAGTATTCAACCTTACATGGCGGTCTTTATGTCTTGCAGATCCAATATGGATAGCATTTGGCATCTTGTTCGCCTCACTGGAGGCCTCAAGGCAGGAAGCAATTTAATCAAACTCATTGAAGGCATAGCTTACCAATTCTTAACCACCGGAGATGCTCAGCACTGCAGGCTATGCGGAGAGTTTAACTGATCAGAAATGCGTTATAATACAGTGTGCTTTGGTTGCTGTCGAAGACGAGATGCTGTATTTAAGTTGAAGATCAAAGAGGTCAGGCTGTTCTGATGATCCGAATGAATTCACCTCTTGCTGACCGCTATCTTATAGCTCGTTATTTTGACGTACTCCGAGAGCAGGAGGGTTGAGGTTGACCGGGAGTCCGGGGCTGAAATCGGTCAAATGTCTCGTTACCAAGGACATCATTATACCCAAATGGTAGACATAAAGTTCTATCATTTTTGTTCTTCTGTGATAGTTGATATCAGTGGTCACTTTGGTCAAGAAGAGACTGGTGTCACACTTATCGATAGCCGCCCTTTCGCAGGGCTGGCCACCAATGCCACCATCGCGCATGGTGTTATGGTTCGTGCTCTTAGTGGGAGTGGATCATTTTTCGTCTCCTGCCGATCCAAGGATTGCAGATAGTTGATTTGGTAGTTGAGACACTCCAGTCTCAGCCATACACAACTTGGTGTTAGCTCGATATTCTGTTCCAAGATGGACCCCTGTCTTGCTGAGCTTCCAAAATCTAGCGAGCGATACTAGTGTCAAGTGCCTTCAATAATCCAGAGAGAGAAAAAGATATTTTTTCATTTTTTTCATTTTTATTTTCAACGACATAGGAGAGACATGCCAGACCCAGCCTATGCCTGTCGCATCCCTATGGTACTGAACGGCAGGCCTAGACCCCTGTACGAATCACCGAGGCCTCATGTCGGCGGCTCAGTCAGTCGAGTCGTTGCCTTGGAGCAGAACGGCCATCACCACTCTCCCTCCCGTGAGCTTGGTAGAGCTTGGAGCATTATTTGTCACCGTTGGACAATTGCTTTGATTGGCACGGCCCCCCGATTCCGGCCATACCGACCCTTGGTCTCACGGGTATACCTCCGTACACCTAGGTAGGTATCTTATGACCCCAGGCTACCCCAGGGTCCTCAACGCATGGGCATGAAGTTCGTGACTCGTCGTAGGGCCATCGGATTACTGCATGCCCTGGTATTGCTCAGATGACGCTTCTCATTACTAGCTTCAGCCATCATTGGATGCTCTTATGGTTACGAAATATCATCATTTTCGTTCATTTCTACCCTTCAAGGGAACTGACTCTTGGCCGAGCTTAAGTCCTCCAGTCGATTAATGAAATTCAGTATTATACCAAGTAAGCTGTGGGATCTCCAGTGGAGATGACCTTGGACAGCCCACGGTGTATTCTGTAAGGCGTTACTGCATCCAGTGATACACCCAGTAGCTTGGGAGCGCGCTAGCTTGTCATTAGCGTCACCTGTCATGCTGTAGTCGGTACGGAGTACTTGAAGATAACGGGTACCTGAGGAGTGCTGCAGTGGCGGCTGAATTTCGAAAATATGAAGACGATGATAAAATAGGCCATCCCATCATTCCGGAGACAAAAATTGTAGTGTTCAAGGTGATTTCATACCTATTGCTTAACGACTTCATCCTTACCCAGTTATAATGTAGAAGTAATCAGGCAGCATTGTGTGAAGTACCATAACGCTGGTCGCATCACTCCCATCTATACTACACCCGGTTGTCGATATCATCCTGTTCCTTCTCCGCATCCTGTTGTCCTTAGGAAATGCAATCGGTATTACATTAATAATTATCTGCATCCAGCTGCTGCTGCCCAGCCGGATTGGTGAAGGGCTCCGGTTGGTGATTGTCCGTCTCCGGAGCTGCCACATCAGTGTTTCGACAATCGACGCACATAATTATCAGGAATCCTAGAAGTCTGGGGACTCCATGCCGCTATGATAGGGATTGCATGATATGCGGGCAGTTCCAGCTTACCAGATTCATTTATTTCTCGGAGACCGTTACTGGGATGGCTGTGATATCACCAACTGAGGGTTGCGCCCATTAAGTTCTCCCAGACCCAGCACTCACGATGATGGATTTTAGATTGTGATAAGGGCGATATGTTGGACCAACTCTGCCTATATTCTCTATTTGCGGTGTCCTACAGCATGTAGCGCAGATCATAGCCTGATGAGAAGAATCGGGGGATCCAACCCAACATGACAGCTTCCTGCTGACCGCATCCCCCTGTTTAGCTGAGCTCCTTTGGGCAACAAAACGTCAAAGCGGCTTCTAGAAGGAGAAGAGCAAGAGATTCGGAGTGCCGATCTTTCTTTCTAGAGCTGTGACAGCCGTTTCGAGCAAGAGACGGGATGAATTCGTCCGAAAGCATGGAACTCATGATTGGACAATACCCCAAAAGGGCCATGCTTAGGAATCAACGGTGCTCGTTGCCCTCCGCGCCACTTGTTTGGTACAGCGCTGATTGCACCTGCCCCTCAACGTACAGTAGTATCGGGGTTTCTGTGTAACAAACTCTAGAATTGAAAAGGGTATCCTCGACGCTCCTCCACTCCGATCCCATGGAACAAAGTTACGATTATTGTCCTTTTCTCCGAACGTTTCATGACCGCTCGGACCTTTCTGCTAATCCGCTGGATCCCTAGAGCATGGATAGCAGTTCCAAGCCTCAGGTACCTCGACTACCAATCAAAGGGGGCGCAACTTGGGAATAAAGCCTCAGGGTCCGAGCGACAAGAAGCACAGAGATCCAGAGTCCAGGGATTCTTGGGACCTGAGATCTGCTCATTGCTGTCTGAATAGCTCAGGTGAGACCTCCCATTGTCCGGAAGGCTTTACGTTGAACGCGCTGCCACCTTCCAAGACGCGCCTTTGAAATTGCATGAGAGAAGTTGACTATACTGCAGAATCAAATGTCCTACACCAGCAATTAGCTGACGAACACGTGTGAATTCTACCTGGTATATGCCTGTTCAGAACCCGGAACCCAGTTACCCAGCTGCGACTAGACCAGCTGATACGCAACACTGTAACACACGAGACAAAACTCGATATCTTTTGCTTTTATTCGAATTTTTGGCGATAGTGCCTTCGACGGCGAAAGTGTTCCAGCCGGCAAGGTAGAAGCGTGTTGATGTCGGTGCTCTCCCAGTGGTCTAGATTCTGGAGTGACATCAATTTAAACTTTCCGAAAACACAGGAATACCACTAAGATATCAGGTCTAACTGCAGAGCCACGCTATCATAGGCTATACGCGGCAGGCATCGCCGTTGACCAAGGAGCCGTGACACGTGTGGGCTCCAGAAACGTGCTTTTCAGCTGCCTTCTCTCTGCTCCGGCGTCATCGAAGAGCGCCAGTGTGGCGGGGAAGCGCAGCAGTTGCATTTCCGGGTCCCGGATTATTATTTCCAGCTCTAGAGTCTGATGATCGGCTTTTAGGTCCTGTACGCTGCACAGTACTGCAGTAGTGGCGCCCGCGGGTCATATCGCGCGGGTTATATCGCGGCTCACCGTCCAAGTCGCATATATTCCGTATCCCGTGACCCCAAAACCTTGGACCCTTTGAGAGTTTTGAACTGCGAATAGTCCCAAGGGAGACTTTCCTTGTTCACGAATGCAAGAAGAGACCTAGGTACCTAAGGTAGCTTCGCAGATGTCCAGTCACGTGATAATACATTCCCCCGGACTACCTAGGTAAGTAAGGTAACCCAGAATACACCGCCGTGGTATTCGCGTCTTCTCTTCAGGCGGTGAGGCTCCCGCGCAGGCACTTGTTCCGAAAGCTGCTCTGTAAACTTTCCAACACAGCCCATGGTCCTGTAAGGGGTCAAAAAGGAGGGAGCCATGTCGATCGCCGAGATAAGCGAGACATTGGAGAGTTCAAACAGTCCGGATCAGCGTGATCGCCGGCGCCGCCCATGGCCGGCCTCGGCCAGCTGATCGGCTTTCATCCCCCGGTTACACAGGACGGAATATTGAGAGATCGACATGGAAGAAGGCTCCGGTCTCAAAGCAGCGAATTCTGCAATGTTTCTGCTTCTGTTTCTGTGCCGTTTCTATAGAGTAGTAGTACTGTACTAAGGGTTCTGGGCCATCTTGGATTGGGTTAGTAGGGATCCAAGAGGGTGTTATCTGGGAATGAACCTTGTAGCTTCTAAACCCAAAGGATCCTTGTGTAACAGCAAATATATCGTTCAATTTGTACTTTACGGCTAGATCTCAAGACCTTGGCAACTCTCTTGACCAAATAAGTAGTTCCAAGTCCATTTCTATCTCAATCACGAGAGAGAGAAACATAGGTATCATTAGCCTCACTTATATATTGCCCCACCACTGCATCATCAGCCTTCCCCATAAGTAAGTGTCGTGGTCTGTTATTTGTCATCCAGAGTTCTCACTCTAGCTGTTTCTCTTCTATTATCCGCTGTTTTCCATTTCTTGAGGCCTTCAAGAATCAAGATCCCGTTTTGTATCAGCAAAGAGTCCAGAAAGGCTCCATCCATCTCGGGGATAGTTCAACTTCCACCTGGCTGAACTACCCCATTCCAAGATTTCTATTCTGGTTGACTGTCAAGTCTTTTTCCTATCTTCATCATGTTCGGAGATCTCCCTCTCCAACCAAGTCCTCGTCCTTGTGAATCTGGATTCTGAAAATAGTATCCATACAATATCTCACAAACTACGTCACTGTGGTTCCTAAAGGGGCATACCATTAAAAAATTTCATATCCCTGTATAGCATGAGGTATTGAGCTACAGTACAATTCACTTCCTTCAGGAATCAGGATATATGCAAGAATCAAGTTATGTATCACCTTAACAAGCCCCAGAGAATTTCTTTTATAACCTAAGAAAAATACTGTGAATTCAGTCTGATCCAAGAATACATTTTCAATTGTTAGAAGAACCTGTTTTCTCAGAGGGCTCTTTGATGATGTGCTGTAACTACGATATATAGCTGGAGATCCGCCAGAGCAATCACCTGGACATATCTATATACCAGTGGCATCACAAAAGCCCAAAACTGCAGGAACAAATGCGAAATTCTTAGTAAGGTCATATTTGATTTCCTCACCATAACTGCCAGCTTCCATGTTTCAACTGTTGTAGAACCTCCATTTTATTACATATATGAGGTGGTCTGTTTACTGAAGACGCTGCTTTTTGACTGCAAGCTTGTAGGCATCATGAGCCTTTCCATGACTTAATTAGACACCCAACTTCGAGGCAAGGACAAAGAACGCCATGATCGATTTCATCGTGAAGCATAAGTACATACATACATACGGAGGGGATATCGCTAACAAGAAAAGAACGGTAAAAGCTTCAAACCAACGACGCTAGCAGCACACAAAAGCAGAATGCCAACAATGCAAAATACACCGTTCTGTTCGTTGCCAAGTCGTGCATGTCGGCCCCAACCTCCAACCCCAAATCGATTCTTTTTTACACCCCGTCATATTAATTTCGAGTTTTCCTTTCAAGTGTGCTTCAGAGTTCGTGCCTCAAAGCTCATCCTTGACATGACTCGACGCCGAATTTACCGCGCTACTAACACTGCTAGCAAACTCCTCAACGCCTTCACTTGCCCTTCTCACCGCCTCGCTCGCACCCTCTCCGGCCGCAGTTGCGAATTCCGCTAATTTGACCCTTGCACTCTCAACAGCCTCACCCAGTCTTTTCTGAGCACTTTGAACCGCGCCTTGCTCCGGCCCATGGATTGCTGAACTGACTGCGATACTGGCACTCGCGTACGAGTCCCCCACGTAGGAAGTGACAGACGCGTAGGCCTCACCTACAGCGCTGGTTGCAGATTCGTATGTTCCGGTTGATGTCCCGTAGATCGCTTCTGAAATCGCTCGCTGGGCGGAAGAGGCAGCTTCCGCAATGGAGCTTTGCGCTGCTTCCGCGTAACCTGTCTGAGTTCCGTACACCTTTTCTGAGACTACACTTTGGATGGAGGAATAAGCCGAGGCTGCAGATGAGGACGCTTGTTCATAGGCGCCTTTGGGGGTGCCATAGAATTGGATCGATGCAGCTTCGACAGCATCATTAACACGGGATGAGGCTGCGTCCAAAATCGCCTCGATGGCAGGTGGAGGAGTGAAGACAGAGCCTACAACTGAGGTAGCGGATGCATATACTTCACTAGCATATGAGGAAGCAGAGGAGGCGGCGTCGGTAGCTCCAGTGTAATAGGCTGAGCTCAAGCGGGAGTAGACGCTTTCGGTGAAGTCGGGCTCTTTTCCCGAGACGAGCTCGCTGATGAGCGATTGAACTGCGGAATACTGAGAGGCAACACCATCGGTGACGGCTGAATATTGTGATGCAACACTGTCAGCTGCAGACATCGCATACTCTCCGGCTTCAGAGAGGAGACTTCGCGTAACAAAGTCGGGGGACGGTTGGCCGTACACTTGTAAGCTTGCTTTGGTGATGAGAGCTTCCCAATTTGAGCTGGCTGCTGAGGCAACAGATTCCATCACGGGTGTTTCGGTTCCATATGTCGCTGAAGATACCTCGGATGCGCCCGACTGGGCTTTTTTGGAAAAGGCAGAGGAAATGCTCTCGTTTGCTCTGCTGGAGATACTCTCGTGGAGAGGTGTTTGGGTTGGCATGATTGCTGAAGAAGCTGCATCAATGAACTCGGAATATCGAGCATGAGCCATCCCAACTCCAGCATAATACTGATTTTGCATCTGTGAGAGTAAATTTTGCTTCTCTGGTGAGCCAGTTGAAATTGCATTTACGTAACTCTTGCCGTTCTCAAAGTGAGCGGAAGCAGCACTGAGCCCCTGTGACAGCTTCGAAGAGGCCACTGAAGAAATAGACTCAATTGCCCCTTGAGGAGGTCCGTAGTACGCCGATGAAGCAGTGGTAAATGCGGCTTGCGCATCCGAATCTGCGGCTGCTGTTGCGACAGAGAAGGCAGAGTCAGCAGAGCTATGAACGGCGTTTGTGAGAGGTGTGGGAGTGCCGTGGATGATTACACTGGCACTAAAGTAATAGTCAGCGTCTAAATTCCTATTATAGACGGGAGAACTCACGCAGAAACGGCATCAGCATAGCGACTTGTAACGACGCTTGAGATGCTCTCCCCTGTTCCCTTTTCGGTGCCATAGAGTGCAACGCTGGCAGCAGAAAGAGCGCTGGAGTATTGATCCGCAGCAAGAACTGTCAGAGTTTCCACGGTACCACCGGTGCTGGTGGGTTTGAGTAAAGCCTCGCTGACGGCCTTGGTGATATCGCCGAATTTGTCGCCGGCCTCGCTAACCATACTTTGAATATTTTCACTGAAAGAGTCTTCGTCACGGTCTTCGATGACATCTTCGAAGACAATCTGCTTGGCTTCAACCGATTGGGCCATGGCGCCGCCCCAAACCTTATTTGAAGCTGTGCTCGATGCAGACGAAACTGCTGAGCCGAGAGAGCTAGAGGCATCTGAAGCACTCTTAGATACTGAGCTTGCTACAGTAGACGAGGCAGGATCGTATGAACTCGACGCGTCTAAAGTGCTCTCCGAGGCTTTGCTGCTGACAGAAGAAATCGAAGAACCGGCGTCGCTTGATGCACTTGATGCCGAGTCGGATACCACTGAAACAGCAGGTCTGATGCTACTTGATGCTTCTTGTAGAACTTCAGGCCCAGTTCCAACAACCGATGAGGACATCTCGGCCGACAGGTTGCTTGCATTCTCAATGCCAATTGAGGAAACATCCCCCACGCTTTCTTGTGATCCCCCGATGATCGAGTCAGATGCTTCATCGGCAACGGTGCTAGCGGTCTCTTTCGCGACAGAGGTAATACTTTCGGCATCTCCTTGTTGGGTACCACGAACGTTGGACGAGAGTGATGATGCGACACTGCTGGCGCTCTTACTAAGATCCTGGGCTGCACTCGGAGCATTCGAAACTTGTGCAGCCGCGATTGAAGAGGCCGAAAAGACCGCATCAGAGACCGATGAGCTGGCCACCGAAGCCACGGATTCCATGGTACCCTGAGAAGTACCAACGTCAGCCTCGCTGGCCTCATTTACACTCTCCTTGATTTCTTGGTCGGCTATAGCTGCCGCCACGGGCATAGTCTTCGTGCTCCAGTCATCGCTGGAATCATTAGTGTGTATTTTCCATCGTCCTGTCTCTTTGATACGGGCCAATTCTTTAGCAGCTTCTTCGGCAGTACCCATCGCCTGATTCTCAACCTCCCGTGCCGCGGCTCGAGCCTTCTCAACACCCGGATGCTCAGCTACAATCTTTTCGACATCGAGACGCCATTCGTCAAACTTGGTCTTCAATTTGTGGTATTTAGCCCAATCCCTGTGGGTGATGCCGTCGGTCCAGGCCCACCGCATCCCTATCTCTTGTAAGCCGAGGTCACGAATGTGATCCAGGATCTCGAATGTGTCTGCAGCCGATGTGCTGACGAGAGAGTTGGTCTCCCTGTCGTAGCTTTGTCTCCATGTTCGAACCGCTTGTGCCTTTTCCTTGATCGAAATGCCAGCCTTGCGAACCGCAGAATTGAGTGATTCTTCCTTCTCTTCGCTGCTGTTGGTGCTTTCTACGATGGAAAGAATGGTGCTTTTTAGGTTCTCCAGGCTTGATCTGACGGTCTCTTCCAGTTGAATGTTGAGTGCTGTCCCAACCTTCTGAGCCTGATTTTGAATCAACCTGTCTGTAATCTCAATTATTCGTTCTTCGAGGTAGTCGGAGCCCTCGTCTGCAGCCTTTGCGAATTTCTCCTGCCATGTTTTGAGGTCATTGGCCACGACCTTCTGCGCCTTCTCGCGTATTTCCTGCTCACTAGATGGGTAGTTTCCTACAACAGATTCTGATGAAGTTGATGTAACAGCCCTTCCCCCTGATGTCATGGGTGGAGTAGGAGTTGTAGCATGTGTAGCAGAGATGGAAGTAGATACCGACGAAAAGCTGGAGGATGCAGAGGACGCGGATGAGCTACGAATGACACATTAGAATGTTGCACTCCTATTACAGGCTGGAGACAAACCGGGCAATTTCATCAATAGCTGCCTTCAGTTTCTTTCCATCCCGATATCTCCCCAGGCGCTCACCAATTCTGACCAATTGGGGCTCTACATTCTCGCCGTAAAGGATTCGAATTTTTGGGAAGACTGTGCGCTCGAAAAAGGTCCTGCCGGTTGCCCATGCCCACTTCGAATAGGGGATCGCAGTATTCAGTGTAAACTCGCTGGCAATACCATAACCTTGTAGAACATACGGCTGTATCACGGTGTATGTGGGAAGAATATGTCCGTAGTACGTCTGAAGCGCATTTGTTCTGGCAATGTCATAGTAGGGTCGAAGAGTAGTGACTACTTTCTCCAGATGTGGCGCCAGAATTTGGTTGTACTTTTCCTTCGCAAGTCCCTGATATTTCAGGACTTGTGGTTGCAGATTCTTTTCCCACTGGGCTTGCCCATATGCTTGTGCTTGCGCGACACGCGGAGCTCCATACTTTGTTCCAAGCACTTTAGCAGGCGTGATCACTCTCCTGTCGAGCGTTTTGTAGTACGGACGCGCTACATCCACGTATGGGGCAGCGTACACAACGTAGTATGGTTCGAGATGCGGTGCAACGGCGGAACGCAGTTGGAAGTAGGGTTTGCAAATCTTAGGTGATGACTCTGTGAGGAGGTCGACCGTTGCTGGACATCGGAATATAATCGTGAAAATGGAGTACCATGTGAGTAACCTGGCGGTGTTAAGAATTTTCAGGTAAACAGAAATGAGAGCGCCGTACCTAGAAATTATGCTGAAGAGACTGTATCCCTTGTTCGGTCTTGTTGTCTTCGACTTGGACACGGCAATATGTCCATTTTTCCCAGGGTCCGCCCCTCGTCCGTTGCTCTCTGCCGCCATCTTCTACAGCACGTAGCTCGGGATGTACGTGGCGCGACCAGCTCTTGACAACTCGTTCAGCTGCGATGTGGTGCCTGCGGAGTCGTTCGTTGCGGAGAGGAGCTAGGCGAGGAGCTCACTGGAATCAATCACTGGTGCTCGCGGAAAGACAGAAGCAACGATTGTGGCTAAACGCACAACGATGATTGACCAGGCTGCACAGTGATGAAGAGAGGAGGTTGTTGACCGGAGAGCGGTCGTGATATAGAATTTATTGGTGGGCAGCAGGGATATTTACTTGTCCAGAGAGTCCTGCTTCCTGTCAACACAGAGGGACCTCACGTCATTGAGCAGAAACGACAGCTGATGGGCGAGTGAGGGGGGCAAGACAAAAGATAGCTCGAGGATTTCACAGTAGTTCTATTAAAGTTGATATAATAACAGCGATTGAATGTTCTTTTCCCGCGAAGGCCAGCTTTCATTTTCCGTCCTCGGTGCTTTTCCTACCTAGCCTACCAACCTTGTGCTATATTTGATGCAACAGAGCGTTTCATCCCATGTCGCAAGCAGCTTTGACCTTGTGCAGAAGAACCCTCGAGCACAAAGGTGGACTCTTGCGTAGGAAAAGCTCTTCTCAAGTAGCATTAGGAGGATTAGACAGCTCGAAAACAACAACAGTCATTATAAGGTACGTTGCAAGACAGACCTACCTACCTTAGCTACCGCATTGTATACCTCGGCAGGCATGTCACAATCAGTCTACCTTACCTTAACGCAGAGATACCAATCACGTGATTACGAGTTACTTCAGTCGGACTTACATTTCTCCGAGCCGAGTAGGTTCCAGTCTCGGCCGCATCCAAGAGACAATGTTGCTTCTCTTTGAGCTAACCCAACACCTTCTAATAATCCTTCATCCCTACGACCTCGACAGATCCATCACCGGTGACTACCAATATTCTCGAATCCACCCACTTCATCGACGAGAAGTACCCAAAGCTCTGTCTTAGCTAACCCGCAAGGAAGTCTGGTTCTGGCGGAGGCGAACCTCCATAACGCGGACTTGGCTCAAGATCGGACATTCGCAGATGGTTCTAAAATACTGCTGAACGCAAGGCTTTGCCTTCCGGACCTGGAGTTCTTCTATTGTCTGGCTTCTAATCTTCATCGATAATGGCTGCAGCGTTACCGCCCCATCTCGTCGATAGCTCTGCCCCTCCAGACGTCATGAATGATCCTCAATATGCGACCAACACAGGAGGTGGAGAAGATGGAACCGGCGATCCAGACACCTGCAGGATATGTAGAGGGGAGGGTAGCGATGCAGAGCCGTTATTCCACCCCTGCAAATGCAGTGGGAGTATCAAGCACGTCCACCAGGACTGCCTGATGGAATGGCTTTCCCACTCTCAGAAGAAACACTGCGAGCTCTGCAAGACCCCTTTCCGATTCACGAAGCTCTATTCTCCAAATATGCCGCAGACTTTACCTCCTGGGGTTGTTTTCCGTCACTTTGTCCTCCATTCGATGCGGAACATTGCGACTTGGTTGAGGTTCTGCTTAGTGGTTACGGTTTGGCTAGGATGTCTTCCATATGTTATCAGACAGGTTTGGAGGCTGTTGTTCTGGTTCAGCGATGGGGGGTGGCCGCCAAGATACACGACCATTGGTGCGCCCCAGAACACAACCCAGATACTAGAAATGGCACAACAATTGCAACATGCGAAACTGGGAGGAAATGGTACCTCTCCAGCGATACCATTTTATGCAGCCCAAACTACGCCTGCAACTGAAGGCAGCTTCTGGAGCTTTCTGATGCCTTTCTCCCAGACTTTAAATATCAGTGACTCCGATCCTCTTACGGTCGGTTTGTTTAAATCACTCTACTATGGCCTGGGGATCTCAGAAGGCCTCACCTTTAACATCAGTGTATCAGATGTCATCATGGGCACATCTCCTGCGCATCGCCAACCATCGTTATTGAGTGGCGTTCCTTTTCTCAATAATATGACCCGACACTCCTACATCAACCAACTTATCGTCACAATAGCTGAAGGGTATGTTATCACGATCCTAGTTGTGGTCTCCTTCATCCTCGTGTTTTTGATCCGAGAATGGGTCGTACAACAACAGCCTGGAATCAATATGGGTGCCGGCTTTAATGCGGAATTTGCAGCTCCCGAGAGACCAGGGGAGAGGGAGCAGGCTGTGCCAGTGGAACGTCTACCAGGAAATATCCCGGAGCCCAGGGAGGTTGGCCAACGCCCAATGGCGCAACATCGAAGGAGAGGCGTTCAATTTGATGGTGCTGAAGATGGCGAGCCTCACCCAGCTCTGCAGGAGGATACACGATCTACTCACGAAACTGGAGAGGGTCCAAGTCACAACCGGCCGGCTCCAGTGAGGGACGCACTGACCCCAGCGGCAGAAATTCAAAAACAGCTCACTGAAGAGCCGAGAATGACTGAAGAATTTCTGGCTATCTGGTACCGCGCGGACAGCGACCCGAAGGAAGTGGTACGTATCATCGAGCAAGAAAACAAGGGCGATGAGATGCGTTACTGGGTTAATGCGATGAACATTCTTCAAACACCACTCCGGCAGGATAACCGGCTCCAGCCGCACAACCATAGTTCCAAATTCCTCCGGACGATAGACGGAGCTGGCCCGAGCACGTTAGATTCAACAGGGCCTATATCAGTTGACTCAGAAGGTGGTGGCGTTGAAAATGCTATGGCACAACAGGGGAGTAGCCAAAGCAGTGCTAGCTCCGAAAACTGGGTCGACGTATCGAAACCTACCAGCAGCTTTCAAGATGAAGATATCTCGACTAAGAGAGACGAGAATTCCATATTACCGAGACCGCAGGATAGTTATAATTTCTCATCGGATAAGGGAAAGGGAAAAGAACGCGATCAATCTCAAGAGCTTTCAGCTGAGCAATCATCTGGTGCAAATAGATCGAATTGGGATCAGCCGGCACAAAACCCGTGGAATGCTGCAATGTCACCTTCCCAATCCCATGGGTTAGGCAACAGTATTTCTAGACCGCGAGCCATATCTGATGGGCCTCAATTGAAGAATATATCGCCATTAGCGAACAATAATTGGACTTTCAAAAATCTCCATGATACTGATGCCGGAAATGCTGGTCCAAGCTCGCCGGGGCTCATTGAAACTGAAAATAATGTTCAGGATGTCCAGCCTCAGACATCTTCTGCCGTCTCTGGTTTCAGTGCTTCTTTGCCGGAACAACCTTATCAAGAGACCGAAGCGTGGAAGGCTGCGCAGGATTTGCGAGTGCAGCAGGCCATAGAAAAGGGCAGGGAGGCTCACAGATCTCAAGAACATTATCCAACCCCAGATGAAAGCCCAGATCCTGCCCTTTACGGGCCAATTCAAATACAGGGTCAAGACGGTATTGTACGAACTCACCAGAATTGGGACGAGGTTTTTGAGAACAATCCCATCCCTGATTCTGATGACGAGAGCGAAGGGAATAACACCGCACCAGAGCCAAATCCTTTCCAGCCAGACACCCCGTTACCAGAAGTTAGAGAACCTCTTGTGGTACGGCCAGCCGAGCCTCAGGGCTTTTTCGGAAACGTTGCTGACTGGTTGTGGGGAGGTGCTGATGACAGAAGACGAGATGAAGGCGGCAACGACGAACATATCGTTGAAGACTTAGCTGCAGAGGCCCCCTTCGTACCTGTTGCTCATCATGATGTTTTTGATCAAGGTGAATTTGCAGAGCAAGACCGCGAGGTAGTCGAAGCTGCAATTGCTGCGGGCATTGATCCGAATGATCCGGATGCCATTGATGACGCCGAGGATTTTGAAGGCATCATGGAGCTTATCGGCATGCGGGGGCCAATCTTCAGTCTCGTCCAGAATGCTTTGTTCAGCGCTTTCCTACTAGCTCTGACAGTCGCATTTGGTGTCTGGATCCCGTATAATATTGGCAGGGTCTCTCTTTTGCTGGTAGCAAATCCTGGACCTGCATTGAAATTACCTTTAAGAATCATCTTCTGGTGTGCAGCTTTCTTGCAAGATCTGGCGGCGACGATCTTAGGTGTTGTGTCATATTGCTTGTTTACCCTATTTTCAGTACCGGTAAACTTTTGGCATGCGACTAGTTCAGGGCCAGCAATGACGGGCGAAGGCCTCACCTGGCGAGCAGCTGCTTTACAGCTCTCCAACGATGCCGTCGAGAGAATACTGGAAGGTACTGTTAATAGTCTTTTGAACTTCAAAGACTCTGATATATTCACCTTTTCGGCTGCCTCCCACGAGGCGCTGTTGACTCTCGAATCTTTGGCTACGGCCGCTCTCGAGGCAATAGGCCATACCGTCATATTCTTATTCGTTGGTGACTATACCTTGTCTTTGATCGGTACCTGGAGTTTCTTTGTCGGCTTACTACAGGGAGCATGGCACCTAGTCTCTAGTCTGCTGAGTTTCTTTGCCCGACCGGATTCCTGGGTAATAAGTCTAGAGGTTGCAAAGCGGGCTACACCGCTAAATCCCGAACTTAGTGTCTGGAATGGCGTTGACAGATTCTGGGCTACTGTTGCCGGGTATGCAACTCTCAGTATTCTCGGGGCTCTGTATGTCAAGAAAGGCTCGCCATTCTCAAATGGACCAATCGGACGTGAATGGGAAGCCACAATTATTGACCTCCTCCACCAAGCGGGAGGAGTCATGAAGGTTATCCTCATTATCAGTATTGAGATGCTCGTCTTCCCCTTATACTGTGGTCTTCTACTAGATGCCGCTCTCCTTCCTCTTTTCGAAAATGCCACGATCATGTCGAGGATTTTATTTACGTTCACCTCACCTCTCACTTCCATTTTTGTACATTGGTTCGTTGGAACGTGTTATATGTTTCATTTCGCTCTCTTCGTGTCCATGTGTCGGAAGATCATGCGGAAGGGAGTTCTTTGTGAGTTCATCCCTCCCTTCATATGAATACACGCTAATATTACCAGACTTCATCCGAGATCCTGATGATCCGACATTCCATCCGGTCCGAGACGTCTTGGAACGAAATGTGGCAACGCAACTCCGAAAAATCCTCTTCAGTGCTTTAGTATACGGCGCGTTAGTAGTGATCTGCTTGGGGGGCGTTGTCTGGGGATTGTCATTTACATTCAATGGCATTTTGCCAATACACTGGTCATCGAATGAACCAGTGCTGGAGTTCCCCGTCGACCTTCTTTTCTATAATTTCCTGATGCCTCTGGCAGTCAAATTCTTCAAGCCTTCGGATGGACTTCATGCCATGTATAGCTGGTGGTTCCGCCGATGTGCACGAATGTTACGACTTACATGGTTTATGTTTGATGAGAGACAATTGGACGAGGAAGGTTACACAGTTCGACGATCCTGGAAGGATGTCTTTCGAAGGGTCAAAGCTGATCCTTTGAAAATGGTGAAGACCGAGGATCCAAGGCAGCCTTTCCTCGATAACCCTGAGTTGAATGCCTACTTCCGTCAAGACGGACGCTACGTTCGTGCCCCCGCCTCGGATCAGGTACGAATTCCCAAAGGCACGCAGATCTTCCTCCAGGTCGATGAACTCAACAACCGTATCGATGGGCAATGGGATCGACCGGATGGCGTGCATGGAAGAAATTCGGAGCTCTACAAACAGGTCTACATACCTCCGTACTTCCGCCTCCGGATTTGCGCCTTTATCCTCTCCCTCTGGATATTTGCGGCCTTGACGGGAGTATCCATAACCATTGTCCCCTTGGTCTTCGGCCGCCTGATCTTCTCCAAAATGATACCCTCTGACATCCGCCAAAACGATGTCTACGCCTTCTCAATTGGGATCTACATCCTAGGCTCCGCACTCTACGGCATTATGCACCTACGGCACTTCGCAACCTACCTTATTTCATCTCTCTCTCTGAACCACGAGACGCCGCACAATGTCCTCCGTCGCCTGAGCGCCATCATATCTCGAGTAGCTCGGATAGTGTGGACGTACACCGCCTTCATTTTCATCCTACCAATCCTCTTTGCGTTCCTCATTGAATTCTACGCCATCCTTCCTCTGCACACCTATTTCTCCCCACACGAGCAGCACACTATCCATTTCGTGCAATCCTGGACTCTGGGCCTCCTATACCTCAAACTCACATCCCGTATCATACTCCTCTACTCCGAATCCCGTCCCGCTATCTCGTTGCGCGCTATCACGAGGGACGGGTGCCTAAATCCGGATGCTAAGCTGGCGACCCGCTCTTTCATCCTCCCCGGATCTCTCGCCATCGGAACAGCTTTGGTTTGGCCATGGTGCATCGCCAGGATTGCTTTGTTGACGGTATTTAGAGGGGCGGGAGACGAACAAAAGGTCTTAGTTTATAGATACGCCTACCCGGCAGTACTGGTGATGGCATTCTGGTGCTGGTTGGGTTGGCTCATGGCTGGTGTTGTGAAGGTCTGGAGAAGTCGGATCAGAGATGAAGTTTATTTGATTGGGGAACGATTGCATAACTTTGGGGAGAGGAAGGCTGGGGCGAGTGGTAGTAGTGGTGTAGGGATCCCAGTTAGGAGGATTGAGACGTAGTTCAATTTCTAGAAAAGCAACAGGAATTAATGAAACAATTGGTCCAAAAGAACGGGCCCACGACAAATCATCCACCTAAAACAATTTCAAGTCCTTCAGGCCGATTAATGAAACAATTGGTCCAAAAGAATGCCCCCCCGACAAATCATCCACCTAAAATAATCTCAAGTCCTCCAGGCCGTATCGGTCCCTCAGTCCCTGCAAAGTTTCAGGGTCGCCCCTGGAATTCCCGCACGAGCTCCATGTCCAGCTTTATGCCCTGGAACCTGGTCTCTGACCAGTGTCTGTCGACCAGTGTTTGTCTCTGATAAAAAGAATGCTGGCAATTCCGATGGCAATAACCATAATAAGGCTGGTTATTCTTCGGAACGTAAGAATTCATACAAAATATATAAAAGGGGTTGGATATATTAGTACTCACATCGACACCACGCACTTGGCCTTGTTCCAGCCATCTCTCTCCCTCCCCTCATGCTTCTTCTTTTTTCTCTCCTCGAGTCCTCCCCCTTCTTTCTCCTCCTACCACTCCCCAGATGTCGGGGTGGGGAGAGAGGCCTCCAATCCCTCGGGAACCCCCGTAATTCGGAGGGGATGTTAGATCGACGATTGTTAACGAGCTACCCCTTAGCTAAAGTGAAGTGTTCGTGCCGATAGCCTGTCCGTTTCCTCAGAATCCTCACTGGAGGAGGTGACTGCAGCGATATTCTATAAAACATAGTACGTCAGTAATCATCCTACAGAAGTAACAGAACACGGGGGTCTTACTCCTCGTCGTAGGTGGTGCTCATCTTTGTTGAAGTTGGGTTGGGAGGAGGAAAGTTCGAAGGAGGAAGGAGGAAAGTTGAGAGGAGAGAAGTCGAAAGATGCTATTTGTACCTTGGACAGGACGTCTATTTAAGGTAGCCACTCGAACAGTACCTGCTGTCTGTCGAGTTCGTTTAGGCAAGCGCGACACCACCTCCTTCGAGCCTTTTTTCGCGTCGTTCTTTCCTTTCCGGACCACCACACGTATCCGAAAAAGGCGGCCAAAAAGAGAAGGAACAGTGTCGCATTTTGGATGCAGAGTTCCGCTTCGATGAACATGAACGTTGGAATAGGCAGGAATAGCAGTAACCACGGGTCCTTTTGGAATCGTTTTGGCCCGAATTCCAGGAGGAGACACAACGCAAGACCCATGAACGGGGTTACGACAACAAACATCAGAACCGTGTCCAGTGACACTCTGCCGAGTGCATAGTAGACGGACCAGGCGGAGCGAACGATGAGATACTCGGGGGTGAGCATAAGGGGCTCCGGGCGGAAAGGGGGCGGCATGGTGGGCGATCCGGACAGTAAGGTGGATTTGAATGTAAAGGGGCCGAAGCGAGGCGATTCGCGAAAGTAAAGGTAAAAGGGGGGCGAAGCGAAGGCGAAGCGAAGGCGGGCCGGTATAAGGTACCTGAGGTAAGGTAGCTTATAAAACTTATTAAACTATAAAGAATCGGGTAGTGTCTTGTTACTAAGGTACCTTATACAATAGAAGAAGTCAAAGAAGAGCGGGCGATGAAAGACTTATATAATCAAGGCACTTGCGACCTTGACAGGTACCTGCGTATGGTTTATCTTTTACCGACTTTACATTTAGTCTGAGGTAAGGTAACCTTCAAGGTGTTATAGAAAAGCTAAGGTACCTATAGGTAGGCCGTGCTATCATGAGGTCATACAAGCACTTGTATAAATATACCGACCTACCCCTCCCTACCTTACAGTTCCTTACCTACTCCAACCTTGCGGCTCTCTCAACTACATAGATATACATCCGGCTTCTGATCTAAACCAGCACAACGATCTTTATTTTTCACAAAAAATATCCTTCGTCTTCAAGCACGAACAGAGATTTTCGTAGTTCGAGATTTCATGTCTGCTCTTTCTGTCTATCCAGTACTGACATTTTCTTTCATATTGCCTCGGCTTGGCGTTTGTGGCTTGCAGTTCCCTATTAATAGGTAAGATAAGTAATCGCCAGCTCAGCTCTGCCTCAGCGCACCACATCTCTCCTCACCACATCTCTCTTCCCTTCTGTTTCACTTTCACCTCTTCTGACTCCTCGTTGCGGAGAAGACGGATTGTACAGCTCCAAGGCCGTGTGGGCAGTAGTGCTCCCCCAGCTTCATCAAACCCCTGTCACCTTGATTATCTTGCCCCATCGTGAGCCGCATCCACCATTCACCATTCACACAACCCGAGTGCTAGGCATCATGTACCACACTACTGTACTCATCTACAGACTGGTCAACAAAGGCCCCGGCTTTTTTATTCGCATTCTCTTTGAGCATCTGATTTACCGAGGGGTCTTTGCCTGGCTCTTGTGGTTTACCTCGTTCCTGTTCGAAGTTGGACAGCCAACCGATTCGTATTTGCAGTTCACAGGTGCAAATCACAGCCCTGGGATAAATAAACCTATGGGGGTATTTACGCGTTTCTGCTACGGCTGCGCTGCCCAGGTCATTGCCGAAAAGTTGATTGCTGATAGAAGCCCGTGGGAATGTCTCCACACAGCATATTGGAACTTGTATAGCCTCATCTCTGCCGCTATTGCCCATACGTTGATGTACAGCAGCTTTTTTCTGTCGGCATGTATACGCTTTGCTGGCCCATGGTTCGCATCTCTAAATATCGAAATACCAGTCCCCAAACCGAAGCCTTGGTACACTTACGAGAAGCTGAAGGAGGGAGAGATCAGACTGTTGGGAATTCATCGAAACTACCTATTTTGGGTCTCATATAATATCTATGCTGTTCCGATCAATCATGGCATTCCGTATGAAGCAATTAGCTATGCCTGGGGGGACAGGTCTGACGTTGAAGAGGTCACACTCAACAATAGAAGGTTTGCCACCACCCGTACCGTTGGCGATATCTTACGAAGGCGAAGTAAGCTGATAGGACTATGGCCCGGGAATATGAGGTTTGTATGGCTGGATTATATATGCATCAACCAGGAGGATATTGACGAGAGGAACTATCAAGTTACGCTCATGCGACAGATTTATCAGAGGGCGTCTAGAGTCATGGTCTGTTTAGGAGATGGTCCTGATGCTAGCAAGGCTGGCTGGCTCTTGTTAAAGATTTACGCTCTCTCAACGGTCAACACACTGGAAGAGCTATCTAATCGATGTGCCCTGGACAAAAACACTCCTTCGTGGCAGGCTCTCAGCCGATTCTTCGCCCATCCATGGTTCAGTAGAGTTTGGGTCATACAAGAGGTTGCTGTAGCATCCAAGGTATGGGTGACCTACGGTGGTGGGCTGCTAGATTGGGAACTCGTCCTGTGGGGTATCTGCACTTTCAGCCGCCCCGAAATGGCGAGTCACCTCTCAACTGCGACGGCAGAGGTTCGACGTAATATTCCATTGACCCTCCAGCAAGGAGTCATAGTTGGAATCATCAGGAACAAAATTCAAAGAAAAGACAAGCTCAGTCTGAGAGAAGCAATTACACTGTGCACTGGGTTTCAGGCCACCGATCCCAGGGACAAAATATACGCATTGCTCGGTCTCGTCACCGATGATCTCGACTTGCGAGCCTGGGTAGACTATCGAAAGCCGACTGAGCAACTCTACCTGGAAACCGCTCGGTTTCTCCTCTCTCAGGAGGAGTCTCCATTGCAAATCTTGAATTATGCGGGTACCGGTTATCCCTGGAACCCCGAGTTCGCCAGCCTCCCCTCCTGGGTTCCTGATCTGAGTTGCCCTCCCAACACCAGCAGTCTCGACGGCGGAATCCAACCATTCCCCTATAAAGCCTGCGGTAGATTGCAGCACGATGCGCAACTCTTGCTCTCCGCACCGCCAGGACAGATCCGACTTCGCGGATCCCAAGCCGACGAGATCGCCTTCCTAGCCCAGAATAACAACTTCTCCCTCAACGGCGCCACCGACGCCGAGATGCAAACTTTCTTCCAGGACCGTGCCCTTTGGCTCAAGAACTGCCTCTCGCTCATCCAAGACCACGTCCCGGATCCGTACCACACCTTGCAACCGCGCGCCGAGGCCTTCTGGCGCACGCTACTCGGCGACCGGACCGTCGAGGGCCGCCCCGCTCCTGCCGAGTATGCGGACTGCTACGCCGCGATGGAAGAGCTGACGTTCTCGCCGCCGGATGAGCAGCGGACGAGCTTTACTAGCCAGCGTGCGCTGATCCTCAAGTCGCTGCGGTTTCAGGGCCAGACGGCGGCGAGTATCCGAGGGCGGCGGTTCGCGGTCACGAGAAGAGGGTTCATGGGGTTGGTGCCACCGGGGACGGAAGCTGGGGATGTGATTTGTGTTTTTGCGGGAGCGAACACGCCTTTCGTGGTGAGGCAGCTTGAGAAGGGGTGGTGGGAGTTGGTTGGGGAGTGCTATTTCTTGGGGATTATGGATGGGGAGATGGTGGATCCCGTGGCAGAGATGGAGGTTTTCACCTTGTGTTAGGTGACTGGAATACTTCACGTATCCCACTTGGAGGCAATGGGCACCAACGAGGTTGATGCGGTTGGTGAGGAGGGAGGTATCCGAGCCTGTCCACCGGTGAGTTCTCAAAGAATCAAAATTGGACCGCCATCAGTTTAACCATTCTTGAAGTTGAAGCTTTTTCATTCTCAGTAACACACTCCTTACACCATGCCAACACCTCCGCCATGCTCATCACACCTCAACCAAGTTTTCTTTTTGTTTACAACATATCAACACCCCCAGCATTTTAGACAGATACCGACTCTCCAACTACAGCTTCAAGGCTCCCGACTTCTGACCGGCATATGTTGAGAGAGCGTCCATGAGCGCCGGCGACAAGACGTCGTACGTCTCCAGGCCAACACTGTGGAACTTGTTGCGGACCTCGGGCATATCCTTAGGATTGAAGCCCTGCTCAATGATCGACGAAACGAACGCCGCGAACTGGGGTTCCTGCCATCCCTTCTCATCTGACAATTCGACGTGAATGAAGTCGAGTCCCTTGAAGCCGTGCTCTTTCTCGATGCGGCCATACAGATGGACACCGCATTGCTTGCAGGCGTGACGTTGGATAGCAGCGCTCTCGTCAACGATTTTCAGCTTGTCCCCGTTGGCCGTCACGGCGAGGTTCGCAACGGGAACGACACCGACGACGGAGAAGAGAGCGCCGGCTGGCTTCCAGCACTTGGAGCATCCGCAGGCGTGGTTGTGAAGGACGTTGCCGGTGATGGTGACCTCGACTTTGTTGGTGGGGCAGTGGCAATGCAGCTTTCCACCGGGGAAGTTCTCGCTGCCCTTGGTGAGGCCGTTATCGATCAGAGGGTGAAGAGAGGGTGCCATGGTGAGATTTGATTGGGGGTTTCTTCGGTTCAAGGATTGGGATTGCAGAGGGATGATGTTGTTCCAAGGTGGACAAGATTGATGATTTCTGAAAAGGAATTGGGGACCCTCGAGCTCTATTTAAAACAAGCTTTCAACGAAGGGACCAAGTCATACGTACGTGATGCGGGGCTTCAATTGCACTATCAAAAGAGCAAACTTCGGCATCCGCGGACTGTCATCCGCATGGCGATGGGCTGAGGTGCCGCCCATCAAGACGCAGTTGTCGCAGTGTCTCTGAGCGGAAAGCATCATGATTGGACCAACCCCTCTCTCACCCTCCCATCTTCTCGATCTTATCATCGGGATCTGTCACCCAGAACAGGCATATGTACATCATCCGTCGCTCTCCGTGTGGGGTAATTCGGAGGCGCCTCGGAGAAAGTCCTTGCCAATTCCGAGACTCCTCCGTGTCATGTATGTGCGGCAGAGAATCCATCCATCCATGGTTGAAGGATGCGGAAGAGGAAACTAATTACTCGAGAAGGAGGTGGAAGGTGAGCGAGGGGGATCACCGATACCGATAGGGAGATGCGAGGGGCTTTGCTTATCTAAGGCTTTGTTTGATTGATAATATGGGGTCTGCTAGGTTTAGCTAGTTCGCTTTCCGAGCTATTTCCAGACCAACGAGTAACCTTCATTCTTCAGATCAAGCTGACTGCAAGCTGCTGAATCGCCTGCCTGCCTACCTACCACCGATCAAGTTCAATTCTCTCACCCAGCATCCCATTCTATTGCTCTCTCCCTCCTACAAAAAGCTACCTACCTATATAACCTCAACTCTCTAACACGTTTTATAATCCTTCTCAACCCCCATTCTATCCCACCTTCTCAATACCATACACACACATAATCCATAGATCCATAGATAGATCCATAGATAAAGAACAAGAGCAATTCCTAATCATCGCATGCTTACCTTATCAAGCTTAAACTCCGCGTATAGCCTAGGTCTAGAGGTTTTTAACGCCGATGCAAGTGTGGGTTCTTACGGGATGACGTGATTGATAGGTAGAAGTAAGTGTCTTTTTTGATTTCTCTTGACAGACTACTCGCGGTGCTTGCTGTAAGGTAGGTATGAATTTGTGGAGGAATGTGAGAGTGTTGATAGATAGATAGGGAAGTGGGATGTTGTGAGATGTTCAGGTTATGTGGCTGCAGCGCATTGATATAAATTGTTCCTTCCTTCTCTTTATTATAACACATCTTCAGAGATCGATCTCTCGAGGATAAGGTAAAGAGGATCTTTATCTAATAATGCACAATGCATAGGTATGTATATACATATATACACCCATATCTCTATCCCCTTTTACATATGTGCCACCCCCCCCCCCTCTATCCCAAAAGAAAATGCCTGATTAACTTTCTTTCTTTCTCTCTTTCTTTCTTTTACAAGTAATACACCGTCTCCTAATAATACACTCCCCTCCCCATTCCCACCTCCCACCTCCCAGTCCCAAACCTCCAACCCCCCCTTCTCAATCCTACGGAGCTCTAGTTCTCAACTGCACACCATGCCAGCCCTTAATCTCCTCACCCAACACGCCATTCACCAACCTCTGCTGCGCCAACATACCCATGCCTCGGAAGCGCTCACTCACAATCTCAATCGCGTACATGCTGCCGCAGCCGCCGCTCACGTCGCGCACGGCGAGTTCTTGGGGCGCTAGTTCCCGGGCGAGAAGTTCGAAGATCGAGCGCTCTTTGGCGTCGAGTTGGTCGGGTGGTGTGAGGGGTGCTGTGCTGGTCGTGGAGGGGGAGGGGGAGGAGGAGGGGGAGGAGGCGCTGGGTGATGATGATGATGATGATGAGCTGCTGCTGGAGTATGCTACTGCTGATTTTTGGGATATGAATGGGCGGAGGGAGTAGGTCGATGGGCGTGTTGTGGATGTGCATGTGCGTGTGCGGAGAGAGGTGGTGAGGAGACGGCGGCTGGTGAGGATGGTGGTATTTGGTTTTGAGACGTGGAGTCCAAGTCGAAGACTGGTTGTGCGCGCCCTCATTGCTAATCGCTCCATCTTTCTTCCTTTCTTTCTTTTCTTCCTTTCGTTATTATGTCTCTCCCTCCTCTTGAAAATAAATACCCAAGCTCCCCAGATAGATCCCTTTCTTTCTTTCCTGGCTGATGATAATCCTAATTCAACCAAAGCCCACCTAAGCCAATGCACTCGAATCGAGACCGGTCCCGAGCCTGCTAATCGTATATCGTTCGTGCCGGTTTGTTGTGTTTATGGTATTGGATCCTGTGTTGATTGCGGGCGGGCTGGTTTGTATATCACACGGTTCCTGGATGGGAGGGAGAAAAGAGCGAGGTTCGGTCGGTTACATTTTAGCCGGCCTCGGTCCAACCGGGGGTTGCGGATTACAAAGATGCGCTTAGTAATAGACGCGGGATCACATGATACCTCCAAGCGCGGTGCCTTATAGGGGATGTAGATAGTTAAGATGGCAAGGAGTCAAGTAGCTTCGAGAATTGAGTTTTTGAGTGTTTGAAAATGAATAAACTTATTCCTAATGGCGATAGGCTAAACTTCTCGGTGTGTAGGAGTAGGGTCAGGCAAGAAAAGTTTGGAAGCAACATAGAGCTGTCAAGGGAACAAGTAGATTTGGAATAAGTTTTCACCTGGGGATTTACACGCATCTTGAAATTCATGCTTCATCATCCTCGTATTGATTCATCTACCATAGCGATTGTCTGCATGCTAGAGCTAGACAGAATCTTGTGATCATCACGCGTCCCCGGCCCATCCATCGACACTCTCAAAGGCCTCGCTTGTTTACCCCTATTCCTTCCCTCCCAAATGCGGGACACTTCCATAAACATATCGCACAACTTTTTTCCAAGACAGCCAACAATCTCGCAGAGGCTAAAAGGAAAACCCTTGAACTCCAGTGCGCAAAGAAACCAAGCATTAGAACCTATCGTATGCATGGTAAAGCCCATCGTATGCACGGGAGCAAAGTCGACTTGCGCAAGACCGCCGGAAGATGTGGAAAAGAACATGCAAGAAGAGACGCTCACAAAAACAGGGACAACCGAGACCGCAAAACCAACAAATCCATGAGCCGCCGCGAGCAAATGCCAAACCGAAAACCCTTTCCCAACCCGCAAAAATGCATGACAAGACGTTCCTCCTAATTCCGAATCCGGGAGAAACGTCGAAAATGATAACGGTGTCCGGGTGATGATTCTCACATCAATGGTGAATCACACTCAGTAAAGAGGTAACCTAACCTCACAATCTCCGCCCTTGATGATTTCCTTGGCAGCCAAGCACTTTGAACAAACCAAGGAGTGTCATCGGCGAAGAACACGAATCGTTGTAACCGTATTAAAGGTAAAATCTCCCCATCAGCCATCAGCCTAGGATTGCCGTAGCTGTATGACTCTCGTGAAATGGAAACTCTCGCATGTGGACGGGGGAGTACATCGGAGGCGTGCCCGTCACGAAGCCCGTCAGCGGGGCCGGACTGCTCGACCTGACACTCTGAGATGACGGCGTTCTCGTAAGCGGGGCCCGCGTCTCCATGATAACCGGGGAGCTCTCGGCAGTAGACTCGGAGGATCCACTCATATAGTCCGTTTCAGTGGTGCCATCAAAGTGTCCCGATCGTAAAGTCCCCTCCTTGAGTTGAGGTGAGGATTTCACGGATCCAAACTATAGGCATCGTTAGCGGGCGGAGTGGAGTCGCTCAGTTGTACGTACGAAGCAATATTTGTCCAATAATTCGTTGTAGGACTGAGATGCAAGGACCGGCTTCTCGCCTCCAGGGCGAGGAACATCGACCCCTTTCGAGGGAGGAGATCCAAAGGACTTGGGGCTCGCCATGGTGAGAGGCGAGGAAGAATCATCGGAATCGGGAGCTTCCTTCGATGAGTTTGCTGTCGTGGCACCCCTCATCTGGAGGCCACTACGTTCACCCATGACTGAATTGGCAGCGTTGATTGCAGCAGAGAGCGACGCACCGAAGTCATATCGGTTGCCGAAAGCTTGGGCACTGGATTGGGGTACTCGTCGGTCGAAGCCAACATCAGACTTAACACCCTTTAATCTGACCGCGGTACTCGGTTCGCCCAGATAATCGTGAGCGGGCTTCTTTAAGTTGCCCAGCCTGTACTTCTCATCGAAGCCATCACCGAAATCATCGAAGGCGGCCTGGATCGGCTTCGGCCTCTGCCCCGTGACCGACGTTGACTTCCTGTGGCTTCGCGGCAATGCAGTCACGGGCCTGGACGCAGCGCCCTGGTACCCCTTCTTCCCATTCTGCGGCTTGTACTTCTTCCGGAAGTCCACCTGGAAGTTGGTCGAGGAGTTATTGTCCCAGTATTCTTGGCCATTGACGCAGTACTTGACGCAGAAGAACATCGTCTTGGCTTCGAGGTTCGCGAGGTCAGCTAGCTTGATGTTAAAGTTGAACCGGTCACGACCATCGGAATGCTTAGGCTCTCGAACATTGTGGTTGTACTCGGCAACAACCTCGGACGTCGTCTTCCAGTAGTCCAGCGTAAAACGAGCGACAACGGTCTTGTGGAAGGCCAGGTTTGCAACAGAAACGGTCCCCACTAGAGTCTTGTTATCGCCGGACAGGAATACCCTCTCGACCCGGACTGGTTGTGCCAGACGAATAGGAGATTCGGTTGGGAAGTTGGAAAGGATGATCTCCCACTCAAAAGGTGGAGATCTTGGGGACTCGTCAAAGGGAAACTCGGCGTCACTATCATAGGCCTCGACGGGTGACGAACCAGCGCTGACGGCCAGGGGTCTATCGAGTTGGAGGAAGTGTCTGATATGCTCCAGATTCGAGTCGAAGTGGACCGCCTTGGAGAAGGACGGAGTGCCAGGCATACTTGAGGGGCGCCGCCGCGCCGATGGGGTCCGGAGGGCTGGTCTGACGAGCTCCCCTGACTTCTTCCGGAGCATGGGGGGCTTCCGCTCGGACCCCTCGAATTCTTCATCGTCACTGGCCTCGTCGGACGGGCTGCTTGGGGTGTTAGATCCCCGTAAATTGAGGAAAACAGAGCCCTCGGTACTCGCCCGGTTGTGACCCAATTTCCGCACGGTCTTTGGCGCGGGCTGCTGGGCGTGCACAACCGTCGGCTTTTCCTCCTCACGGGCGGCTGGCACAGCCAAAGCCAGGCCTTGGGCGGGTGCTGGTCCTTGCTCCGGCATCCGGTCAGGGGAGGGGGACCTCCGCTGCTCAATTACCCTGATGGCCTCCTGGAGCTCTGCCAAGTTCTCCAACTTCCGACCTCTGGAAACCTTCACCTTCGCCTCTTCATCGTCGCTCGAGTTCAGGGCAGAATCCGGGGGCGAGATGACGGCGCCCGCGGGCATCTTCGCATCGCCTGTGACCGGCGGGGGCGACTGGACGACGGCGCGGCTGCTCGGCTCATTCTTCTGTTCATCTGGAGTGACGGGCCGGGGGGATTCGGTGGTAGAGGGAAAAAGAGGGCTCCTGCTGGAGGGTGTCCGGCGGTGTCGGGTCAGGTATGATGCCGAGCGCGGCAACTCTGATTTACTGACGACGCTGAGGCCGAGTGGCTGCGTGGCCTGGATTGATGATCGGCGGCTGGAGTTGGGGGATGTGTTTGCTGAGGCAGCTGGGGATCGCTGGGAGGGAGGAGTGTAAGGCATCCCGTGGGAGCCTGTATAGAAGAGGGGGATGGATGTCGAGGGGGGAGGTCGGAAAGCTATTCGACGATGGGGGTGGTCGAGAAGCTTATCTTTGTTTCCTAGGCGGCATCGAAGATTTCGGAGGACTCGTGTTGACTAGATTCAGAGGAAGACCCGGTCAGTCGCTTCCTGTGCTGCCGCAGAGGGGAGAGGAAGAGAGGAAGGAAGGAGGGGAAGGGGGGAGATAAAGAAAGATATACAAGATATCGTAGGGGATGATTCGTAGGTGTCGAAGACGGAGGACGAGGGAGCTACATGAAGGCGGGTGTTCCAACTTACGCAGTGTTATGTTGCAGAAACGGTCTGTAGTGGTTGTTGGTGCGGCGGACGGAGGAAGAGAGTTCGCAGAGCACAGCGTATTCCAGCAAGTGTGCCCCGACTAGGTAGGTAGGAGGATGATGGGCAAAGGCAAGAACGACCCGAGCAGAGATGCTTCACAAAGGTCGATTGATGGGATTGGGGCGACGAGGGTTGAAGAAAGAGGAGGAGAGGCGGATTGATTGATGTAAGAACCCTTTCTTCCCTTTGGCTGCCGAGAGCGGGATGGTGGTCTCAGGCCAAGCGTGGCGATTATTGGGAGACTATAAGGGGCCCCGGGATTAGACGGCTGCAATTGAAGCAGACAGAGCAGAGTAATGGTGAGGTAGGGTCGGTCAGGGTAGATGGGGTCGCGAGGCCGCGAGGTTCGTCGAGGCTATCGCAGGGAAGAGGAGATGACGTCTCGTCAAAGGGCAGAATCTCGATTGGAAAAATAAATTGATGCGGGACAGAGGGGAGGGGAAGGGAAGAGGAGAAGAGCAAAGACAAGGGCGTAAATGCAGAAGAGAGCTCACACACACACACACACACACGACGATGCACGATGCACGATGCAACGGTGGGGGAGGAGGAGGAGAAGGCTGGCAATGGCCTAGACGTGAGGAGGAGGAGGAGGAGGAGGAGGAGGAGGGAAAAATGAGGAAGTGATGCCACTATAGCACGATAGAGCGATGGCGAACTGCGGAGAGTGGTCGTAGTGATGGGATGGATGGTTGTGCCATGGCCCGTAGTAGCACCACCAGGCTGGTCTGGTCGTCTCTCTCTCACGTCGGTCGCCTTGTACGCTGATAATAATCACATAGTGGCAGTACGAGTCGCCCCCCCTGGTTCACGCCGCACCGGGGGGCTGCGTTGCTCGATCGGGGCTAGTGGCGACGGCTCCCGTTCTTGTTTACACCTTCGTCGTCCCGTAAGATTTAGAAGAGATTCACGATAAGCCACAGACCGAGCCACACAGCAGCCCGTCCCAACGGCGAAGTGTTTGGGGCTTAAGACGGCGCCACGCTACGCCCACCCTACGCGCAGTAGCGGATGTGCTAAATCCCCCCCCCCTTTACCGCGCTAGTCCCGTCATGGCCCATCCATCTCGTCGGAGAGTCGGCACCGGGTTCTGGCCCCTCGGCGCACGGGCCAGCACGCGGTGAAGATCCTGTTCGCCCGCGGTTGAGGCGATCCGCCACGCCCCCCCTTTGTTGGGGACGCGCCCAGACAGCTGCATCAAGGGCAAGGAGCTTTTCAACTTCCAAGGCAGCGCAAGGCTATCCATGAACAGACCACATATCGGACCACGGACAATGCACAGATACATGCACAGCGACTGGCTCTGACATGCATTGACATGTACATATACACAGATGTCGGCTGCATTAGATACAGCCACGCCATAGTCGATAGCCGCACGTCCTATCTGCGCTGGAGATACCCGACCGAGGGAGACGTCGCCACAGATAACACTCCATATGATAAGAAAACGATCCCACAATTTCCTCGCGGTGATATCAGACTCTGCTTTTGACACTTGATAGCTACCCGTCCTCACCTCATGTTTTCTCATCATGCGTCCCGGCTCACCAAATCCCGCTGTTATATCGCCACAACAGAACCACGGTTCCTCACCTGTCGAAGAATAATTTTGTGGATTTTTTTGCACTCCCCCCTGTCGCCTGTACCAAGAATACATTGCACCCTGCCCCCGTACATGGCCATGGTGTGCTCCCAGTCGCCAAGGAAGATGCCCTGTTCCTGCAACCCTTCCTTGTTTTAAGTTGGCCAGGACGCATCACATTGCTGCACCTCCATGCACCTCTTTTATATCCCGGGCTTCTGGAAAATGCGGTCTGCACGGGCATATGGCAGCCGTGTCTGCGGGCGCGTATACCAAGGCCAGTCAGTGTGTAAAGGTGAGCTCTTCTGCCGGTTGCGCGATGGCTAAGAAGTCGAGAGTGTGCTGCTATGCGGTTGTTGGGAAGAGCGTGCCAGGGTGAGAACAATTCTCCCAGGAAGTCATCTCGCACAATTTGCAGTAAGTCCTCATCTCATGTACGGTACTTCGTACATACGGAGTACATACTGTAGAGGGACAACGGCTTCTCACCCCTCGACTCTGCTGTACATCTATGTATACGGTGTACTGTACGCATTGCTAGTCACTTGATCCATCAATCAACAAGGACAAAAGAACCCCCAGCTCTTTGCTTGCAGAGGAAGTGGGAGGCATGATATCCATCTCCTGTGCGCTGTATACACCGACGACGGGCACTTACTTCCTCCCGCTTCCTCCCGTCGATCTCTCACGTCTTCTGATCCTCGGGGGGTCATTCATCACTTTTGCGGTTTATTTCTTTCTCTATCTACAAGATCTCAGGTAATATCACACAGGTGTACCAAAAGTATATTTTTGGTATCGCACATCTTCATAGCGGTCTCACCATCTCAAGCGCGCGGCGTCCCTTGTCCGGTATACGCCTCCGCACAGGTACTCCCGTACGGTACACTATCGTGATTATAATTAGAATCGAGAATTTAGAACATCAATCGCGCTTTTTTTCACGTCCTCACTCTCATGACTATTTCACTCTTCGATTCAGTGACCTCACGAATAATAACGACGGGAAGCCGGCGAGCATCAGTCTTGGCTACTGTCCATCCCTCCCCGCGCCCCACCCTCCATGAAATTCGACCGTCGCACTAGTTACAATTCTCAGCTACAACGGGATACCAAACATGATCTCGTACGCGCCGTGAAAGTGTACGTACTACGACGTTTCGAAGCCAGCGATCTACTCGGTAACAATCAATTTGACTTCCCGTTTCCCATGCTTGGATTTTATCTTTGATTTATTTTGAATTTGCTTTTGTTCGAAAAAAGGATCTCTTTATTCTACCCGGCTGAGCCGAGACGAGACGAGAACCGCACGCATTCTTTTATCCCCCGAGTCCCGAGTCCGACTCACTTATGACCATACTATCTAAGCTCATACCACACCATACCACACCATTCAATCCTCAGATCACAAGCTTGCCGCCGAGCTATTGACGTACCGGCGCGCAACGCATGACATACAGTAGAACATTATCGTATCCATCGTGCGGTTACTTACCATGACCTCACTAGAGCTAGCGGAGGAAAAGCTCCCTGGAAGCGAGCGAGATGCCAATGCACAATGCAAATGCCTGCATAAAAAAGATTCCTTTGGCTGGAGACAGACAAGACGGACGACGGAGGATACGGGGTGTTTCTGCTGCAGGTAGGGTTGCAGGCATTGGATACTGTTGAGTCTGATGGGTTGACGGAGCCGTTGGGGGTATGCGAGGTGCGTACAGCTACAGTAGTACGGTGGTATTACAGATGTACAGCACAGTGCTGTGATTATCAGCTCATCGCTCAACAGCTTTCCTCTTTTTTTTTTTTTTTCTCTCAATCCCTTCTCTTCTCTTCCTGCGCGGCGTATGGCGCCAGAAGCAGGCCAAGAAAAGCCCTTGTACTTTACGGCATGGTGTCAGACAGCCAGAGGCACAGCAAGCCGCCCTTCAGTGGCGTTTCGTTTCAAACCCCCCCAAAAAAAAGAAAAAAGCAAAAAAGAAAAGAAAGACCCGATCGACAATGCATAGGTACGTACATACATACACCTATGAAACGTTCAACATCAGATCTAAATCTAGATCTTAAGATCCGCCTATCCATCCGCTTTTGCTTTCCCTTTCACCGTTCCTCCTTGACTTTTCTTCTCCTTCCTCTTCCCTTCCTCCGCATCGCGACATAATTGATTGATACGTACAGAGGAAGATGAAGATGAAAAAGCGAGAGAGACCATCATCACCGCTGATCTTCCTTACATATCTTAGATTCCAGACCCGCCCCCGACCTGTCGTGTCGAAATTCTTACGGGCAGGAGACTAGTACTAAATCTAGCCTCTCGACCCGGGATGGATGGTCTAGATATCCAACCAACCATCCGCATCCGGGAGTCCTACTGTAGGTAGTACCGGCGACACAACAACACGATAACACAACAAACAACATAGATCTGATTTCCCAGATCCGAGCATAGATGGTTGGTGCGTGTATCGCGAGTATTCATTCCTCCTTGCTGCGCAAACATGGTTCCGGAAAAGCAGCAAGCGGGACTCGGTTGACGTACTATCCGTCATTGTAGGAGCTTCAGGTTACCTATACTACTTGATAGCCTCGAAATATTTTTTCCCCAAGAATATGCGCAAAGGCCGCTAGCTCGATACCATCATTTTTCTTGTACCTAGATGAGCGCGTTCCCCGCTAGAGAGTCGATAGTTCGTGCTATCTTACTGTCCCTCCTAGGTAGATGGAGAGATAAGGTAAGGTAGCCAGATGTGGGGGAACTCGTACAATATACTATATGAAGACCCAGACCCAGATCTGGAGCACCGGAATCAGTCTTCCTACATACATACCAAAACGTCGCGCGACGTTCATTCGTCAACCCCGGATTCTAGACGGTGGGTGCCCTGGATGTGGAGAAGGATAGATACGTGGGTCGAGAATCGAGACTATCTTAGTAAATACCTACCTAAGGTACGCAGTAAGCTTGTTCTTTTCTAAGGTACTTACCTTACTTATCTTCTTCGTCTACCTTAGGCTCTGGGTGATTATTATTCATTTTTTTTTTTTTTCTTCTTTTTGAGAATTACTTCATTCCCAATAATCTCCCCTGGAAATTTCAATCTCTTTCTATCCAATCAGAAAATCCTCGCCAACCAAAACAACAATCCAACCCCGACTCGCTCGCTCTCTCAGCCTCAGCCTCACACACTCAGCCTCCGTTTCAGATCCTTCTGACTTCCCTCACGTCACGTCACGTAATTATTTCACCCCGTCTCAGAAAATAGCCAGGACGATCCTGAAACAGCTGCTGCGGCGTGGGGGCGTATCTGTATAGGATTTATTCCTGGGGTTTATATTTTAATGGCCTTTTTGCTTTTTTTTTTTTTTTCCCTTTTTTACGACGCGGTTGATTTCAGTAGGGATCTATCTCCACGGCAGCTGTCAACAACAATAGGTACCGGGAATCACTACCTACCTATGAAATATATCTCTAATAAATCGTGCAATCCCAATCCCAATCCCTACCTACCTATTCTACTCTACACTAGCCACACCGCAACAACCGTTGTTCATATCTAACTAATCCAAGAAATAAGGACGAATTTTCTCATGTCCTTGCTTTTTCTCTAACCATGTATCTTATGTACCTTATGTACCTAAGCTATATATGTATCTATTTATGTACATATACATCTATCTCCGCAACACCGCAGCAGCCGTTCGTTCGTTGGCATACATACATAACGCGGGGTAAAGAAAGAAAGGTGCGCACCAGCCAGATAGGTAGGTCATTTATTGGAAGCTGGAACGAGGAAGTCGGGATGGGGGTGGGGTGGGGCTATAAAGGGAGTACTACTGACTTTTGTAAGGGTTTGGATATGGATAGATGGATGGATGGGTGGGTGAGGGATGGATGGGTGAGGGATAGAGGAGGTATTGGATGTTGGGGGAATCGTGAATGGCAGCGGGAAGGGGAAGGAAGGGAGTATGCGGACGGGAGGGTGGGGTACTGTATAGTGCGGGGAAGATGGAAACTAAAGGGGGGGCGTTGTTTTAATTTATTTATTTTGTTTTATTTACCCAGGACTAGGTATGTAGGAGTGAGATATGGCATGTGAAAGCGATGTGTGTGAAATGCATGCTTGATATTACTTCTGTTGTGCGTTGCGAGTGAGTGACTTTGTGGCCGTGGATAGGTATATCATACATAGGTATCCAGGCAGTACCTACCTAGGTACACCAACATAGAATTCCAACCCCTTCCCCTTCAAGCCAGTCTATACCAATTCCTTGTCCATACATCCAGCTCTCAACACCATAATCCCCAAGATATAGAATAAAACATTAATTAGTACGAGAGATACATACATCCAGGTATCTACCTATCTCTCCTTATCTATCGCGACCCCACCAGACTCAGACCCCGCACACCGATCTCAAATTCCCGCGAATCAAGTGTCTTGCCCCGCAACAGCCTCATCTTGTTTGCTTACTTGCTTGCTTGCTTGTAGATAGATATGTTACAGATCCTTACAATTTATATGCACAGAAAGAACTATCCTATCACATGCAAAACCGCCCGCTCAAAACTCCTAAGAGCGTCGAGTAGATATGTATCGCGTACAGACAGTAGCAACGCAGAACCATCTATCTACCTATCCATGTTTCATACGTAGGAAAAGAGAGATGCACATGAAATAATCCCGTTATTTCCTCACTCCTCATCCCTTTTTTTATCTTGTTTACCTACTTTATCTTATCTACAGGCTTTATCTCTCTCGCTTCCTACCAATGCAGACCCCGAAACCAGGTCTACTTTTATCTGCAAATGCCGGCAAACCCCGCGATGATTTATTTCATACAGCGCTGCTGCTGGTTACCTTAAAGTGCATGCATTAGACGGATGCGGGGAATTTACTAGCTGCTGTTGTATTGCTAGATTTCTACGTATTAGTTACATTAGATATTGTACTGTATACCTTACCTACCTACTTCTCCCCACCAGAACACCTCCCCCCCCGTCTTTTCTG